GGCTGGGAAAGGTGTTCGACAACATAGCTGTGTGTGCCACAAAACCTGCCGTATGCCTCCTAAAATAGCCAGGATGTGGTGGACAATATTATCCTGCTGTCAGTGTTGCAACTACTGGCAGTCCAGTCACCTTCTATACATGGGAGTGACATTTTATCCTTAACTTCAGTTCAAAAGATAATTTTATACTGGCAAAGTTGACAATTAATGGCAGATACAAATCAGCGCTGAAGTATCAAGGCTGATACAATAGGGGGCTGGGAAATGATCTCAGTTATATTAATCTGTAAGTAGTAATGCATTTTCTCGAAAACCTTCATAGGAGAAATTTGCTTCATTGCATAACTGTTCTTATTGTTAGCAAGTTTTATTTATCTATTTATTATTTAGTTATTTAGAAAACTTGTAGGCCATCTATCACAGTCATCTCAGCTTACAACATTACTTCAAATCCTAAATAAAATAACCATTCCACAACTGAGCATAAAACTAATCTATTTAAAATAAATTAAATAAATATAATTCAATTAAAATTACTTTATGTTAAAATATTGGTCAAATAAAAAGGTCTTGATCTGGTGCCGAAAAGCATATAATGATGGTGCCAGGCAGACCTCTCTAGGGATCGCATTCCATAGTCGGGGCGCCACTGCAGAGAAGGCTCTCCTCCAAGTACTCTGTCTCCTGACCTCTTTCAAAGAGGGTTCCCGGAGGAGGGCCTCTGCTGTCAATCTTATAGGGCACGTGGCCATATAGGGAAAAAGATGTTCCTTTAGGTATCCTGGTCCCAAGCTGTTTAGGGCTTTATAGGTAATAACCAGCACCTTGAATTGAGCCGGACTTCAATGGGAAGCCAATGGAGCTGATAGAGGACTGGAATTATGTGAGAATAACGACCAGTCCACGACAGCATGCTAGCAGCTCTATTTTGCACCATCTGAAGTATTCGGACTGTCTTCAAGGGCAGCCCCATGTAGAGCACGTTACAGTGATCCAAGCGGGAAGTAACCAGTGCGTGTGTCACTGTTGCTAGGAAGTAGTTGATGGATCAGCCGAAGCTGAAGGAAAGCGCTCCTCACCACCGCCATCACCTTGGCTTCCAGAGACAGTTCCGGGTTGAGGAGCACTCCTAAGCTGCGGACCCTGTCCCTAAGAGGGAGTGCAGCCCTGTCCAGGGCAGGGCCCAAGTCACTTACCCAGAAATTCGAATCACCTTCCAACAGGTGCTTTATGCAACACTTAACCTAGAATACCCTTCTCTTTCTCTTTTCCTTTGAAGCAGCCTTCCCTATCTTGGTGTGCACTTAGTGTGTTGGGTTACAAGCTCCAACTTCAGTTTTCCCTGTACATATTTTACAATCCCTTTATTTTTCAGACCTACACCCAGAACCTCCTGGATGCATGGCAGCTGAGGATACAAACAAGCTTTCAGCCCAAGTCAGGGAGGCAATGTACAATGATCTCTGCCTGTAGTTTCTGCATTTCTGCAATGGTCACTGCATCTGTACTTTCCTTTCACTCTTTTACAGTTTTACTCTGCCTCATCAACCATGCATGTGTACACACACATGCACCTGTGCGCCCATGCACACATGTATAAAACTCAGGGCAATGCTTTATAGAGCTGATGAAGAAAGCATATGCCATATAGGTGTGGCTGTCTTTAAGATATGGCAAAACTTTTTGTTGCTTTTGAAAAGCACCCTTGCTTGCAGTGATGTACCAAAAGCTGATCCCACTTGTACTGGCAGATAACCATGAGTGGTTTCCACAGAGGTGGACAAGACCTGACCTGCTATCTCACCCAGTCACACTGTTAAAAAGCATAAGCAAGCAAAATCTGACTTGTTTACTGTTCCAAGCAATAATTTGCAAACTGATCTAACTTATTTACCACTCCTTTGCAATTTTCCGGGGGTGAGGATGGAGAGGGCTACTGCTGCCAAATTGGAAGTCCAGCTTATAGGTCTGTGCAATGGAGAAAATGGTCCCCACATCTCCCAAAGTTGCCCAGCTCTGAAAGACAGAGCTATTGATAGCCAACAAAAGCATGGTTTTTCCTATCATTACCTCATGCCTACACAGTTGTGTGAGTATTCCTTGTGATGAGAAGAGACATACTTCAGTTTTACATGCACAAAATTCAAGCCTTAATCCCTAGACAGGACAAGGAAGACCCCTGTTCAAAATCTGGAGGAGCTGCCACCATTATAGACATAACCATACACCACAATGGCTCTCATTTAGCATTCCTAAAACCTAGGAGTCAAACAAGAATTAAACATTTATAGAAACTTCATTACTGCCAAGTCAAGAAGCAGCGCTATTACTTCTCTGGCTGTGAAAATGATGTTTCTACTAGTATTACCAAAAGAGTCATTCACTATTGTGTTGTGGTGCCATACTCCTGATTTAAGTATCTCAAATCCCAATGTTCTGCCTCTGAAATAAATGTATGTTTTCTTGTCATACAGGAAAGCTGACCCTAAATTAATTACAGCTCTTCAATTTTGCACCTTCCAACATTCTGATGGTAAAAATAGGAATACCCTTGTATACTCATTATAGCCCTGTTCATCTAGCAAGAATCACTGTACAGCATCACCCTGTCTCCCCAGTGAAAGGTATTCTTGACAGCTGTACACTGTAATATTAAACTTCTCAGTAGCAGTCCATACTATCATGCACATGCGACTCAAGCAGGTTATTTTAGCTATCAGAACAGTTTTATGTCCATTTCTTTTCTTTGTTTAATGTGTCTAGACTGTTTCACTTCACAGGAGTTATTTGGTTGCATTCACTGTAGAATAGCCATTGCTTATTCATCTACATTTTTACTGAGACAGGCAACAGGGGGTGTGACAGAAGAAGCTAAGTTGTGTTCATAATTTACATGCACCATGATTTTAAAAGACAAAGTAAATTAGAGAAAAATATACATCAGGGTCTAAAAGTATAAGATAGGGAGAACTGAAGCATAGGTAATGTATGAAAATCATGTGCAACTTTTAGTTTACTCTCTAAAGAGTTTGCAATCTTTCTGTGCTTTCATATCATTCCTGGATCTGTTGAAACACAACACACACACACACTCTTTCCATGAAGATACTAAACAGCTCCATACGTACCCTGGGCCAAGCTACTGATGGGAAAGAGAACTGACAGAAAATGAAGTTAGCAATGGAGAAGGAGAGAACCAGAGAAGCAAAGGGAGTAGGTAGTCCCCCTCTGTCCCCCTATGATTCTTTCTTTGGATGTGGCCACATGTTGTGCAAGGGGAGTGAGGGGACCAGAGGAAAGAAGAAGGAGGGAGAGATGGGGAGAGAAAGAGAGAGTCTGCTCTTAGTTCTTTGGTCTTGACCAGGTTAGCTACCTCTCCTAAGAGCATAAATCTGCTATAGGAAATGGTTATACCTCTGCTGAACAAGTCACTAATCTAATAGAATACTTGTGCCACTATACCTCCATCAAACAACCATAAAATGAACAAGGCCCTAATATCTTTCCAGAATGGTTAATTTGTAAACATTAATGATTTACCAAGAACAGATTCCTTGTGAAGCTGACAGATTCTCATGCATTTATGTTCTAATCTCAAGGCAAAAGAAAAGCTGATATCATTTATATGTTTATTTAACATAGCACAAGGATCAGAGCATGAGACAAAGTCTCCAAGATTAGGCATCATTAAAAAGTAGTTAAGAGATGGAAGAAATTTCCTACTTAAATCATTAGTTTATGCAGGGATAATCTTCCTGATTTATTGTAAGCATTCAAATGACAGTTTAATTATACAGTAGCTGGGTGCCATGGAAAATAGTGAAAATGACAGATAAACTATCTACGCTACAGGTAGCTGCCTTGCATAAACATTCAGCTTTTTCTAGCATTCTCAATAACCAAGCAGAGTTTCTAGCTGTGGTAAAGGTTCATCAGTGTCCAGCACAGGTATATACACATAATGTCATGCAGCAGGAGTGGAGGTAGTGCAGCAGGCAAGGTATATGATGGGACCGCATCACGCAGCTTTCTCCAATTTGTTGCCTTCTAAATGTGTTGGATACAGCTTCTATGATGCCCAGCCAACATGGGCAAAACACACATATCATCAAAGTAATGCTCTCCTGACAGTTTGAGGTTGAATTTCCAGAGGTGCTGGGAAAGATGCTGAACCTTGAAGGATGTCAACTCTAGTATTTCACACTAAAGGGTTTAACAAAGCATGCCCAAGAGACAAAAACAGGGACAGCAACTCATGTAGGACACATATCATAAAACGAGTAAATAGACTCAGGGCACAATTCTATGGAAATTTAAACAGAAAAACAATTCCCAGCATGCCCCACTCAGCATTGCTCCTTCCTGTTTGGTGGTGCTTTTGACTTAAGTTTAATGCTTTACAGTGTATGTACATTATTTCTAATACTGTGAATGTTTTCACTAACAGGGCTTGGATGCTGTTGACACAATGACCCAGTTTGCATGCTAAAACAATCTGCATTTTATTAACCGTGGTCGTTTGAGCACAAGCAAGCTGGTTTCTACCTACTGGCCTGCTTTTAGTGTGCTTAACAGTCCAAGGTTGCTCTGTCCCTGCATTGTTCTCTGTGAGGTTTGAACATGAAACTCTGGGTTCTTGAGGGAGAGAAAACCCAACATTAAAACAACCCAAAGAACAAACCATGGGTTATTACTCTAGGTTGTTTCTCCCTCAATAACTCAGTGTTCCAGATTTGGATAACACAGAGAACCCATGGATCCTGTGTCCTTGGATTGTTTAGTGCACCAGAACCAGGCAAGAGCCAGCATGTTTATGCATGTGAACTGGCTCAGTATTTGTTCATAGAATAGACTCTATCCTACAGAAAGCTCATTTCTACAGGGCATAAAAGTTCTCCTTGCATATGTATATGAACAACACTGTTAAATGTTTAGGTATCTAACCTGCGAGTTCAGACTGTCCAAAGGAAAAGTATAATCCAGGATGGCAGGCAACTTACTGTGTAAATATAGGAAGGAGTGGAATTTCTCACACTGAACTACGCTCATAGAAGTAGTTGTGCAGTGCATCCAAAGACCTTCATAAAACCAAGTAAATGTTGTCACTGTGATGCAAATTTTCCAGTTACTGGACACAGTGGTACCAAGTACAAGGAGGAGACCCAGAAAAGCCAGAAGCAGTGCAGAAATTTGAAAAGCTCGTGATGCCATTCTTCAGTGATGGATTCGTTTTCAAGGAAGCTACCTTTTCAAACTTTGATGTCTGGAACCTATGTTAAATGTTGATGTTCTGGCAATAAAAATCAAATGATATCATGCTAGTTATTTGACCTATACTGATACAAACAACAAAACATATGCAAAAATTAAAACATAATTCAACATATGGTAAAGTAGAAGTTTCTTTGTATGTCAGGTTAAAACTGCTCTCTGACATATAGATTTGGTTTCTATGGCTAGGTTCACTTAACGTGCACACTCAAGACTGAATATGGTTGCATGTGGATTGAATCCTGTAGAGATAACCATGGTTTGTTAACCATGAACAACACACAGTCCATAATCCAATGCGCATATTCACATGACACAGTAGGACTGTCTTTGAATAAGCTATGCACCGTGGGTTCATGAAACAACCCATGGTGCACCTGAGAGATGATCAGGCTCACTGGTTCCTCCAGCCAGTATCCCAGAGTCCTTTGCAGAAGAATCCATCTTGTCTCCCCATTCCCACTATCCCTTCTGTTTGCCATTAAAAAACAGACTTTGGCGTGCCGAAATGTGCAGTTGAGCATTTTGTTTTTTTTCCAGACCAGAACATTTCAGGATTGTGTTCACAGTTTTAATGGTTATTAGTTTAAGTATTTCACAAGTGCATACACACTTATGGCTGGCCAAGTCAGTTGCCTGGCCAATTTTCTTGTATGTTTCAGTTGACAGAAGGAGTAGCAAAATGGATCAGGTAGCTTACATAAAAACTGATAAGGCAAGGGTGCCTATAGTTTCACAATTAACCACAGCAAATTTGCTGACAGTTGCCAAGGTCCAATTCTAAGTTGTCAACTGAAAAACATTGAAAAGAGGAGCAAAACAGCAAAAGTAGGTGCATCACAAATGGAGTGGGGAGGGCAACATGTTCCAGTTAGTGATGTAATCCTCTCACTTTAAAGTATCAAACTGACTCTTCCACTGACCTCCATCCTTTCATATGACTGCATATGACCCAGTCCAAACAACTGTTTTGTCCTGTCCAGGTCCACAGACACAGAATTTTGATCCTCTTTTCACAAGCCAAGATCACATTTGCCTCTGGTATAGTCTGACAGCTGTTAATCAAACCAAAGAGGAGAACATCTTCTTGGGACCTTCTTTACTTTAGTGTCCATGGTTGGTGTTTCTTCACTTTGGCAGAAGTGAAGGTGCCCAACCACGGCACCCAATTTCTCCACTGAACTGAAGCGGTTATGTAAGTGTGGCTAAAATGTTTTAAGCATAATTATCACAAATATTTGCAAAGGGATTTTTTTTAAAGTTAGCTAGCCATGGACAGTCCCTCTAAGATGTCACTCAAGCACTTTGAAGGGGCTGTCAGAAGCTGTTGAAACAAGAATCATGAAAGCTATTAAGCTGTCCTTTGTGATTGCTGGAAAAAAAGTGTGTAGCGTATAAAAGGTGCAGAGAGCAAAAAATGTCTCTTGATTGTGGCAAGGAGGCAGCAAGTCAGTGCTAGCCACCCTCAAGTGCTTGGGCACTTGTGCTTGGGCACTTGTGGGGTGGCTGGCACTGGCCCAGTTCAGCTTGGGAAGAAAGGCAAGGGGCTTTTGCTATGCACCTCTCTGGCTGCTGGAATTATCTCTGGTGGGATTGACTGTCCAGGTTCAGATGACATGACAATCTACCAAGGGTTGCTCACCATTAGAGCAGCCCATGTTTGAAAAAAGCAAGCCACTGTGGGTAACCAGGACTGGGTCTGGATGATGTGACAACCAATACAGGTTAGTTGCCCATGGAGAGTTGTATGAACCAGGTCCATACATTTGTTTCATGGGTTCTTTACAGTTAACAAACTATGGCTGTTAGCATAGCTAATTTCAGACAAGAAAGCGACCCATGGTTCAACAAAAACCCACCCCTCAGCTCTGAGTATGGGTTTTTGTGTTGTGTGAACCCAGTCAAGGCATTTATATACAATTAATCTAAACGTTTCAAATTTAGTTTAAAGCTAATTAATCAGATTATTTCAAAGCTAATTTTTTAAAATCACGTTTATTTTAAAGGCAAAAAATCACACACACTCATACAGACTTACTTTTGTAGTTTTGCTTTCAGGGTTTTCCTCTGCTTCCCCTGTAGCTCTTCTAGTCCAGCACTGTGTCAGTAGTTTGTGAGGGTCAGTTCTGCCAAACTGACAGTGGCAGTTTTGTAATACTTAGGACCTTTCCCCTTGTTCTAGAAATCAAGGCTTCCCGGCCAGTTCACTGTCTTTATTGATCAAATGAACTAACTAGGGTTACCAGCCTATACACCTACCTAAGAATAAACAGTTCTAAACTCAGTGGGACATACTTCTGATTAGGCATGCACAGTATTATGCTGCAAATTATTCAAAGCCTTCTCTCTAGTGTGACTACTTTTGAATCCCATTGGACCAGGGAAAGACTACTCACACAATGTTGATTGAAACATGTTTTAGTAACCATATTCCCCCAAACCCATGAAGATCAGGGGATCCTTATAAGAGATGGTCCAAAACCCAACATTTCTGGATCCACCATAAAAGTATATTGCTGCACACAGCTGAGCTCAGCTGGGAAACAAAATCCAGGAAGTATTTTCAAGGATTATCCCACCTGCCTAAAAATTCCATTCCAGTTTTTAACAGCAGCCAGCCAGGTACTTTTAAAACAGCAGTAGGGATGTAGTGACCCAAAGACTGAATGTGGCATCCTTGCCAAAGCTCACTACCATTTGCAAAAAACATTTCATTTAAGCCAATTGAAAGCATTTTTGACCCAACAGGAGATGATTTAAGGGTGTCACAGCAAGAAACATATACGTAGTTTAACTGTCTCTTTGTGCTGTGCTCTCCCTGCACAGCAATTAGGTATAAATAAAGTATTCTATTGGCTCCTGCGAAGAATTATGTAAGCCACCTTTAGTTCATTTGAAGGAAAAAAGGGTGAGACAATAAACAAACAAACAAACGTGAAACTCATCATGTCCTTCTATGCTTTAATCTAAGATCAATCAGAAGTGAAAGCTTCTATGTGTCTACCCTGAAATAAGCCCCAGTGAATTTAATGGGATTTACTCCCAGCATACATTGTATAGGATAGTAACCTAATCTCTCTTCATGGAAAAATGTTCTAATTTACTTATTTGAACTTTTACCCTACTGTATTTTGTGTGATGTGATAAGAAACTTGCACCTCAGTCATGGTTGGCTTTATTTTCTAAGCTGAACTCTGCAATAATTAGGATCTGGAAAAATTGGTAGATTTGCACTGCAAAATATCTCTGAAGATGTCCCAGTCTAAACTTCCTGTCCCCACTCAAAATCTCTTTTTTAAAGGAAACCAAAATTTGACAGGTGAACCTTGGCACCTGTCAATGGGTTTTCTCTTAGAAAGCAAGAGAGATTGGACCCTTCCTCAACCTCCCAGAAGCTTAGCAGAAAATGCAAGCATGCCTTCTCATAGGGATTACAGGGGGAGAAAACAACAAAAAGCATTTTACCAAAAGGAAGTGCTATTTGCAGCAATCGCCACCTTGTGGGCAAAAATCCCACCCACCTTTGGTTCCAATGGGTGGCGCACCTTGTGCGAGCCGCCTACTGAGGAGCAGATTTTCAGCCTTGGCTGGAGCAATGCACAGAGGGCTGGCCACGGACTCCTTGCAGCAGAAAGCCTTCTGCATATTGTCCCAACAGAGGCTGGAAGTTAGTCAGATTGCATTTCAATGAACAAACACTGTTTGTGCAATGGGGATAAAGAAGAAAAAATATTTTAAAAATAGTAGACAGCCTTCAAAGTCCCCCTGGGGCTACCCCTTAAGGGGGCAGAGAAAGCCGCCTCTGACAATTAAGAGTCAGACATAATGAGCCAAATTTGCTTGTGACTTTCAAGGAGAGGTGACTTATTGCTCCCATAATTTAAAGAGAAGGGAGTGAAACTGTCATGAGCAGCCTAATTATCTGTAAAGCTCATGGTGGGTGCTTCATGGGGTTCAGCTAACCCATCATAGTAAATCACTGTGAAGTGTCTGTTGGCATTATGTGTGAACCCACCCACTCTGTACACTGGGAATGGTTGTTTATTTTGCCGCATCGTCTTAGATTCTAAGACATTTAGATGAAAATACTACCCTTTAACCTTTTCCATAGCTAAGGCTTGTTCTCATTTTACAAGATTAGCATAAGATATCCCTACAGCTAGATAACTGCTAAATGATTTTTTGACAACTATATGCCACTTTTTTTTCTGGAAAGACTGTTGTTCATTGACTATATTATCGGCAGAAATCCAATAGGTTGTGCCATTTCTTAACACGAAGAAACAGTGACGGAAAACTTCTGCTGATGAATTTTGCTAAATCTCCGCAGCCCTGTGAAGAATGGGGGTGGGGGGATGACGGTAATTAACCCTGACTGAATCATAGTCCTCTCCTGTCAACGAGCCTATTTGCACCTGCCTTTCTTATATTCGATATTTACTGTAGTTAAAAGAACAGTTTGCGTTTTCACCGCAGTTTGTCCCTCGTGTGTTAACATAACCGGAGAAAGGATCTTCCAGTTTAGCTACTCCCCCAGGGAGCTAGGGGCAAAAACTCTACTCTTGCAAGGGCAGCACCACTGTAGGCGTGAGGACGCACGGAAAGTACTTTAATAAAATGGGAGCGTAAATGCTGTGGACCGCAATTGCCTCAAAATGGCGCCTAGAGGCGCACGGAATGCGAAGATCCTAGGAAGCAGCTGGAAGGTCTATATGATTTCAAAGAGTTCCTGAATTAAATGCTTTCAGTACTGCATCGTGAAGAAAGCGGCAAACTGGCCACTCTCCCTTCCTTCTGCCACCAACCCAGCCAAACCGCTGTTTCTGGCGACACGCAAAGAAAGGTAAAGATGCTTTTGCTCGTTCCGGGTCTTGGGGATTTTCTCTCCCGCCCTTCTTTGGGTGACGTCCTCCAGTGGCGTCACGGTTCCCGCTTCTACGATGGCGGGCGGAAATGTTTGCTTGACCCGGAAACGTCACTTCAGAGGGCAAAAAAAATGGCGTGGAGTTGTTGTGCTCGGGTTTGGGTTAAGCAGGAGTTACTGGCAGGTGGAAGAATCCGGGAGCACAGGTAACTTAACATAAGTGGGACGGTTATGGGGACGGGAGTGCGAGTTGCAAGGATGGGGCTTGTTGGGGCACGCTGAAAAGGACATTGGAAGGGTGTGCCTGGAGGGGGCAATGAAGATGTTTGGCAGGGTTTCCCACTCTAGTGCCAGCTTTCTTGGATATCAGCCAAAGAAATAAAGGCTATGGTAACGACGGAGAATGCGTGGTCCTCCAACTATTGTTAAGCTGTAGCTCCCACTAATTCTTGTCCTTGGATATGCTAACTGGGGCAGATGGGAGTTGGAGGGCGCCATGCATTCGCCATTTGTGGAGAATGGTTATCGTCCAGATTCTGTGCCTCTGCTCTCTCCTCCATCGAGGATAGGAAAGATGGAAATCAGCTGTGGGGAAAAAGCAATGAACTTTTGGTAATATAATTTTCCATTAAAAAGGAAGAAAACTAATGCAAAATTATTCTAATAAAGAGTTTATAGTGTAAACTTGTGTTACAGCTGTACCAATTCCCAAGTTAACTATGTGAGCCATAAAAGAAGCTAGCATGTAAGCTTTAAAGCTACATTCTGTGTAAATAAAATAATAAAGAAGTCCTACAATTTCAGAGTAGCTGAGAAGGTGCTTTCATTTATCTTTGTCTGAATAAGAAACTGACATTTCTTTGCATCTTTGAAACACTTAGAATATTTTGTGCTAAATTTTATATATATATTTAATCAGGTTTACTCTGTGTACACAACAGAGAAATGGATTTAGAAAGCCAGCACAGAAGGGTGTTCTGCAGAGGCCAAAGACAGAAATTGGTTCTAAGCCAAAGAAAAGTGGCTTGTCTCCTCCAGTTCCGGAGCCAGTCTTTGATGAAACTTCCCGTTCAGTGAAGAAGCTTGTAAAACCATTCATCTTTGCAGTTGGGGTAAGCATTTATTCATTGTTGCATATAATTGGCAGCAGTTCCTGTATAACAAAAGGTTATTTTCTTTGCCCTGAGACCCTGTTTTGAGTGCCCCGAGATATTGAGATTTGGTTAGGTGACTAATTGGTATGGGATGTTTCTAGTTAGAAAGGTCTTCTGGTGCCTGCTTGTTGACAGTTGAGCACCTGGTATGACCTGTCTGTTTCTTCCAGGCCTCTTAAAAGAATCCTTAGCATCTGTTCGCTTTATTTTAAATGATATGTTTAATGCTGTATTCTGAAACCATCTTTTTCCTTGCTCAGTTATGTGTGTCTCAATTTTTTCTGAATTATTGATGTTTCTTTTAATAGGTAACAGTTTTAATGTATTATACCATTTTTGTTTTATTGTATTGCTTTTATTATATATGTTGGCTTCATCTATAGGGCAGCTCATAAATAAAAAGAATCTAGCAAACTGATTTCTTAAGGGTAAACTTGGATTTGTAGGAGGTTGGATTTGGAGGTAGGATTTTGGCAGGCAAGCTCATTGGAGCATTATGACAGGTGAAATTGCGTTTATCAGTACTTTCTGATTATGGAACTATGAAAGTTACGGCCTTTTTTCTAATCTTAAAACCACAAAAGCAATTTAGTGGCCAGATCTGGTTGATACATTGGATGGCTTTTTAATGCATGATGACCTTGCACCTGTTACTGTTACTTGGGGGTTATTGTGTATGCAGACTTGGTGAGTGTGGGTTATGTTAAACAGCTGTTACATAACCCTAAAATAGATTATATGGGAGTTATTTAAATCTCATGTACCCCATTTGCTGGGCTTGCGCAACAGGGCAAACCCAGAGTGAGGACTACATGCGGGATTATAGTGATGGCTAGATGTGTTGTAGCTTCACTATAGGTTAAACAAACAGCTCTTATAGTAAAGCTGTCAAATGTCCTTTGATATTATAAACTTTTTAAAAAAACTCATGACTAGAATTTAGTGCACAACTCATTGCATTATCTTCTGTTGTTCAGGATATAATTTTTTACCTACCATTTTCACGATCTTAATAACATGTGTTTCCTGGAAACTTTAGTAAATATATTGCTAATGTTTTATAGTTTTCAGGCTGTGCTTTTGGATCAGCTGCTATCTGGCAGTATGAAAATCTCAAAGCCAGGGTACAGAATTATTTTGGGGATGCTCGTGCAGATTGGATGGACAGGATGCGTCCACAGAAGGGACTGGACTTCAGAAGGCAGGTATAAGAAACTTACTGTTTATGTTAAGAAAAGTTATGTTTTCTTGCATTAGAACATTGATTTGTGTGGTAACCAATGGGAATAAAATGCTATAATTGAAGCTATTCGAGATACAACCACTGTTAGATGTTCATTGAAATGTTTCCTGTTACCGCTTAATTTTACTGCATGTGGCAACATCTTAACATGTTTCAAGGAAAAGCATATGGGAAAAGATAAATGAATAGGTAGTGCATTTTATAATAGGTGTTGTACATAGTCATCATGAATAAGACAACACATTTGTATTAAAGTAGGATGGCAGAAAATCATTTCAAGGCTAGATGAAACTGGTTTGTTACTGGAATACCAGATGTGATCCTAGTAATACATCTTCCTTGTTAATTAGCACAATTAATACAAACCATTCAGAGCCTATGGGTATGCGCTGGTATAGAATTAAAAAATAAGGTTTCCGATGCAAATTATTCTGCTTTTGTATTCTCTCATTTTTGTGTATTGTTTATAATTGCAAACATAGCAATAAAGATTAAAGATTTGATTGTTAAAAAAAGAAAAAGCTTGCAGAAGAGGGGGAGAAGACTGTATTTCCTACACCTTCCTTCTTTAACAGACCCTCCTAACTCCCTCCCCAACAGTGATTCAAAATATCTTTCCTGGGCAGGCAGGAACATCGCTGAATGGGATAGCAAGTGCAGGGAAAGGGGGTCCCCAGAATTCAATAGAAGAAATAGAAGCATTTCCTGAGCAAAAGTACCTTAAAACATTATTTCTGAAAGATGGTCCAAGGAAATAGGAGAGCAATGATTGTTGACATGGAGCAAAGCTGATATTAGACATTTCTGTGAATGTAGACCAATCAATGAGGCTGTTCATTTGATACAACACTACACCATGGGTTATTTTACCCATGGTGAACTGTGAGGGGGTGTGGTCTCGAGTTTCAAAACTTATATTTATATCCTACCTTTCTCTCATTGTGGAACTCAAGGTGGCTACATGTGGTTCCCAGGTAGTCTCCCCTCCAAGCTCAGGTCAGCCCCAGACCTGTTTAGCTTTAACATGATGGATGCATTATGCGTTTCAGACCATACTCTGTTGTTGTGCTGTGTGGACCTGGTGAGCATGGGTTCTGCAAAGGGTAAACAACCCTCACAAAGCCCATCATCTGTTTAGGGTTATGTGAAAGTTAACTAGCTGTACCAGCTGAGTTCCTACAACATTGGGTAACATGACCAACTCCAATATATGGGTTGCATATTCAGCCTGATGTCTGTGGACACGGCTTATCATGGATAAATAACCATGATGAGCTGTGAGTATATTATTCGAGCCTGATTAATATCTTACATATCATATAAGAGATGAAGCTTTTTAGAAAAAAAAGTTTGTATTTTTAATTTTGTCAAGAAGATAGTATTTTGGTAAGTACGTTCATAGCAATCAGAATTGCAGACTAATTTATCCCATTGCCTTAAAATAGTGTAGCTGAATACTGCAACAGGAACTAACAGATTGCAACATGTTTCATGTAAGTTTTCGAATCTTGCTATTGGTGCCTGTATCAATCAAGAGAAGCTGGGTATTGTACCTTATGATCACTTCCAGCTGGAATGGGATTTTGACAAGACTGTGTCATCATTTGGAAGGAGCTGATGTAGGAAGGAATGGACTTGTACATTTGCACTAACTCGGAGAAGCTTTAGTGTAAACACTTGAATAAACCCTTTTCTTCATATGTAATTGTAATGTCTTTTGGAAAAGTTCTGGATTAGAGGATTTTTATTTAAAAGCTTGATTTTGTACACATTTTTGTATACTGAAAATAGTGGACTCCAGGGGATGGGGGAGGACAGGAAGTCTTGGAGGATTGTTGTCCATGGGCTCGCGATGGGTTGGACATGACTTTGTGACTAACAACAACAACAATGAAGGGATGAATGAGTTTAAATTCTGCTATCTTGAGATGCTGTTTATTAGATGACCAAAATGCTGATTTCACTCATTCTCTTTCAGATTAACCTGTGGTGGAATAGTCTGAGCAACGGGCAGCAGGCTGTGTCAGGTTTGTGTTAGCTTACAAGTATTAGGCATTCTCGAGAAAAGAAATATGGAAAACAGGTACAGTACAGTCGCTGGATGGCTTTCATACCATGCTTAGAAGTTGTTAGATCTAAGGCAGCCTTGTCTGCATTTGTTTATTTTGCTCCCCTAAATAGTTAAGTTTTGTCCTAACATGTTAATATTATATGGATACCCCCATTTCCATGGGATGTAGTGTTACATTGGCACTCACCCTGCAAATTGCTATGGTATATAGTATTCTTTATTTATTTAAAACATTTTTATGCCACCCCCATCGCAACGAAACCTCAGGGCGACTCACAACAGAAACAAAATACATAAATAACAATAAAAAAATTATTTAAACCCCTGGTGCATCTCGGCTAAAAATTTAAAATCCTATAAATACAAATTTAACAAAATAAGTTTTAAATAAAAAGGTCTTGGCCTGGCGCCGAAAAACAAATAACGACGGTGCCTGGCGGACCTCTCTGGGGAGTGCATTCCATAGATGGGGCGTCACTGCAGAGAAAGCCCTCCTCCGGGTGCTCACCCTCCTAATCTCATTCACAGAGGGTTCCCGGAGAAGGGCATATATGGACGCAAGCATATATATGTAGTCATATACTTGGATTCTATATTAGGCTGGACAATTTGTGCCCCCTGCCACAATATTTTTGCCTACATGTGTCATGAGCCCTTACTATTACCTGTGATGGCAGGGGCTGATGGGAGTTGTATGCCAAAACAAGTGGAGGCCTGCAAGTTGCCCACATGCATCCCACAGTGTTGATATGAACTTGTTCATCTTGCCTTCTGTAGAACTTCTCTGTGATGAGGCTGGTTTCACACAAGGTGACATTCCCTTCATGGGAGTTAGTTGTCTTGCCCAGAAATTTGTTTATAACAGGATATCACAAGGAATTTGCTTGATGCATTTATTAAATATGCTCAGTCATTTTACTGTATAGATGTGGATTAGGTGATAATAAATCAACATTTCAAGACAGGAATTACATTGCTAATTCAAAACATGTTTTACACATGGGAATCAACAATCTTTCATTTTCCTCCAGAATCCTCAGAATTTCATCAGTGAGTAGAAAAATAAATTGAGGGTAGGAGGTCATTATTTTTTGTGTGTGTGAGTGACCCTTCAGTGTCTTGTAGAAAAGCAAATATGATTAAAAATCATGCTTATAAGCAATTATTTACATACTTAAAGAGACACCAGTAAACAACATATTTTGATATTTTGTGAACTGGAAGGAATATGACAGCCTAAACTTGGTTTTCTTTTACTTGTTAGATTCTCAGATTTAATGATTCCTGCTTAAATCACATGATGGCTTTTGTAGTGCTTGGGTTTATAAAAACATTTTTGTGAGTTACATAGTTGGAGAGCTTCTCTTGCCTCTAAACTTTTTTTTCTCAAATTCATAGGCATTATTGCAGCCAATTGCTTGGTATTTTGTTTATGGCGAGTACCTTCTTTGCATCGAATAATGGTCACATATTTCACATCTAATCCAGCTTCACGTAAGTGTACTGTAATATTACTACATGCACAATTATACAGGTAGTGTCTTACCTGGGTTTTGAGTTGAGGTTTTGGTTTGGCTATATAATTCAAGGGAAAAGCAAGCAAATTGGCTTCTGTAATGCAAATGGTGTAGGATAAAAGTATTCTGAAACTGTTGAAACCATTTACCCTACATAGCTTTTTAATAGCTTAATATAATTCTACCATGTGTATCACTACTATTATTCAATTTTATACTGCCCCTCAGCTGAAGCTCTCTGGACAGTTATCACAATTTGTATTGTATAGCAGAATACATGCATTTTTACAAGTGAAAGTTTTGCTTACCTTATGGTAATAACTTGTGGTATAGTTTCTTTAGAATGACAGGTAAGAAGATGATCGTGTGGAAAGAGTATATCAAATCCCTGTAGAACACCAGCCGGTGGATGAATCTTTCTTCAAACAATTCAGGGTTGTTCATTTTAACCATACCTGGGATGATGGTTGTGTTTGCACATCATGACAAGCCACCTTAGCTGGTTGTTGTGCAAACAGACAACTCATGGTGAATCCTAAAAAATGATTGGGCTCATGGTGGGTTTTGGCCTTCCCCCTCTGTTTTCCTGCAATTTCCCGAGGGACAGTTTGCGAGGAAAGCATAATTCTATATCAACTTCAAGCTATTTTGGCTTGCTGTAGCTTTTTTGCCTCTTGCCTTTTCTTTCAGTGATTGCAACAGCTGTCTGTCAAGCTGAATTTCCTGATGTCTGTTCTGACAGCTATAAGCTGTTGCTTTGAAGTGCCCAGTGGCATGTTGGAAGGGCTGCCAAACATTGCCAAATGTCTCTCTTCACCTGGAATTTCTTTGCAAATATTTGAAAACTTATTTTTATGCCCATTCGTGAGTCACTGTGAATGCTTGTAGTTGCACGGGTTCAGAGATGGAGAGCCTTGGGTGGGCAGTGTGCATGCAGGTACCTTCTGGCAAATTCAGCTGGGTAGTCACACTTGCATTGCCCCTCAGCCATACCAGCTAACATCCCACCTCCAATTTAGTTACACCAGGCAGTTGTCAAAGTGCAAGCTGTCAGATGTAATCAAATGTGAACGTGATCCTTAGCTGCAAACATGCTTTTTGAAAGGATTAAAATCCCCTTTTCAGCAAGATCCTCAACCTCTCTCATTGCACATTTTGTGCTTTGTCCTGAGCTTCAGGAGTCTTGGAAAAATGCAGAAGTGCATTCTCCACCATTTTTCCCCAGAGGAAAGGGGTTTTTAACAGTTAACTAGCTGAGAAAACTCTGGGTCCCTTAGAAAAGCTGTTGTTGGTTGATTAGGACTGGAACAAAAACTTGTCTGCTACCTCTAAGGGCAGTACCAAGGCAGTTACCTACTGGACTTGGCCTAGCAGGCAGCTCCTCCCCTGCATGCTGCCTACCTAAGGTTCTCCATCCCCAAACCCATACATTTGCAGTCGTTCAAGTACGAGTATTTTTTTTTAAAAAGTCATAAATATTTGTGAAAATATCCAGGAGAAAAAACATGTTTGGTAATGATGGGCAGCTTCTGCAGCATGCAGCTGCAGTACTTTGACATAATCAGCTGTAGCTGCCAACAGCGCAATTGTGTGAGCAGGCTCTTGCAATCTAAATCTAAATGCAAAAAAGTAGCAATTTTGTGTGCAGCTTAACTCTTGTTTTTTCTGGACAAAGCTCCCTGCCCACTTGCTTGCAGTTGAGGGCTTTAAGTCACCAGGAGTTCCAAATTTGTAAGCAGGTGGGTAAGTAAGGCTTATTACACAGGCAGGGGCTGACACCTCCTTCCCGTACCCTTGAGAGAAAACTCTGGTATAATTACATCATAAGAGGTGCATCATAGGCATGAATGCTGAGCTCTCTTCCTGGTCACTAAAGAAGGGTTGGCTCCTTTGAGAAAGGAAATTCTCTAGAAAATATACTTTTTTAAAAATAGGGGGATGTGACATATAATACAGAACTGGGGAACCTTTGGTCCACTGGTTATGAAAATTGGTCTTGCATCTTCTAAAGGGCCACATGATACCTACTGCTATCTCTCAATGCCTTTTCACCTGATTTAAAAACTTCACAATGGCATCCTTTTTTTTCTCCATCAGTTGTCTTAATGCAGAATGGTGATTCCCCTTTTTTACACATGGTTTTAGAAACACAACATAGCTAATCTGTTTTTGTTCACTTTGCAAATTGAACTGTTCAAAAACTAAGTATAAATGGAGAAATAAAGTGCTAACATTTAAAAACTGCTTGTTCCCTATTTACGTAGGTGTCCTGTGTTCTCCAATGTTGCTGTCTTCATTTAGTCATTTCTCATTTATGCACATGGCAGTCAACATGTATGTTTTGTGGAGCTTCTCAACCAGCATAGTCGCTCTTCTGGGACGTGAACAATTCTTGGCAGTGTACCTCTCTGCAGGTAATGTTAAAATGCCAATCTGTATTGGTTGTCTATTTCTAGGCTGTAAAGATAATTTGTAAACAAGCTGTGGATGTTTAGGTATTGGAATAAAGTAGCATTACTATTTCTGCTAAAAATTACTTTTAATACACTTCCACAAAGTATGTACTGTCTACAGCCACTCCCAGTGTGGTACATGGAGCCATGGGCATCCCACCAAGGGAAAGCTTTCCCTTTTCTCTAATCTCTCATCATGGAATGGAAATATGGGCAGTGTGCTCTTGCTAGCAGTAGGAAGGGAATCCCTGTTGGGGACAGGGGAAGTGGGGAAGCGTATGTGAAAGGAATGTTATTGTGTGCATGCTGTATGCAAATATATAGCCCTGAACCTTCCATCCAGTATTGGATTCAGCCCTCAGTACCCTACTGTCCTAAGTGTAGGGTTACAAGATTTGGGCTACTAGTCCATTCACCACCTCATGTAAAGTAGATAACACCAGTGGTATCAGCACTATTTTAAATTAGAGCTCATTTGAGAAGGGTTGCCATATAAAAAGGCTATGGGGCTCATTTAATACTTATGTGAAGGAAGAAATGTGACAGATGAAGGTTTTGTGGCTTTGGTTCATTGTGGGTCAAAAAACCCATATAACAAGTCGTTAGGTTATCAGGGTGGTTTGTTGTCCCATGTCTAATTGCCTGTGATGGGTTGTTGTGTTGTGCAACCATAGTCAGTATCTTGTGGTCCCCAGTGAATCTGTTCCTTATTATTTTTTTCTCTCTTTTTTAGGCGTTATTTCCACATTTGCCAGTTATGCCTGGAAAACGGCAACAGGAAGGTTTGGACCATCACTTGGTGCTGTGAGTCCTACTGAATACGCACTAATTTACCTGTTTTTCCAGAAGCTATTTTTTGAGCTTTGTCTGTGCTACTTTAAGCCAAAATCAAGGTATCTTTGAAAAATGTTACAGCAGAGAAGAGCATAGAGTTGCAATAAAATTTTGGGATTTCTCTATAATCTTTACTCATGCAAAAATAAATAATTACATTCTGGTTAATTCATCTTAGTTTAAAAAAAGAAAACATTGTATTTCTCTGATAATTTCAAAATTTATTCAGTGAAGTAAATGTTTCAGCCTGCTCAAATTTTCATTATTTGGGGTTTTAGGATGCAATCCTATGCAGCATTAGACAGAAAAGAGACCAAGAATTTCCAGCATGCCCCAACAAAGGCAGGGGCATGCTGGGAGTAGTAGGCTTCTTTTCTGTCCTGGCTTGCATAGGATTGTGCCTTTAATAGTACAAAAATAAGACAAAGCACGCACCAATTGAGCCAGGCTACACTTATGAATTGGTCTCAAATGTAATTATTTGTATGGAAGCAAATTCCACTGCTTTTAGCTATACTTAGGATTGCAGAACCAGTGCCTGATACTTTGCAGACTTATTTTGAAATAAATTCAGTTGAGCACTGCTTATAAAGCTGCTTGCCCCCAGTGTAGTTTTATTATATATTTTTCATGAGAAATATTGGTATTCATGCTCATATTGATAACTTTAACCATTTTAGGAAAAAAGGTCTTATCCTTGGACAGGAAATATAGTATTATTCCTTTAGACAAGAGATTTGCCACAATTCCTGTAGTGAGTGAATCCTTTTCTTTAAGTGCCCATGGATTTTGACTTAACATTTGGATCCTTCCCACTGATAAGCTGGCATCCTGCTACACTGTTTCCCCTTCTTATTGGGAACCATTAATGGCCATGATTAAATCTTACTACTTCTACAAAAGTCTTGAATCTCAGGGAAAAGATGAGGAATTTTTTTTACCTTTGTGAACGCAAATAAAAATTGATTTCTTGCTGATCTGTTTTTAATTTAATTTAAATTTATTTATAGGGCTACATTTTAGCCGTCATTTTAACGTGTACATTCTTGTATTTTAATGTCATTCTAGTCAGGCGCTATAATGACCATCCTTGCATCAGTATGTATGAAGATCCCAGAAGCCAAGCTAGCTATATTATTTCTTCCAATGTTCACATTTACAGCTGGAAATGTAAGTGGCTTTGAATAAAGGAAGGAAGGAATCCATCAGTTACCAGAGCAAAATTTTGTATTTGTTTGCATTTCAAAGGTGCATATATTTTTTGCTTAGTCTTATTTAAGCCTAAGTGACAGATTCTCTGTGATACAGAACATCCTGTGCTGCTATTACACTGTGTATATTTGAATTAGATAATAGAGATTTTAACTTGTGAGTTCTTGGTGTCTTTCCAAACTAAAGAATATGAAAAATTATGAAGGGGTCTTATGGACACTGGAAAAAATACTTTAGTAAATGGTTTGGGATTCAAGGTCCTACTCTCTGCATGACAGGAGCCATTCCTTTAAAAAGTAGGCCCTTGACTTCCCTTTTATGAACAGCCTTTGAAATGACTCAGTTTGTCTTATTCTCAGTGTCAGTAGCTGTTTAAGCAGTAACATTAAACAAGCGAGAAAGCCCTTGATCACATGGAACTAGTTACATTGTTTTTTAAACTCTGCTTGTAGAAATGTCTGAGTGGTGATGCCAGTGGCCAGGATGTGGACTAACGTATTGAGTGCAGGAGTGTGCAGTTTCTTGGCCTACAGCTTCCTTGATCCCTCACCACTGGCTATGTTGGCTAGGGCTGATGGAAGCTTTTGAGCAGAGTTTGTGAAGGGCCACAAGCAGACCATCCTTGATTTAGTGGAACCTGCTGCCTACCATTTTCCCTCTCACCTCTGTCTTTGCCATCCTGCTGCCATAGACCTAGTTCCTTCAACAATTCCAAATTCAGGGGAAAAACAGCTCTTCTAAATTGCACAAGTATGCAAATAGATAGAAACACCCAGGCTAAGCAAATTCTGTACAAAATTGCTTATTTGCTTAAATTTATCCCAGTAGCAGAACTTGTATTTTTTGGCTGACAAAGCATAATTTTTAATGACATACAGCTAAGCCATATTTTCAGTAAGTTTTTTTTAATGTTTCAGTCTCAGTGTTTTATAGGGCCTCTCAGCGTTCTGATCAGATGTTTTTTGGATCAGGTCCAGCATTGGGTGTTCCCAGAGTATTGAATGAAAGTTTAGCCTGAAATGTTTCTCAATGTAACTAGATTATCTGCTGCAAATCTGATGTTACATGCTATCAGTTATCTGTAAAAATGCTGCTTTCTTTAAGACAAACACACAAAAATCAGAAAAATTTCAAAACCAATTGCATTTTCAAAATTTAGCTTGTAGCAGTATATCTGTCAATATTAACTGATGAATTGTAAATTTGCTGACAAATTCTCAGTTGGCATAGCAGATGAAAGAGGCCTCCATCTACTAAAACCCAATTTGTCATATCTTTATCATTTCATTATTTGAACCATGTTGCGTCTTTTGTTTGTCCTTATTACAGCTGCCGCTTTTTTCCCAGTTACTCTTGAAAGAGCACAGTTCTGTGGCTCTTGGGCAGTGTCTAAGCCATAGGATTTTTTATTTTAAAGGTACAAGGTCAAATTCATGACTGGGGATCTGCACTTGGCTCTCGATTCCCATTCCTTCAGTCAGTGCAGAAAGGGCTTTAGGGTTATCCTGTGGTGTGCAGTGGGGAGGAGGTGAGATACAAGGTAAACCAGCAGCACCTCATTTTGCAGGGTGGGAGGAATGTGGAAGCAACCTTTGCCTCAGCAGACCTTTCCACCCTCCATAAGAAGCCAGTTGTCCTTTGAGTTCAGGGGGTATAGACATCTTGATTGCACCACAAACATGTTTGCTTCAGGAGTAGCTTATTTAAAATCAGTAAAAACAAGTCTGCCCACACGGTTTAGACATAATAGGATGAAGAAGGGAAAGCAAATCAAGGAGACCAAAGCAGCAGTGATTAAAGTTACTCTATAGTTTTTTATAATGAGCAGCTGAAATTGAAACAGTTCAGGGAGATTTTTATCCCATCTTTCTAGTGCCTATGTATTATTCAGGGCCATTACAATAATTTACTATCATAATGTCAGATACAGTTGAAATACAACAACACTTCATGCATTTCTCTTACATCCTGTTAAAATGTCAAGTTTACATGCAGGGAACTGGGGCTGGGAGAGAGTTTCTTGATCAAGGGCAGCCACTGTGTCCATGACAACAGTGAGACTTTTAACTCAGATCTGTGTACAGACTTGCTGTCTCATAAGCTGTTGACAAGCTATTAGCAGAAGAGTGTTGACAAACGTGGAATAGATGCATTTTTGGGAAAGTTGTTAAGACATTTCCCTGTTCGATTAGCTGATAACACGAAGTTGTGCTGCCTGGTGTCCTAGTCTTCTCAATATCGCTGTTTATTATTTACCTACTTCTAGGCTTTAAAAGCAATTATCGCATTGGACAGTGCAGGACTTGTTCTGGGCTGGAAGTTTTTTGATCATGCTGCACACCTCGGTGGAGCTCTGTTTGGAATGTAAGTTTTTACATTTTGCTGTTACCATGAAGGGGTGACATTTGGGAGAATATCTTTTCTGTTTATTTAAAGCTTGCTAAAATATACTAATCCTGTTATTGCTAGGAATTGTATTTTGTCAGGAGGCTGAACAATACTCACTGAAACTTTATTTATCTGTAATGTTATGTGAAAATATTTTTCACTGCGGTTATGTTTTTATTTCTTCAAGATGGTATGTAGCATATGGGAACAGTCTAATATGGAATAATAGAGAACCAATTGTAAAGGCTTGGCATACAGTGAGGACTTGGAAGCCAAGGAAATGAGGTGGGGCTCATGGCTGCTGCATTGTAGAAGACACTTGTACAGAAATGGTGTGCTACTCGGATGAAGACAAGGAAAGTGAGTTGCTACACAAGACATACTGGAATCTTTAGGTCCTCCTGTGGTAACTTTCTGCTTGAAAATAATGCATTTGGTAAGAAATATGGCAGAATTAAAACAATAAAGATTTGTATCAGTGCTTTATTAAATGAATCTGTCAGTTTCACAGAATATTTAGGAGCAGAAATAAAATGACATCATTTGCCTAATGTATTTTTCAGTAGCTAAGGAAACAATCCAAGTAGTAGTCCTGATACAATATTGCTTTGGTATGTTCTCCTTGCCTTATTCTTTTGCAGTCTGTGTTTGATATGAGTAGTGTCAGGGTCTGTGACCAGAGACAAGACAAGAGCAACAGAGGCACCAGGATCAGGGCAACAGAACTTCATGAAAGACAGAGTCCAAAAGCAGAGTTTAATGGAAAATTCAAATCATTGTCATGGTACAGGCTGAGGTCAGGAACCAAAAAAATGCATTAGGGCAGAATAAGAATGTGGTCAGAAACAAGCTAAGCGTTGAGAACCAGGAGGAAAAACAGAAGTGCCAGGTACCTTGGACAGGATAACAAGGCAAAAGACACTGCGTGACAGGAACCAGCTGCAGCCAAGGTCAGGCAAGATGCAGAAGACATGGCAAGGCAGGAGGCACAGCAGGAACCAGGAGCCGGCACTACAGCAAACAGAAGGCCCTGTGTTGCTGAGGCCAGTTTTGGAGGGAAGAGCTGGCTCTTATATACCTCTTTTCCCAGAACTCCCAGCTGATGCTTGTCAGTAGCCTAAGAGCTTTAGCAAGGCCTAGAACTGATCCTACATATAAGGTGGTGGTTCCTCTGGTTCTGGCCACCAGAGCAGGCCAGAGCCTGACAAGTAGTGACAGATGCTCTAATTTTATAGGCACACATTTACACAGACCCAGACCATATTTTGGAAATGCATTATAAATGTTGGGAAGCATCCTGTGTTACAAATTAGACAAGACACACAAGTCATGTATATCTTTCTCTGATCGTAATTGAACCAGGAGGGAGCCTTGGAAAAGAAATCATGAAACTATACCTCTTTCCTCTACATTCCTCTGTTCAAACTTGTAACTCCCCAGGGTTGTGCTTTGTTATTCAAAAAGGGAAAAGAAAAGTGAGTACAGATCACATCTAGCTTGGTCCATATGTGGGATTAGAGATAATAAGCAAGAATTGTAATTGATGGATATAATACAATTCTACATGTGAAAAGGAACTGAATGCCATCATCTGGCGTGTATTAGAATAATTTTTTCTATAAAACTGTTATATAATACACAGCGTTATTATTTCAGTTGTATTTATCAACAGAAAAGAGGAACAATGCAGGTACAAATTCTCAAAAGACCAGTAATAACTTCAGAGACTTGTACACAAATTATATCAAATGATAGCTGAGTAAACCATGCATCATTCACATGTATATATGCAGTGTCTAAAACATTGGCTGAACTCTAAGAGCAGTATGAGGCTTCTCCATGTTTAGTGATGTTCTCTCGCTCACTCTCTTTTTGAATGGCCAACATACATTCTGTATCACAATCAGCTTGTGAAACTCCTCTTTCCAAAAAGTGAGTTTCCATGTTGCATGGTAGGTTGCTGCTTAAGAAATAACTCCAGCGCTCTCTTGTACATGGAATTAATTACATAATTTGTTTTACATCATGGTCATTGTTAGATTCTCCTATTAAAGTTGTTGCAGCAGTGTTCTACATGTGTAAAATCGGATGAACTCTTCTGTTCAAGTGATTAGCAATTTGTGAATTGAGGTATGTAATGGCTGTAGTTCTGAAAACCTTTCTTCCAAAGAAAGTTATCTCAACTAAACTCTTTTGTACTGATAAGGGTTTCGTAACCTTTCTTATGATTGAGCACACAATTTTTCACTCGCTATTGCCTGTTACTTTAGAAAAAAAGTTTTTTTTAATAGTTACATCATATCAAACCTGAAAATTTGATATATTCCACCACAATCAAAAGAATATTGAATTTATCTTAATTATTGTGCAGACATCAAAGGACAATGTAAAGACAGAATCAAAACAAGCCACTGTGGTTCAGAGGAAATGTATAGAATCTTTAGCCTCTTAGGTGCACAAGATGTCAACCTAAATTGGGATTGTGGGCTGCAAAACCACTTCTGATGATAGGTACTCTGAAGTCCTCTTTTGTTGACTTACTCTCAGTGAGAGCCAGTGCAGTATAGTGGTGAAGACTGTAGGACTAGGACTCAGGAGATCTAGATTCTAGTCCCCACTCAGCCTTAGAGCTAACTGGGTGAGCGTGGTTATTGTGAGGATACAGTTGAGAGGAGAAGAATTACATAAACTGGCTTGAGTTCCTTGAAAGGAAACAGTGGGATATAAATACAGTTTTAAAATATTTTCACGGGTATTGGCTCTCCAGAATCTCAAGAAACGCCTTTCTTATGCTCTTACCTGATTCTTTCACCTGAAGGGGACTTCTTATATTCAAAGCATTTGCTTTAACACTGAACACTGGTTGCTGCAATGCAGAGATCCAAAGAGCTACTTTAAGCACTTCAAAAGGCTTGAGAATGCCCTCTTGATTTTTTTTGTGGGGGGGTCATCTATAGCCACAAACCCCAATGCCACATCACAGCCTGCTCAGTGCAAAGGTTCCTTCCTCAAGATTACATTTTGGGATTGCAAAGCTTGAAAACTGTCACAGATTATCCTGATTTGGCAGTGTTTAAAGACAGAAAAAAAGCTGTGACACTTCTAAACAAGGATTGATTTTTCCTTTCACTTCAGTTAAAAAAAAGTTTAGCCAAAGTTCATTACTAGAACAGAGCTGCATCTTCTCTTTAGAATTTAATAAAAACATTAGAAAAGAACCCCCCCCCCCCCCCAGGATGATTGTGTTCCTCCTACAGGAAAGCTATCAGCTTGTTGTGAATAAAGTTTTGTAATGAGTTAAATATAACTGTACGGTTTTTAATCGCTCATTTTTATGGCTAATCATGTTGAAAGCATACAATAACATAAACTAGTTAGTAAATAGTGGCATCTGAAAATTAAATCTCTGCTGATGGATTTTGATGCCACAGGAATATTTTTGAAAAGCATCCAGCCAAAGATTACTTAATAGCTTGGGGCTGTATCCAGCAGCATGGACCACTGCAACTCCCATTCAACAATGGGAGTCCCGCCAATTCTGTTGCACAAGTGACTCGCAAGGACATACTCCTAAACTAGCAGGAACAGACCCTGACAGCAGAGCTTCCTTATCCAAGTTTTGTTGACCTGCCTCATTCCAGAAATGAGTGTTCCCTTAAAATACATAGTGGGCACCACTTGTGCAATGGAATTGGTGGGGCTGAAAGCCACTGATGAAAGATCACCCTTGGTTATAGATGCAGCAGTTCTGTTCCTCCAAGACCAAGGAGGGTCAAAAACAAGTCCTGTACTACTTCTCTATTAAAGAACTTTTAAACCAGAACTTGCTATTACATATGATCTGGTTAATTCTGGTTTGATCAATTCAGGGAGTTGCCCAATAGGTCAAGCATATGAAGGTAGGGCTTATTCCTAGTCTTCCAAATAAGAATGTTGGTTAGGTCTGACCCATCTCTGTCTTGGATAGCTGCAAGGAGAGGAAAAAAATAATACTATGCTGTTGCATAGCCCTTCTGTTGCCTGATGCTTTGTCATTTATCCTTATGCCAGTATTTGTCTGGCAAATACTACCATCGTTTAGATTTATTTTATTTCACTTGTTTACATAGCACCTTCCATGGCTGGAATACTGGGTAATTGATGGGGTGAGGGATTCCTAACCTTAGCGGCGTTAGGGTCTCATACATTCCAAAAAACACCTGCTGCTATGCTGCGCGCTCCAGAGAATTTCTGCCCTTCCCACTTAAGCCATCTGGCCTAGTTTTTCCTGCTGGCAATTTGCCTTAACAGCTGGCATTTCTGAAGAAGTGGGACACATGGTTCAGGAAGAAGCATAACATATACTTCCAAGCAGACTTTGCTGGCCTGGCCAGACATTTTACCCTCCTGGCAAGCTGGCAGGCAGTATTGAAGGAAACAAAACCAGAAGAAAATGCCACAGCACATGATTAATTTGTTCTCGTTGTTAACATGAATACATACTGTAATGAATTGGGATGAGGTGGCTACATGTGCTTGAAGGAGATGCTTGGAACTGTGAGTGTGAAAACATGCACAGCTGTACAGCTCCAGTACCTTATTAAGAAAACACGTGGGTTGTACTGTTTTGTTTGGTGCATTCAGCAAGACTGCACATGTGTTTATCTGTACAAATGGCTCACCGTTGCCAACACTACTGCCTGCCATCTCTTTCCAACAATCTTTCAAGTAGCCACTTAGCAGGTCTGAGGCCAAATACTTTTGTTTAGCCTCTAGCCAGGCAAGAAAGCATTTTTGTTTAGGGGTCAAGGAAAGTCGATCCACACACACAACCTTTTCAGGGAGGCTTTTCCTTAATGAAAAGGGACTCTGAACATGTTAGTTGAGAAGTCGTGTCAGACCCATCGCGACCCCATGGACAACACTCCTCCAGGCCTTCCTGTCCTCCACCATCTCCCGGAGTCCACCTAAGCTCACACCAACTGCTTCAGTGACTCCATCTAGCCACCTCATCCTCTGCCTTAGAAGGCACTTATGCCTACATAGATTTAAAAAACAACAACCAAAGATATAAATCACACACTGGGACAAGTGCATAGGACTATGGCAAACCAGATCAAAATAGGCATAAACCAAGTGCTGAAAATGCTGTTCTATATGAGTCCTTATTTTTTAAGTTGGTATTGGCATTGCCTACAGGTTGGTCAAGAAAAATGATCAAGTTGGTTAACAAACATCAAGTTAGAACAACCACTACTCAGTTTGGAAGACATGCCATCATTCTTTGAATGCTAGCATTTAAGAAGAAACACCGTTCTACACAGCAATAAATGTGTTTGTCTTTAAGGTTCTTCCAGATTCCTGTTTTGTTGCTTTTTTGCTGCAATATATGCACATGCTGGCAACTCTGGAAAACACTGTTAACCTATTGAAAAGAATTTGGGATTGGATCTGGAGTTAATTGTACAGAGGATGGAGCCACTGAAATCATGATTAACTTTACACCCTATTGGTCAATAGATTATAAGTATGACTTATCATCCTGCAAACTGGAAGGGCAAAATATATAAACTGAAAATAGAATTAAAAACCACATGAAATTATAATAGATAGTGTAAATCATATGCCTGTTTCTATATTTTATCTATTTTTGTAATGTGCTCCCAGTTCACTTTTGTTTCTACTGTGATACAAAAATGAAACCAGGGCAGGATATTGAATGGGGGTGATTGCAGCACCTGTATTCTAAATGGGTTGGGAGCTTTTTGACTTGGAACAAGCTGCTCAACTGAAACAAATCCAGTGGTATGCTTCTGTTTGCTCAAAGCACTGCACAATGTTTCAGACCGTCTCCACTAGCTCTTGAACATGGAGCAGCACAATTACTAGAATTTTTGCTATTATCTTTGGATTGAACCCAAGGTGACTGCTTTATGTATGGTGTGAAAAATATCAAATAGCGATTTGATCAGGAATATCTCTAAAATCGGACATCTTTTAAATTATTCAGTGTATTTTTTCAATAGTTCACTGAAACTAATCTTACTATGATCAACCTCTTACAATCTTGTTCATTATGCAATTTAATTACTCAGTAGATTACTGTCACTGATTGTGCCAGTTGGATCACAGTGTTAGTACTCTAGCTTGCATATCTGTGTGGAAGAGCCACCGTGTTCAGTGGGGCTTACTTCTCGCAAAGTATGTGTAGACTTGCAGCCTTCATTGCAAAGGACAACTCCCACCTTGCCTGGTTGCCTTACTTGCCCCTAGAGCTGCTCTTGATCTCCGTGTAAGCTTCTCACAGGCAGCAGACCATGCGAACGTGTCCATGTAAAGTGTTAAATACCAGATTTGTATGTGCTTCAGCTTGAGTTTTTTACTGGACAGAAGTTGCATACTTCATGGTTTCCAAAATACGCTTCCCTATTAAATATTCTACTTGAACACAGCAAGCTAAGGAGAGTGGAGGGGGGAAACGCTAATGTCAGTGCTTTAGGAGTGTGTTTTGGGGTAGTTCCTGCAATTTGTGCATTATGGCTCCAGCTTTTCTTGGGAAACGCATGAACGGTGCCTCAGATTGGCAAAGGCACACCGCTTCCGACTTATTTCCCTCTTTACTTTGATTCCCGTTAGGTCATCCTAGCATCTGATCGTTTCTCTCCTCTGCCTCTCAATAGATCTCGGAGTCGAATAGTCAACTCTGTCAGAAAATCTTTAAAAGCGTTTAGGTATGCGTAATAATTCGGCTGGGCTGGATGCGATGATTAAAGAGACAAGCAGCGCAGGGTATTTCCTAGAGAGAGGGCAAAGCGGGAGGATGGGATGGCTGAAAGCCTGAGAGACTGGCGCTGTGTGTCACCCCCCCCCCCCGCCCCTTTCCTTCCTCCCCACACCCCACTCTTTTTTGCATTCCTGGCAGATGCTGCAGCATTAAGCTCCGCTGTCACCCGGGGAGGGGGGAATGATGGTGCACAGGGGCATCACGTGTTTGGCAACCTCCTGAAGAGGGACTGATATTGACCAAACCGGGGGGTGGGGGAGAGGAGGAAGGAAGCAAGTGAGAAGGAGGAGGTGCTGATATTGACAAGTGACGGGGCGAGCTGAAAGTGTAACTGTGCGCAGGGGAAGCCACTTCTGCTGCTGCAGATCTCCCCCCTCCTCCCGGTGAGAGACCCCCTCCGCCGCCGCCGCCGCCGCCGCCTCCATCCCTCTCATCACCCGTTCCTGCAACCTTGCATGGTGGTGCCGCCGCCGCCGCCATGGCTTGGCCCTGCATCAGCCGAGTGTGCTGCCTGGCGCGCTTCTGGAACCAGCTGGACAAGTCGGACCTGGCCGTGCCGCTCACCATCCACAATTACTCCGACATCGAAGAGCCGGCCGAAGAGGGGGCGGACGCGGCCGGCGGCAGCGGCCCCCAGCAGCCTCGGATCCCAACAGGTGGCAGCACCGGCACCGGCACCGGCAGCCGAGCCCCTGCCCAGCCGCGGGCGACCGCTGCGCTGCCCGTGTCGGCGTCCGCCCCGTCGCTGCAGCAGCAGCAGCAGCAGCCGGACAGCCTGGTGGGCGCCAGGAGGCCGTCGAAAAAGACGAGCCACCGCAAGGAGCCCTTCGCCGCCGAGACTCAGTACCAGCAGGATTTCCGCGCGTGGCCGGTACAGAAGAGGGACGCCTTGCCGTGGGTCGGCGACAGCAGGAGGGGGGAGCCCCCGGGAGCGCCCCCCGTCGCGGCGGGAGCCTCCGCCGAGGCCGCCCACGCAGGGATGGTCCCGGGGGGCTCCCACGTGTACGTGCTGCCAGCGGGCGGCCAGCAGGTGGGCAGCAAGTACAGCGGAGGCTTCAAGCAGGTGTGGGCCTCCTCCTCGCCGCCAGGCGTCCCCAAGACCACCTCCTACAGGTAGGTGAGGGCGGCATTCGCTGCCTCTGCAGGGCTTCGCTGCGGTCAGCAGAACGGCTCCCCTTCCCGGGCCAGGGCTCGGCCTCGCAAAAGTGGGAGCAAGGAAGGAAGGAAGGAAGGAAGGAAGGAAGGAAGGAAGGAAGGAAGGAAGGAAGGAAGGAAGGAAGGAAGGAAGGCGGCGTTCCGGAGCATGAGTAGAGTGCATTGGCCCCCAACTTCTTTGCCATCGTGTGCACTGCATCTTTTTTTCTTTTCCTTTTTTCCGCACAGAAGGCACTACCATAGAAGTGTGGGCATTTGGTAGGCTAGGTATTTCGAGTCATCCTGTCTGTATACGTTTACTTATTTATTTTTCCATTTCAATGCCACCATTTTTCCTCTTGCAAAGAAACCAATGTGCTTATGTGCTCTTCCAGTCCATTTTATTATCCATTCATATCCCACTTACATGGGATATTTATTATAGCCACTTGTCCTCAAAAGAACTCAAGATGGAGTACATAATTCGTTGCCCATGATATTCTTGCAACAACCCTGTGTGTAGGTTAAGCGAAGTTATAGGACCTGATCTACATTCTGAAGTCACCCAATGAGCTGAGTAGGGAGTTCAAGCCTAGGGCCTTCCTAGTCCAGCAGTCTCCCACTGTCCGACACTGGCAGCCGCCACATGCATGTGCTTGAAAACCCCCTATGGCATCTTGGTGCATTTACACACAACAACATGTATCTGTGTGATCTGCATATCCCCTTCCTGCCCTCCAGTGCTGAAGCACTCTATATATTAAATAGTCCAGGTCACCACAGTGTGATCTGGGATCCAGGAAATGGTGGTCAGGACCTCCCAGACACAGGCTTCAGCTATGGGAGCTCCCACTGTGCTTTCCCAACAACACCCAATGTTTCTAGTCCTTCAACTGTCTGCAGATAAATGGGACAGACATTGATTCAAAACAAGACACTAGAAAGGGAAATAACAAGGCAATCTTTTTAGCATGGCACCTCCAGATGCTTTGGGCTGCACTTCCCAGCATTCCTGAATATCAGCCCTATTAGCTGGGGCTGATCAGAGCTGAAGTCCAAAATACCTAGGGACATCAAGTCAAGAAATGCTATTTTAGGAGTCTTGCAGTAGAATCCTATACAAATCTACTAGACTGCATTAAATGGGGTATACTGCCAAGGAAGTGCCTATAGGATTGCAGCCGAAATTTCTATAGGTGACTTAATGTACATCTTTTCTGCAGAATCCAGTAAGACAAGCACGGATTTGTGTACTTTATAGAGAAAGCAAATAGCAGAAAACAGTTATTTCTTCTTTCATATACTTTTCTCAAGTGTGCTCATCTCTTCTGCCACCTTGCCAGTTTGAGAGAGAAATCCCAAACATGGAGGACTCTTTGATTCCTGCCACCCTGTTAGTTCCACAGATAACCAGTACAGCCTTCTTGTTACAGACAAGCCATGCTGCAGCCAGGATCATTCTCCCTCAGCTGAGCAGAACAGCCCTGTTTCCCAAATCCTGGACTCATTCAGTCACTCCCATGCCCAGCGCCTTCTAGGTACAGGGGTCCATTGACTGGCTCATTAGTTGCTCTCTTTCTTCCATGGCAATATCCTAGAGTACATAGCCCTCTGGAGATCATGCTTTTAAACCATGCACACATCACCACCACCAAACCCATGCTGATTTGTTTTTAATCTTGGCTCAGCTTGTTCCAAGATGGGTCAGATGTTCTGTGTGCAGCATGACTTGGTTTGCGGCCCCCCCAAATACATAAGCTGTGTTTGGTGCGTTGAACCTGCTATTTGGTGAAATGCAATGCAAGAGCCTGTATTGAAATAGTAAAGTTCTCCAGTAATTATCAAAGGAAGGGGAAGGGCAATACATTTGGCAGGACACGGAGAATGTCTTCTAGGCATAACACCTCCAAAGAAGTGGGGAGATTTTTAAAATTTTAGTCTGAAGCCTATGTATAATGCAGTTGAATCAGAACTGCAGCCATCTCACATTTTCTGCTGATTTAAGAATATTGCAGTGAACTTGAATTCTCTAATAACTTTATCTTAGTTTTAGATGGGTGAGGGCAACTGGAGTACATTTAATATAAGCATTATAGTAGTCTCATATTGAAAGCACCTCTCCAGATGTGAATGTACTGATATATTTATTAGTAGCGTTTATTTATGGCTAAATCCCTAAGAGGTTTTAAGGTTGACGACTGTACACTTCATTGGACTGCCTCCTCCAACCACCTCTGAGTGAGGTTTAGAGGATGACAAGACAGACGTTTTCCTGGCTGACTGTGGAGAGCTCCCCAGTGAGGTTCCCCTGATGCCAACATTGTCGTTTTCCCAGCTCAAGGTACTTTTTGTCCCTGATCCCAGCCATTTGATGCAGGTCCTAAGATTTTATATTATTGATCGTGCAAAGCGTTGCTGTCTTTCTTGGCTTACTGTTGTTATAGCGCATTTTTAGGGTTTGGCTGTTGGCCAGTATTGATTTCCGTTTATAGTGTGATAAGCAAGCAGTCCAAGCTTGCCTTCTAACCTTCCAAGCACTGGAATGTTCAAGCATTGTACCACGTTAGACACCTCGCTATCATGTTGCAAAATCATTTTAGGCATGAATATCGTCCATGGACTGGGGCAAAACGATCAAGGCCCACAAAGACAACACAAGGGTTCATTATCCCAGAAGATCACTTTGTGCAAGAATCTAGCTACAGAGCAGACTTCAAGGTAAATGTACTTTGCAAAGCCTCTGAAATGGAGGAATTTGTGAATGTGAGTGGGGCCCAGGTCATATGAACAGGACTGCACAATGAGAATGCTGCTTCCCATTTCACAAGAATAATTACCTTTTGCCCTGATTCAGTGAGAGAGGTCCCATGTGGATGCTGTAGACAAGCATCCAAATATACAACCCCCATCCGTCTGTTTGAGATGGCTGGATGCATGCAACTAGATCTGGATCAACATTAAAATCTGACACCATAACAATACTTAGCACAGCCCTATGCATGTTTACTTGGAAGTAAACCACCGAGTTCAGTTGGGCTTACTCCCAACTATGTTACTGCAGGATTGCAGCCTAATTCGTTTATTGCAGTGTTAGCTTATATGCATAGTCAAGTTTATTGATGCACAAACCAAGGAAGGCATCTCAAAAAGAAAACATATACAAATGAGCACATCTCACCATTTGTACAGAATTGCTGTAAGTATCAAGCTTTATAAAATGGTACATATTGAAACAAATGCAATTGAAAATCCACTAGATTGGTGCCCTAAAGCATAATCCATTTGGCTTTAATTCTGCTTGCTGTGAGGGCAAATGAGGCTATACATCTCATAATCCCCATGTCCTTGTCCTTTAAATGTAATTTTGGCTATAATGGGCATGGAACTAATTTTGCCTGGAACAGGAGAAAGCCATCTCATCCTAATATCTGGAAAATCTTCAGTATCTCCAAGATCACTGATATACTGGCAGCATTCAAGACTAATCTCCTGGTAACGACCTTCAGGCACCTTTGTAGGCATTGATTGGTATCTTAATGCAGAAAAAGCCAAACTCAGAGGGTGGTAAATTAATTTGCTCTCTGTTTTAAAATCCTCCTTGAAGCAGTAGTATCAAGGAGAGCACCTGATGAGTTATACTCTGGTCCAATCCTATTGTCCTTTAATGGTCTGTTTGTTTTTTAATCAAGTTGTGTGCCTCTAGCAGTTGTGCACCTCTAGAAACTAAATCAACCTGAAACAGAACACAAGATTAAAATGCCATCTTAAAGACCACTTCCTGAGAGCAAGCCCCACTGAAGGCAGTAAAGCTCAAATATTGAGTATTTGGGCATAGGATTGCGCTTAGAGCTTGATCAAGATAAATGATCAACCCAGAGACCTCTTGATCCCATAAGAGATAGCTCAGGGTGGGGACCTTGTTAACACAACATGTTGAGGCTCACTTAATAGAGGTTGGGCTGCAACACCTGTGAATACAATTTTGTGCAAAACCCAAGTGGAGATTTGTGGCCTGTGATCCAAACACATCACTTGCACAACCCAAAGCTTGTTGTAGACAATGGGCATGACATGAAAACCGGATTTTATTTTATTTTTTTGGGTGGGGGGGGGGGGGGGAGCTGCATATTTGAAATGGTTGGTGGCATCCACTCTGGGTTCTTGAAGGTTAATTAGCCCACAAAAGGCTATCATTTTGTATGAACATGCACAGTGTTTAACACGCTACAATTAGATCCCTGCAGTAATTAACATCTGATCTATGCCTGTCCCTGATCTACAGGCTGTTGGGACCTCATGACTCAGTTGCATAAGACAATGAAATCCTGCATTTGTTGACAAAAGGAATTCACATTACTTCTTTCTGCTACTTTAATGTTGCCTATTACACACACAGTGAAATTCTAGCCACTGTGAGAATATTTTGCTCTGAATCCAGCACACCACACTGTGTATCATGTTGTACACAGAATCAACTTTTTAAATGTCATGTACCATATGAGGTGTTGGGACTCCTAAATATTCTAGGGAAAGTGTTCCTCAGGTTTTGAGAAACATCCTAGCCTATCCCCATCTATCAATGAAAAAAGCTTCTCTTTCAGGGAGGGAAATGAGGACGCATAGATTCTAAAGTGATTCTAGATTCTAAAATGAGGACGCATAGATTCTTTAAAATTCTAAAGAATTTTAAGGGATTCTCTCCCCGTTTTTCACCACTTGCATGTTGGTCCTACAGACAGAAAGGCTATGATCACTTCAAATCTATTCATTTGCTTGTGGCTGCTGCTGAAAATAGTTCCCCCATGTTGACAATCCACATGCAGGGAAGACTATCTGCTTTCCCCAACATACAGGTAAACATCAGTGGCACATGCTCATGGTGTCATTGAGGCTGGCATCCTACTCTGCAGTTGTAATTGGACCAGTACATGAGACCAGTACATGGGCCTACCAGTGTGGAAGCAAAGCCAGGGCTTGCAGGACAAAAGCATTGGGCCTATGAGAAGTACAGATGATGATATCCTCTGTCACCCCCTCCAGCTTCCTTGTTCCCTCCGAACTTGATTGTAATTCTCACAGTGGCAGGGAACTTAGCAGGGCAGACATTGTGAGCTATTTCTGTTGTATTGGTCTGGTATGGTATTGTCCTGCTTGCTCCTAGTGGATCAAAAGTTTTAGAAGGGATTGTTGATAAGGATCAACAAAGCTGCCTGCATTGTGGACTCCCCTTGGAGGTGTGGCTATGGGGGTTGTCAGGATGAATCCCTGCAGTTCAAAATTTGCCACTGCACCACTGGTCCCCAAGACATAGCTTAAGCAGTGATCCCCATGGTATTGATTAAGCGACAACCACAGATAGGTGAATATCTTTGAATCAGCCCTCAGGCATCACACGTAGGCATAAGTTTGAGTGCTGTTTGTTCTGCCCTCTTGGCCAGACCTCTTAGGAAGCACAGTGGGTGATACTGGGGAAGAAAGTGTCCCCTCCCTCCCCAGCCTAACATAAGTTTAAAGGGAGAGGAGAGATCAGCTCTTTGACCCCAAACAACATACAGTTAAATCATATGATTGTGACATATTCTTACAGTGTGCGAATAGTGTGCAGTTAGCAATTGCTGGAGTCTTGTCTGTAGCTCATAGCTACAACCACGCAGAGTGTCATCTGAATAATAAGTGACACTGGAATATTTCAGATCATGAAGGATAACTTGGTGGCATTAATTTGAAAGGCGACTGGATGCCACAACTTTTTTTTTTTGCTCTGCAGTAATAGGTCTAACTTGTGTCCTCTTTTCCTCTCCAGTTCCCAGAAGCGAAGGCCAAGTTTTCGCCAAACCCTTCAGCTGTTTTCCAGGCACCGTCTCGCATCCTCAATGTATGAATGTGGCTCATGCACATTTCCCATCCAGGCAGCTTGAATGTTAAGGTTGTGAAAATGTACAGCTATGCAACTTTCATGAGTGGTGTTGAGATAAGAGCAAGAATGATTAAAAGCAGCTACAGTAATTATCAGAATTTATGCATTTATCACGAACATGTAAATTGTACAGCCCTTGAGTTGGAGATGGCATAATATACTGGGGAGAATGACCTAGTTTTATAGCAAGAGGCTCGGCAGAAATAGTGGCTAGGCTGGCTTCACATTTAAGACTCTGATTTGGGTCAGCAAATGGCAGTATATAAAGCAGTGTGATTATGCCTAAGTACACACAGGCAGGGAATGGTGTATCGCCAACCTGCCTACCCTCAGTGTCATTTTGTAGCCACCTTGACATAGGTTGGTGGAAGAGACTCTGGATAGCTTTTGAACTGCTTTTCCCTTAAAGTCCGGGGATCAACCTTGAAACATCGGATGTTGTTGCAGGGACTTTTGATATCTTCTGGCTGAGGGTCATGCAAGGTCATGAGGGTGATTCTTGACTACTTTGTCCCAGAACATGGTGCTTCACACAAACACTGACTGTACTTTAGAAGGTTCTGGAAAAACACCACACACCTTGGAAGCAATACTTTATCTTTCAAAGGCCCCTCAGCATTTACCCTGATGATATCTACCTTTTCAGGCCACGGAAACCTTTGGCAGGGACTGTAGCTGGTCTCTGGTCTCCGGATGACTTTTCTTTTGGGGAAAGGTATTCGCTGGCACTCCTTTCTCTGCTTTGTTTTCTCTAGGGCTGGCCAGAACCTGTTTACTTTCTCAAAGGTTTGAATCCTGATTATCTAAGCAAGCATGATCTCCATTTAAGTAGGTGTGCAAGGTATCCATCTGCCATCTCCACATCAACACTCTCCTAAGGGGGAGGTCTAGACTTCCCTCTGGAACTGAAAATCAGTATTTGATTCAGAATTGTTTTGATCTCATTGCTTTCATAGGCCAAAGGAACTGTTCAAGACAACACTAGGAAAAGTGAATGTTTTAAAAATGAGGTGACTTCGTGTATACTCTGCCTACTCTACAAAGCCTTGAGGTAGCTTATGTTAAAGCAGCACAATAAAATAAGAATCAGGAAAAGACAGCTAAAAATGCAACATCAAACCAAAGGTTCACTGCACCATAAACATACCCTAACTTAAATACCCAGCACTGGCTGATTCTGCTGGGCTTGCTATTCCAAATATTGTTCCAAATAGATATTGTTTACTACCCAAAGTAGTAGGCTTTTATGAATTGGATGTGCATCCCACAACCTTGGTACAGCTAATCTGAAGGCCCTGTTGTGTTTTTGGGCTGGGAAGGCTGCTAAATTCTGGGGAAAGAAAATCTGATAAGGCAGTACAATGGAAATTAAAACATCTTGGACATAATGCCAGATTTTTTAAAACTGAGGACTAGTAGCACTAACTGGGTTAACTCATATTATTGTGATGGACCAGACATTAAAACAATGACCAACTTAAGATGTAATAGTGCTATTTTATGTGCATGTAGATGCTGTACATAGGTATCATTGATGAGTTTGGTTTTCAGAAAAAGAGAGTATGCTTAATATATTTTATTTAACATTAACTGTTTTTGAGTACACAAGGTAGAAAATTTATTGCCTTGAAAATCCTAAATTATTGCCTGTATTATATAAGTGATATTAGTGCTAAAGAAATTAATGTTACATAGTGACTATTATACAATTTTCAAAGAGGGATCACTTTTAAATTTCATTATTCTACATTTTTCTATAGTATTGACAGGAGTAATTTTTGCCTAGGGTCTTTTAGTAAACCATTTTTAGTTTGTGCTCAGTTCTGCATAGAGTGTATACATTTTTATGGAAAGAGTTTGTAAGAGTAATTGCCAGCTTAATAGTTTCCATTGACTTTTGTAAATGCCCTATTTATGGTCAGGAGTGGACAACACTGACAGCAAGAGCCATTTTTGCCTCTCAGACCTCTACTGCAGGTCATCCCAACAACATTATGGATCACCAAAAGCTGGCAAAAAAGCCAAATCTGACCCTTTGGACATCCCCATAGTACCAGGGATACCATTTTCCCCTATCTTGGGGGGAGTCCCATGAATTTGATTGGGTGCTTGGGATAGCTTCCGTGTGGCATCCATTGGTTGCCACAGTTCCTGTGACTTCAGTGTACGTGCACAATCTCTGGTATTTCTGGGCTATTTAAGCCCAGGTTTCATTTCGTCCTAGCACCAAAATAACCCCATGTTCAGCAGCAGTCTGGAGTCTTAGGAACTTTGTACTGGGGCACTCCTATTTGACATTTGGCCACTTAGAGTGAAGAACATGTGGTCAATTATATCCAGTCATTATTTTTCATTCATTCATACATGGTTGAGCTGGAAGTTGTAGAAGTTGTATTCCAGTGGCAGTTTAACATCACCAAGTCCTATGCTACCATTAGGTGAAAACTCCTTTACTGTGTACTCATTCTTCATTGGTTTCAATGACCAGCCAGGATCCAAAGAGTTACTTTAGTTATCGTTTAAGAGCTTGGGGTGTCCCTCTGGGAGCTTTTATTCTCATTTAGTTTTGTTTGATCACCAGATCCGCATGCTTTATCATTGAAATCCTCTTCTTTCAAAATCAGTTTCCCAACAGCTGTGCTTAAGAAATACAACTTGGACATGGTTTTTGGAATTCAGCCTCCACCTTTTTTATGACTGTGGTGCTTCTCTATAGGGCCAACAGCCACATGGCCTCCTTCCGTTCTCATATGGGGCCCTTTGTCAGTTGAACCTAACAATCTAACAAACAGAAAGAATTTGGGGTAGCAAGCTAGGGCAATGAAAATCATGATTTTGCAGGAATGTGTTTAAAATATCCTTCTTTGCATGTTGAATGTTTCTGAGTAAAAACCTGTTACTTCTGCTTGACTGATCTATTTCTGATGTCTTTAAAACAACCAAGCCTAAATTGGTTTGGTTATTCAAAATCTTCACTTCTACTAAACAGAAAAAAAGAGAAAACCACACTGCCTATTTGGTTTCTGTTGTTAATTCAATATATTTCTTAAAAAGAAGAACAGATGACAACAAAGCAGCTATTCACAAAGTTTGTATTTTATGGATGCAAAGATAATTTAATAAAAATGTATTTTGGCTACAGGTTCTTTTCTTGCCCCATGTCCGCCTTCCATGCATTCCATGCATTCCAGTTTTTAGTCTAATGGAAACTGTACGTGAACATCTTTTAATGGTTTGCATACCTATTTTAGAGCAGCAATGTTTGTAAGCTGTTCTCTGCATCATATATAGATTCTTTTCTAGGGAACCAAGAGTGGGAATCTGGTATTGCACCAACCCCTTCTGGCCTCCACTCCACATAAAATGTGATCAATCCTTGGGACAGGAAGCCTTAATTGAGCCCGACTTTCCCTGTTGGGCTGATCATTTTGGTAGTCTGCAAGGGATATAGGAGCACTAACATATGCATTCTGGGTGCAGCCCCACTCCAGAACAATCTTTTGTGGTCCAAGTAGAGCAGATGCCCACAAGGCACCCCTTTCTGGTCACAACTTTCTTGTATTAGGTCAGAGCCGTCTACTTCACTGTATCTGACACGGTATATGGTGGAATTTAGGCATAGCTTGTGGAGATTGTGGACGAAAGGCATAATTTTCTATATATAGGGCTAGCAGTGTATGTAGTACTTTCAAGAGTAATGATTTAAGTCTCAGCTTCGAGGATCATGTAAATCAAGTTAGGAATAAACAAGAGAAGAACAAGAGAAACAAGAGAAAGAACTGGGATAAAGAACATAGAAAACAGCCTTATTCCAGGTCAAATGATTTATTCCCCAATCCTGGTAGTATTTACTCAGTGTTTCTCCAGCAACACAGGAGTTATTTCCAACATGTGGTACACTATCTTTTTACCCAGAGATATCAAGGATTGAAGCAAATACCTTCTTCATGTAAAACATGCACTTCACAACTGAGTTATGGAGTTTTATGCTGGGTACACACATTTTAAGTTCAAGTGATAGTTCTATGGTAGACCTGTGAGAGTGCCCTTGTAAGTAAATCCCAGTCACTAGCCAAAGGTTTGTACTATGATCTGGGTATTACAGAGTCAGATGAAATAAATGCAGCTTCTTGTTCAAGTGTATCTTGAGGGACAGCTTCCTAAGTCTTTGTTTCAAGATATAAGGATTACTCATTGTAGCATGAAAAACATATTCCTAATCTGTCAATAGGGGAATGAGTTTGAATGCAATCCTATGCATGAGTAGACCAAACAAACAAAAAAGGTCCTATGACTTCCAGCACTTCCTAGCCAGCATAGACATGCGAAGGATTGCACTTTCCATACTGAATGTAGCTACCATCAGCTTCGACTTATTGCTTGCAGGGAAAATTAACATCAATAACATGCATCAATTACAGCTTTGTTTCCACCACAATATTGGGGTGAAAATTAGAGAAACTGACTCATTTCCTCTCCAGGACCAAATTTCATTTGAGAAGCTTAGTTCCAGTGGTGGGAGAAGCCAAAGGGGCAGGATCAACAAATCCCAGCAGATGGTTTACTTAAACCTCTTCCTGCAGGCAATGAAGCCTTAAGAGAGGCATTTCAGTAATTTAGGATGAGGAAAGGGATAACTGCACAACAGCTGGAAAACCACCAAGATCAGTGGTTGGGGGAAGAGGGTGCGGCCACCTGAACCCTGGAGAGCCAGACTGGGACCTAGCCCTGGGGTTCTTCCATCTGCTGAAACTAACGAAGGGTTAGGATTTCCTGCATTCTGATAGAAGATTCTCTTTTAGAGAAAAGTAGCAGGATTAAGCAGAATTAGCTGCCCTCATGGGTTCTTTTGGCCCAATAAATCAGAGGTATGGACACGTGTTAATTTAGAAGAGAAAATCATTCTTAAGATTTAGGAGGGAACCTCTGCACACGTTTTCCCATAAAGTACTTTCTCCATGTAACGACTCCCCAAATGTATATGCTGAAAAGGGGTGGTCAACCACAACAGCATTTGTATTAACTGTGACATATGTTTTTGTACAATAAACCCACATGGTAATATACAGGAATGTTTACACTATTTTCAGTGCTTGAAACATGACTTAAGATTCTTTCACAGAGGTAAATTTCCTTGAATCCTTGGCCTTATCTGTTTTCTGATGGTAACTGGTTGCTGTAGCAACACACATTCTGCAAGCCTTCCTGTTACTCATTAGTATGACAATTGACCTCTTTCTACAATTGAACCATTCACAAACTGGACTTGAAGAAAGAAGGTGGGGGATATGCATCTCGTATCTGGATAGTCATGGGACAGTCATGGGTCTTGGGCAGTATTGCACAGATTGTAGCAATCAAGCTGAATTTAATGCACAAGAGTGCTGACAATTCCTCTGTGATTTACTACCGTATTTCCTTACTGCCAGTAGGATCCTGTGGAGATTTCCACTCCATAGCAAGAATTATCTTTAGAGACTGCTTAGCGAGGCATCCTAAAAGCAACACTCTGTGATTCCTGGAGCAAGAGGTTTTTCCATCAGATTTACCATTTTTCACCCCAGAAACATTTTGCTTATCTAGGTACAGGGTTATTACTGAATGTACACTGGTTTAAAGCACTGTTTAAAAATAGACTTGCTGGTCATCAGAGATAAAAGCATCAACTGGTACACACAATTTAGAAGAGAAATTCTAACTTTTCTGATGGTGGTATTTTTCTAAGCTGGTGCTATTGATTTTGAAAGTTATTAGGCTGAGAATCGTGTACTTACAACTGGATTTAATGCACAACCCTGCTGGCATCATTTTCTTTCAATTCATGAAAAACAGGGAGGCCTTGTCAGTTGTGGTGTCCCCTATGGAGCTCATGGCACTGCCCCATCATGCCCGGTGCTATTACTAGGCCTCTTCATGCTTTTGTTATTGTTTGGGCATTTCCTTTCTTTACATGCCATCTGAACTACGTTTGCCTGACATGAGTACATTTTGACTTTTATATTACAATTCTATGCCTCTATTCTACCTTCCCATGTCAAACTGGGAAGACGTTACTAGAATAGATATCCCAGGTAATACTGAAGTTCTATCAACACTGTTTTCTGAATGCCTTAGAGGAATATTCAGCATGGGGCAGTCTACCAAGGTTTTTTAAGCTTTTATATTTCTGGGGGTCCTGTGATGGACAGGGAGCCAGGGCAGAAAGTTCAAAGAACTCTGCCCTTCAGTTCACCAAACAGATAAACTCAGGCAGGGGTACAAGAATAGGGATATTACAAGTCTCTGTCGCATATCACAAATTTGGGCGGTTATGCAGTAGTAGGTGAAGACATAGCTCTTTACTGCCTTCCCAGTGTTTTTTAGTTTTATTGCAGCAATAATCAATTTGTTTTATGTTTAATTAAGATTTTTAATCTGGATTCTATTGTTAACCACCTTAAGCACTATTTTTGCAGGAAATAGATTATAAATACAATAATTTTAGCAAGGGAAAGCAGCTTAGGACAACGATGCTTCAGAAACTAGAAATGAGGGTAACGTTTGCATTTTTGTAGCTCCATCTTTACGGCAGTTAAAGAAGAAAAGCATATTGTGTACTATTTTTGAAAGTTTAGACAGTGCTACCTATACAACTGCAGTGAAAGAGATGGTCCTCAGAGTAAAACAATGAATTAGCATCCTAAGTGGAAGTACAAGGTGAGGTCTATCTGGAAGCAGGGATAATGGAGCAAGAAAGAACCCTGAATTAATGTGGCAGCTGCCAATCACCCTCCCCTCCAACCTGCACTGCAGATACACAAGAAAGCAGATAGGCTTAGAGCAGAAAACGCCCCCCCCAAAACCCCACCTGTTGGTTTTAATAAAGAAAATTTATTGTAAATGTATATTACACAATGTATATTATACAGTATAATACAGACAATGCACAGGATTTAAGACAAGGACCAGTTTCAACAATAGTAGCCTTACTCTCATTTCAAGGTGGTAACTCTGGTTCAGCAAAAGCAACCTGGGCATGTGGAAGCTGTCTTATTCCTTCAACTTAACCACAAAGATTTTTTTAAATAAACCAGCCTAGAGTCACTGCTAGACAATAACAATTTCTTTTTCTAAGGAAGGAAAGATCTGCCCAAATCAAAAGTCAAGTCTGAAGCTAATTACATTTTAAAGGGGCAGCTTTTCCTCCTTTGCATTGATCCTTCACCACCTCAAGGTAACAGCCCATCTTTGTTAGATGGATTAATACTGGTTTTAATAATCTTGTTATGTGTTAAGCCTTCTCTCCTACTATCTAAAGTTTACTGAGAGAAGGGCCAACAGCAGAAATGTTACCACTTACAGTAAGAAGAGCCAGTTAAATGTCAAAGGCTCAGTCAGTGCTAAATAAGAAGAGGCAGCTCCCTTTTTGTTATGGGGGTTTGGTAGGGGCACTAATCTGGATCAGAAGTCCAGCCCAGCCCAGCCCAGAAGGAAGGGAGCTTTTATTCCCATCCACAATGTCTGCATCCAATGTGGCAGCTACCAACAACAGAAAGCTCCCCAGTTCAGAAAAGCAAACAGGGAGGGATTAGTGAAGATCACAAGAGGAAGAACCATACAGGGACAGTCCTGAGAAAGGCAAGTGGACTGATGTTTTTACCCAGCCCTTTCAGTATTAAGCGTAACTAATCACCAAAATCTGCTAAGACACAGAAATAGGCAGATCCTGAAAACTCTCTAGCAAAAATTTATGTTCTAATAGTATACCTTAATATAGGCTAGACCATTTCTATTGTCAGGAATTGAAATGAAAATTTCTAATGGCTTCACACAACTCAAAATACTAAAACCAGCAAATAAAATTAAAATTCAAACAGATTCAACAAAAATACTACAAAATTTCTCTTCTCTTCTTCTTCTTTTTTTTTGCTGGCCAACTAAAACATCTCAGTCAATGGAAGCCCATAGGGGAAAAAAGGGTTTTTTATAGTATAAAAGCCAAACTAGGTCAGTGACATGACAGTTTGAAAACATTTCTTTCAAACAGCTGATTTCAGAGTAAATCATCTTGAATAAGCTCCCAGGCTATTCCAAAGAGACTTGGTGATGCCTGGTTTGCCATCTCACACTTTAACAGGATAAATATTTGCCACCTTTCTGTGTATCTGTCTAAGCAGCTCTTTCATTGCATGCAAATGTAGCAGAATCTGTTTTGCTTTGACCCAGAATTGAACGCTCTCCTTTTTTTGTTGTGGCCACAAGAAATACCAAGTTTCTACTTTTATTTTAGATTGACTGCAGTTAAGCGTTTACCCAATCTCCAAACTGTGGCTAGTTTTCATCATGGTTAATGGAAAAAAGCTGCATGTATAAACAAGCCACATTTAAATTTGGTTTGCTTCCATGTTCAGGTTTTCGTAACATGCCAACTGCAATTCATATAAACCAGAATACATTACAAAATTTAAAATATATTGCCTCCAGTATCAGGCAGAATGCCTCTAATACCAGTTGCTGGAAACCTGAACACGAGTATGAAATTGAAGGTATGCCCTACTTCAGGCATCTGCTTGGGCACTGTAAGAACAGAAAGCCGGTCTCAACAGGACTTTGGTCTGATTCAGCAAGGATGACTTCATGAAAGCTTCCAAACTCTAAATCACACCAGAAGAGGAAAGGGGAATACACAAACCAAGGCTAGGCCAGGCTCTTTCTTGTACTCCAAACCAACCTGTTGCTTCTTAACTATGCATTTCATTTCAATGCTGGACATGGCTAGTCTCTGAAGAAGTAGGGAAGTGTGTATTTACCAGATCATAGGAACAGGTGCCTGTAATAAGTCATTTGCATACAAAAGCAGGACCCCACTAATCAAGGTCATGATCTAATATACAATCTTAGCTATAGCAGCAAGCTGACTTGGGAGCAATTTTCAATGAAATCAGGTAGCTGAATTTGGAACTGATTTTCTTTCTTTCTTTTTTAGAGAAAGGACTACAAGTTTTCTTGAAAGGGTTAATATATTTTTGAAAAGGCCTTTTAAACTGTTTTTTCTCTGTGTGTCTGTCACTTTAGTTTGCAGAATTCAAGCCCCAACACTAAAAATATGTATCTAGACACATCAACATCTAGATGCTCAGGAGTCCTCATTCTGACTTTTCTGTGGGTTTGCAGTTCAGATTACTGTTCATCATTCAATATTCCCATATGCTTGTTTGTGAGGAAGTCCAGAAAAGGGATGTTACAGATGGCTTGGTGAATATTCATCACTGTGATCTCTCTTGGAGTCCTATGGAGAATGTATGCCAAAGGAATTTAGGTAACTGAGCATCTGTGCAGCAACTGGTCATCCGTTCTGGTTAACAAAGCCCACAAGGGATCACTTAAACCAGTCTTCCCCAATCTGGTGCCTTCCAGATGTGCTGGATTACAGCCACCATACTCTCTAGCCGGCAGGTGCATTCGCTGGGCATTATGGGCATCAGATGTATCAGAAAAGCACCATGTTGAGGGAAAGCTGACTGTGAAGCACACAGAAGTGCAGATACAAACATGGTCTAGATCTGTAGTCTGTAATTATTTAACTTGGTTCATTGAGTATATTTTTGACATATATTTCAGGGCAGAAGTGCTGAAAAAGTGCCTTGGGAAAGCAGAGTTATGCATGTTTAGACAGAAAATAGTCCTATAATTCCGAGGATTCCCCAGATAGCTATGCACCCTTAATTCATTCATTCTTAATTATGTTTCAGTTACCATATAATTAAATAAGCCCCAAATTATAAAGATATAAGCACCCAAAATATACCATAAAGGAAGCTGCTTTAAACCAGGTCAGAACATTGGTCCATCTGGCCCTGCCAATGCCATTGGTTCTTCACTGTCTCAAGCAAAGTCTGTCCCATCACCTGATCCTTTACACTGGAGAAGCTGTGGACTGATCCTTGGACCCTCTGCAGGCAGAGCATGCAAGCTGTCACTGAGCTATGGTCCCTTCCATACCCTCTGCTGTCTCTGGGATCCAAAGTTCTGCTTTAGTCACCAGCAAGAGCCTGACAGTGCTCAGCTAAGTTTTGATTTCCATGATGCTACTTGGGTCCAAGAGCAGTTTGCTATGTGACATGGCGGGTGGGGAGGGGAGAAACAGCTGCCTGAGAAACTCAGACTCAAAAACCCCTTGGGCACATAGCACCTAGTGACCAGAAGATGTGGAGTTCTGTCTCACCACTCTCCAAGGGTCCTTTGGAGACTAAGCCAGTTTAAATTTATTGTCTCCCAAATAATACAGCTTCTGTCCAATGAAACATGCCATATGGTTTGCAGTACTGGTTTGACCTGTATTCTGTATGTGGTCCCTGGGAGTATGACCTGCCATAAATGGCCGACTCCACCTGCCACTCCGCTGTTAAGTGGGCTGGTGGGAGTGGGACTGGGATGGGAAGGAGGCACATGGGGGACCATCCCCCCATTTCACTTCGGCACCTCCCTCCCGCCCAGCTTAGTGCTGCTAGGAAAAGCTATTCTTAACAGCATTTAGAGGCAGGATAAGGGTGTGGGAAAGGAACCATTAAACTTCCCCTCTCAGATGCTGAATGGGGTGAGAGGGAAAGAGAAAACAGGGTGTGGTAACACTGCTGACTTTCACTGCCCCCATGTGCATTCATTGCCATTGCCAATCCAGTCTCTGGGGGTAAAAAGACGTCCCACCTGACTAAGCAAAAACATAAACTAAGCTAAAACTAAACCGGGAGAACTAATATGGTATGGCAGGGAGTTTTGGATAAGGACTCCAGAGATCTGGGCTCTAGTTCCACCTGCCACTGAGGTTCACTGAATGACTTTGTACCAGCTCCTGACTCTCAATCCAACCAACCTCACCAGATTGTTGCGAAGATACAAGTGGTGGGCTGTGCAAATTGCCTTGGGTTCCTATAAGAGGAAGAACGATGGGATATAAATGTGTAATAATAAAGAAAGACAGACAGACAGACAGCCAAAGATATACCTGTGGCGAGGAGCTGCCTGGTAGCCAACTGCCAGTGCTTCTCTTAGTATGTCATTGGCCAGTTGTTCCGTGGCCTGTTACAGGGGAAGTTTCAAAGACAAGCAGCAGACGTCAACGGAATGTTTTCAAGTATCAAACAAGCCAAACTTTAAAAACGCAGCTAAGGGAGCCTTCCAGTGTGGTTGTCCATAACTCTCCAACTTTGGAAGATTATGGACATCCAACTGAGTGCGGGAACAATTGCAAGTGGAAGGAAAACAGAGGCAAGGATCGCCTAGAGCTTCTCCCACCTTGCAGAAGACACAGATGGCTGTTTTTGGCCATCTATGTTTCTTGCCCCCTCTTGTGAGAAGGGCTGAAGCACCACTGGGCTTCCTTGATGCCCAATGGAGAATCATGTCTCCTCCCCACCTCGTCCCACAGTGATGCCCCCTTCTTTACTGGCTCCAGAACAACCGTGCTGGCCAGGACTCCAGCATCCTCTCTGGCTCTCCAGACAGCATTTAGAAGCCACAGGATTGAACGTGTCCTAAGACTATTTCAAATTACAAAATACTGGGCACAAAATTGTTACCAAAGAAGATTCATCTTCTGTTTAGTTTCTTTAAACTTGCCAAGAGCTTACACATACTCAAAACTATTCCACAATTGCAGGAAAGGATAAAATAAAAGAAAAAATGAAAGGTGCAAGAATCAAGGTAGAACCTTGGACATGTAGCCACATCTAACCCACAATTTTCTGCATTTCATGAGAGAGAATGTTATAGTAGCTTACCTTTAAAATCATATCTTCTATAACTGATGCATAGATGTTCTTTTGTACTTCTATGGGCTGAAGGGAAATTCCTATCTATAAAACGAGAAGGGAAATAAAAGATGACAAATCTCCATTCGTAGAACTACTCTACAGTCACAGTCTTACAGAATGCATCCTCACTGCCTGGGCACCTTTGAACCAGGAGGCTTCCAAGCTTCTTATACTCTGCTGGGTTGAAGCTGGCAGTACAGAAGGAGAGATGGAGGTGATCTAGGCTTCCCACCCTCCATCTTTGATGTTTTGCAGTAGACAGGCTTTTCAGCCCATCTAGGAAAGGTACCCATCTAGGAAAGGTACGTTAGGGGAGCAGGCCGATGGAGACTCAGAATATCTCATATCCTGACCTCACAGGTCTCCTCCCCTCCCTGCCCACCACATTGTCCTCCTTCCCTCTCCTGGGAGGGACGCCAATATGATTGTTTCTGCACAAGCTGCAAGGTGGCAGGGGAGCAGATCTCCAGAGTGACCTCAGAAGGGCTTTTCAAAACAACCCTACGGTCCCTGGGATGCTCTCCTAGAGACTACAGAATTGTTCTTTTCAACACATTGTTTGAGAAACTAAGGGACTAACTCTTAGGAATAGCGGTTATAGTTATTTAGAATTCTGCTCAACTCTGTGTCTAACACATCTGAAATTATTTCTTCTCATTACATATCTATATCACCCCCGAGGTGAAGCATTCAGGGTGGTTCACAACAATTCATAATGCCAACAGTGTAAAAATGCTCATATGCAAATTTTAAAACAGAATTTAAAATGTCTCGTGTATTGCTCTTTAGTATGCACTCACAGGCCTGCTTCTTGCTATGAAAGTCTAACACTATATCCTAAAGATGGATAATTCAAGCAAGCAGGCATCCTACTGAACATGCCTAAGCATCTAAACTTCCTACTAAATGTTACATAGCTTCAGCGCAATCAAAATCCATCCTACATAGGCCCTAATATGCAAATCAATTCTCTGAGCATTCTCCAACCAACTGCCCTCCAGATAAATTGGGTTATAACTCCTATCATCCCTAGCCAGCAAATTCTATTTCCTAGACACCTATTAAGGTCTTTTGAATCTGGAAAGCTGAAAAGAGAAAGTTCTTTCCTTTCAGGTATCACTGCGTGGGAAACACTTACTTTATTCACAGGTATGTGACAACTTGAAATCCTATGCCAATAAGTCACTATAACTGGTCAATAACTCACTCTTTGCTTTTTACAAATTACAACATATATGGATTTGCAAAGAAAATGGGGAGAGCTTAGACTTTAAACCTTGCTGTTCGACAGCCTAAGAGTAGCAACTGAACTGGAAAAAAGGAAAACCGTGTTACACCTAGATTCTGAAAACAGTTTGAAATAATTGCTTGCTGGGGTGGGAAGGGTGATGTATGGCAGGATGCACGGCATGGCAACATTGGGATTGCTGTGTTTCACCTGTCAGCTCTGCACTAGGTGCTAGCCTTCCCCAGTCTGGTGTCCTCAAGATGTTTTAGACTACAACTCCCAGTGACCCCAGTCAGTGATCAGGGATCATGGGACCTATTTCAAAACATGGCTGGGGAAGGTACGCCATGGCTTAAAACACCCAGTTCTGCATCAGTTGCTTTCTAGGAGTGGCAACTTCCTTTTGACCAGTGTATACAATTGTGCGGAGTAAACCATAAAGAGGGTTACTTCAAGGAGTCTAGGATTACCAGCACGTTCCATCAGCCTTGTAAAGAATAAGTTAATGCAGGCTGCAAGTGTCACTCAACAAATACATGATATTGTGAAAAGCAAAAGGCAGTGCATTATTTTCATGTAGGCTTTTGGGACATTTTACTTTACCTGCTGTACCGTCTTGCGCACGAACTCTGATGCAGGCTGGGGTGTCAAGTAAAGCTTTGCCTCCGTTTGTTTCTCCTCCTGCTCCTTTTTAATGTTCATTTTCAGAGGCTCAGTAATGCCAAGAATATCTACTTCTTCATCATTGTCTGGCTCTTGCTTGAGCAAGCGCTCCAGCTCGACAAGTTTTCGACATATCTCTTCCCCGGTGGTGTAAGAAGATGAGCATTCTTTTCCAAGGAGCAATCAGGAAGACAGAAGACAGATGTGTAAATACAGTGATATCTAAATGTATGCAGCTAGAGGGTGTTCACAGCTCATGCTCGCCGCAAGGAGAAAAAGACCTAATTGCTCAGGCCCAATACTTGAATGTGGCCTTTGCTGACAACATGGCAAATCAAGTTAACATCACCATTAAGCTTCCCATAGAAGCTGGAAAAAGCAGAAACCAAGACTGCATGGACTGGCACTTTCAGAGCAATCTGCTATGCTGGCAGTGCTATGCAGTTCTACTTCAATTTCAGTAGCAGGACAACTAGACATCTAATGAAAGTGAGGGGGAAGGGCTTGCTTTGGGAAAAGCTGTGTGGGGAGAAGTCTATTTGACTATTTTTTGTCAGTCTATTTGACAGTTTTAGCCAGTGATGTTAGCTTTTAGGGATTGGAGGGGGGTAATACACTCTATTCAGGAAACTTTAAAAAATACCTTCATGTGAAAGTGATGTGCCATTAGAGAGAGAGGGAGGGAGAGAGGGAGGGAGAGAGGGGAGGCAGGCAAGCAGAGAGAAGAGTCAGCCTTGAGCTATTTTCTTTTTCCCCTTTTAAGCAAAAGTATAATAAGTGTTTGTACACACATGTTCCATCTCACTGGGAAAAATATTAGGTCTTGAAAAGCCTATTATGAACAATTGCAAAAGCAGAGAGTTTTGAAAGTATTATACTGTAAAGCTCTATGGACCAGCCTTTCCCTGAAATATTTTGGACTATAACGTCAGGCCGATGAGTTGAAGGGCAAAATATCTGCAGAGCACCTGGTTGGGAAAGGCTGCTATAGATCAACATGAACACGGCTCAGGAGTCCACATCAGACTGAACCATACCTGAGGCACAAACTGTGGGCCACACAAAATCACACTGCCTGTGAAGTGAGTCTATTTTAAGCCTGCCCAGAGTCGCTGTGCATATGACATTCCTTGCAAAAGCACTACTGTAAAGCTAGAAGCCTAATGTGTAAGTGGCAGATAAGCCCCCCTGCTCAGAACTTTTATGATTCCAGAAAAAGACTCACCTGGCTCACTGTCTATTTGTGTTAGCACATCTTCTATAGAATCTTCATTCCGAAGAGCTTCTGGGTCAGGTGGCGTATAGCCACGGTAGCGACACCAATGTACAACCTGTTTTGTTTTCAGAGGAACAATGCTGTGGAATTTAGGGTGTTTCTCTATCATTTCTTGGAGAATTTTCCTTACTGTCAGTGCTCGTTGCCACTGCAATGAAAAGAACCAGAAAGAACAAGAACTACACTTGGAATCATTTCATGTTTTGCTCCAGATAGAAGTACTACTAATTATGGTAACATAAGAAAATACTTCCAGAAGGGTAGCTGCTGTATTTTGCTGCAGTGAAAACCATGAGGGGGCTTGATCCAATATTTATTGCACCATACATTTTTGCAGAATACAGAAGATTTAATCAGATGCAGGATGAAAACAGGGAATCAGGTTCTTGAACACTCTCAATAGCTCTTAGCTATCAGGGTTATGGGTTCACAGTTGCTATATTGCTGCATGGAATTATACACTTATGAATGCCTTTTTCCATCAGTAAACCAAACATGATGCTGCTCTCTTAGTGCCAGTGTGGACAGTAGGTAATACCAACAGACATTTGGTTCTACTGGCAGTTCTCTGGGTGACCTGAGGTTGATCGCACGTTTTTCTAACTCCCAGCCGTAAAAAGCTCCCTCCTGCTCCTTCTAAATGAGCATGCTAAGATAGAAGAAAGCTTAGGGATAGAACAAGGAGTGGATATGTGACAGAACCATGAGATCGATTATGGGACTAAAATTCCCAGGATGGTTTCGCAAAGGTGTTCAGGTCGTTCATCCTAGAAGTATGCTCCTGTAACTCCTGAGCCATCATTCTGTAGCATGGTGGACCTCCGGTTTCTAACAGAGAACCAAAGTAGATCCCTCCAGCTGAAGGTCTGTTTGCTCCTGTTTTAATACATTTCCAGCCCATTCCAAGCAGAAGAGGTGCTTCTTTGAGAGTATAATGATGCTCTGACATGACATGTTCATATTACAGGTACGTTGAATTCTGCATCTGGGCATATCAACACAAATCAACCTATTCTTGCTTTGATCAGCTCTGAATTTTAATTTGTTAAATGCGAGACATGCAGAATTGCTTTGTGAGGCAAACCCATCTGTTCTTTCAAGCCTGCTGTATATGGGAACAATGAGACACTTGTTTGGGCACCCTCCGTATTTTTCTGCATTCTGTGCATAACAGAGGGGTTATTTTGTCAAACCGGAACATAAAATAGAAAAATAACAAAGAAAAACCAAATGAATAACAATTCTGCAGTTCAAAGAATGGCCAAGCAATCACACTGCCATCCCATGTTAGTAGCAGAATGGGCAAATTAAAGCAGAGGAGAGCTTAGTTTCACTGCTGTCACTGTAGCAAACCTCCCTTTAGATCAATGAAGTTTTCAAACTCTTTCCTGTGCAAGTCCCATTTAAATGAATGGACTGTTTACAGCAGTGGTGCCTGGCCAACTAATTCCTGTTTTCCCCATTCCTTCTCCAAGAAACTTAAGGCAGCATTTCATGGGTCTCTCTCTTTTAGCCTTCTAACAGTTCTGTAGGCCAGCTAAACTGATAGTACATGTCTGGGCACCTGGTAAGCATCATGTGTGGGTTGAGATTGAAACTGACCCTAGTTTCAATCTGAAACTAACCCTACTTCCCTGACCCTAGTTAAGAAATTTATTCTCTATGCGTCGCTGTGCTACTTCTCAGTTGTCTTCAACATGGTTAAGGTTACAGAGGCAGAACTCAGATACTGCTGAATAAGGAAATATGGAAGCTCTCAAAGAACAAGGCTGCCAGTTTTTATACTGGTTCCCATTTCATAATACCTGGAAACACAGCTTTGCATTTCTTTGCATTTTATTAAGCCAAATACAATTTTTTAAAGTTAAAACTAAGTATATTCTAAATATGAGAAATAGTTCCTTTCAGTAGTGCCAATAAGCTTCTGGAGGAGATTTTAGAAATCACAATCACCTTCACAGAGGCACAGATTCCCAGTCAGACATTTTAAGCTTAGTTTTATAGAATACACTAAGAAGATTACCTCAGCAGCCCTCCGTTTTCCAATATTCCAGCTATAATACTGTTCCACAGAACTGGCACAGAAAGAATTGGCATCTTCAGCTAAAAGCAGAGAAAAATCACCAGAAACATTAGATTGTAAGAGCCATGAAGATTAATTTACTCTATGGCTATGGGTGTGGCAGAACACTTTCTGAAGGGTAAATTAGAGAGGGATGGTGTGTTAAAGAGGGAGGGGGAAGAGACTCTGATGCAGCCCTCTGGAGGGCCACACCTCTCAATCCCTTTTGCTTCAAAATGAGCATTAAGCAGGAGGGGACTTTATCACAGCTAAAAATATTTTGGCAGATGCAATCTCTTCTGACAGTGAGGTACTAGAGAGAGCTGAAGGATTTGGTGGAATTTAACTGACTGGAGGGCACTTGGAAGCAATTGGAAAGAATTGCATTGCAGGGGAAAATAACTTACAGAAGGGAGGAATCAGGAGACTAAGTGAAGCAGGTGTGTGAGGGTTGTGTATTTTGGGTGCACTGACTTCTTAGAGATGGGAACTGCGCCTAAATATTTACTTATGAGCTCCATTAGTTTGAATGGCAATTCAAAGGCAACACAATGGAGCCAGACAAGCACCTTTCAGCTTTCCAGTGTTTCACAGACAACCAGTGCTAGCTGTCCTTACTTCTAGCTTTGCTGTACAGTTTTCAAGTATGAATGGATGGTGTAAGTGCTTTCTGAGCCCATGTTACCTTTCAGTAAACCAAAGAATAAAGGAATGCTAGACTGAAGAAAAGAGAAGCTACTGTTCCAACTGCTAAAAAATGAAAGCCAATTATCATATCAATACTGCAGTCACTGTCCTCTCTTGTTAAACCAGGGGAAAAGAACTTTTAAGTGTCAATCATCTGTAAAAACACTGGAAAAATGGTATGGAGCTATGTTGGTAGAATGAATCCATAGATGTCATAAAAACAGAAGTGCAGCAGCAGTAAATTATAAGAGGTTTGTTTAAAAAAAATAGCCTCAAACTAAGGAAGAGAACCGTTCCAAAGTAGGAGGCCCAGAATAACTATATAGCACTTTAAATCATATGTTTAATAAAGTTACACAGATTTATGGCATTTCATGCCATTGTATTTTCTTCTCACACCTAGTCATAAACGTTTGTCCCCGCTGTTTCAAGTTTTCCTTGTTTCATGTACAATTAGTTACCAGGGCAACATTCACAGAGTTAACAACATGGGTAACACTCAGCTAGTCAGGGAGTGGGCATTTCTGCCAATCAGTGGCAGGTGGATGAACTGACCAGCAGGCATACAAAAGCTGCTCACATGTCTAAGGTCCTTCAGTGGTTGTAATGATTACCAATCACACTTTAAACACTTAGGGTTTTTCTAATTATTCTCAGTATCAATACCTTCAAGGACTACAACTTCTAATACTTGTTATCTTGGCAAATAAAGATTAAATAGCATCATGCTCTGAATGCCACCCGTTAAGTGCGCTTTCCTACAGATTCTTACTTCTTTCTGCAATTAACGGAACTTTCTTCACAATTGCTGTCAAAAGTTGCTGGAGGTTGTCTAAATACTCTGTCCTGGAAAGAATGAAGAGTTAGCACAACACCACATGTAAACACAGCACATTATCACTATTTTACCATCAGTGCATATGTAGGCACATTACCAACAGGAGACCCTAGACAGCAGGGGCCTGATTGACATAATTCAAATGCATAAAGATTGATGGGAACTTCCCCATTTTTGCAGATAGATGTGAGACAAATGTAAAATTCCAGTAAGCAAGGTAATTTGTTTCTGTTCCTGCCCTGTTTACATAAGCACAGAAATGTAGCCTTTAGCACTACACCCAGGAGAGGCTATACACATAGGAGTTGATACAGCAAAACTGTCATCAGTTTGCATTTGCAGAACCCTGCTTGTGGTCTGTGAAGCAGGAGCTCTGACTCCACTGTCCACTTATCTAGGGCCTCTCCAAAATCTATTATAGACATTCTCAGGCCTTCTGGACTGAGCTCCAGTAACAAGCTAAACTACTTTACATGAATGGAGAAATTTCACCAGTTTCTTGTGTTAGCCAAATAGGGTGGGATGAACTCCTTCTCATCTCATGACGTTCAAGTGACTGCAAATACATAATCCAGTATTTCTTATGCCCCCTCCACATCCCCTGGAATTAGATTTCTATTGTAAACCATGTGGTTTAAACTTTGCAAGAATATTTACCCAATGACGTAATTTCCAAGTTCGGAGCTCTCCTCTGCTTTTACTGTCATTTGAGTTTCCTGGGAGACCTGAGAACTGCAGCTCTGTCCTGAGGAATCAGGCTCTAGCTTAACTTCAGAGGAATAGTTTAAAAGAAAAAGTCCATTAGGAAGTTTAAACCCAACGGAAGAAAAACAATTTAGCCAACCAAGCACTTCAGTTAAATAACAAACAAAGGGGAAAATGTGAGATGCAACTTTGTTTGCATTTATAGGACAGGGACAGGAACAGGAGATGGTGCTGGCTGCTTACAAAAAGTTGCCTTCTCTGGGAATTTTCCTGCTGTTGTGTAAGTCATAAGCACTCTCTCCAGGTCCCTTCTTGTCCTAGAAATGAGTATCCAATTATGCAATTCATTCAAAATAGTTCTAAGACTTCAACACTTTTCAAAAAAGGGTGCATCCAAATCACAGAAACAATATATTGAGAATGGAGAAGAGAGTGGTGTTAAAGTCACCAGTAACACCTCGAACAGGTATGGGAAACCTCTTTCAGCCCAGGAGCCATATTCAATTTCAGAGAAGCTTTTGAGGCTGCATTCCAGGGGTGGGTGGGGCGGTGGGCAAAAGGGTAGGTTCAAAATATTAAAACGCAAGGCTTGTGGCTTAAAGCTCTCACTGCCAGCAATCAAATCTCAGGAAAGGCATTTCAAACTTTTAGAATATGGAAAAAGCTGGGAAACCCCCAACTGGCTGATGGCTGGTGAAAGGGCTGGGGAAGATGGCACATGTGGTTAACTGAGGCTCCTCTTTCAAACTCTCACCAGCCACAGACCATTTCCTTGCACTTCCTTTATTGCTCCCCAGTACAAATCACCCAGAACAGATCTCTGAGCATGCGCAGAGTGGTGTGCTGAACCCAGTCTAGTGTTTACCTTCAGGAACTCTCCTTATGAACATGCTTAGGCCCCATCCCCTTGAGAGGAGCTCTCTGAAGGGAAGCATACCTTCTCTCCTCATGCAGCTTGTTCAACTGGGCCTCCTATGCTGCACTATGGGGTTGAGAGCAGGGGGTCTGGCCTGCACTAGGGAATTTCTCATTCTCAGAGACCCCTCCCACTGGCTGCACAGCTCGGTCATTTGCAGGAACTGCCTGGCTTGGCGAATCTCCTGGCCTTGAGATAATCACCTCTGCCTGCTGCGTCTCAAAATCTTTAGCTAGCCCATTCACCACAATCTCACTGAAATGTTCTTCACTTTCTGATTCTGAATCAGCGTCTGGAATGCAGCCAGCAGTCCATGGGAACAGTTCAACCCAGACCGCCATTCCCTTATTCCCAACACTGCAGCTCTCTGGAGGGACTGGAATCTGAGGCAGGCCTGGTTGGCCCCTGTACCTGAGGTTCCCCAATGTGATCCGGGCTACTAGAAGAATTTAGGTTGCGGAGGACGTACTAACCTATCCCTTCCAATTTCTATCTTATTATTTTGGAAAACATATTGATGGAGAACAACAGCCTTTTCTGCATCAAAAGCTCATTACAGTATCCTTGGTCTTGGCATTCTTTAATACATACTATTGTAGGGGAATTTCTATGCAGAGAAATGGATGCATTTAATTGGGTCTCTGCAGTCTGTGGTTGCATGCAGTTTTAATTTTCAGGCACAAGGAAATCTGCCTATGGGAATCTTACGTCCCCCTGGATACCTTGCATCACACTTATACGTCCCCCCTTCCAGTGACTTGTATGTCCCTTAAACCTAGCAGTCATTCTGTCTTACAGAGTTCTGCAGCACGTACATTTGGGCATGATTATGTCCCTCATCCCAAATGTCTCTATGTTATGCTTACATTAATTCCCACCAGGATTTGACCCAGATTCAGCCACAACTACCAACAATAAGGAACTTTATTTCTAAATGTAAGCAATGTGCATTCCTAAGCAATTATCTCCAACCTTACTGCAAGGTTTGATCACTGCAGCAAAGTTACCTTTTGTGACAGATACTACAGAAGGGCTTGGAACAACTGGATTAGCTGAAGTCACAGGTGTAGCAGCAGACACTTTGCTGGAAGAAAGCGACTGTATCACTGAGAGAAAAGAAAAATACTGGTAATATGTGTATAGACAGGCACTTCTTATTATTTGCACATAATCCTTGTATCGATCAATTTACTTTGCTAACAGAGACCAGTAGGTGTCTTTGTGCATGTTAAACATCTAGCTCTTTTTTCTCCACTCTGCTTCTTGCTCTGCATACCATTGTACATGATTAAGAGATCTGGAGATCCTGAAAGTTTACACTTACGATTTTGCATATGTTTCATTGGTCCTAATACAGATATTGGAATTTTTAAATCTGGAGTTGGACAGATAGTCATACTGACTACAGAAAATAATCTGAAAAGTGTTTACATATATTATCTTGTCAAACTAAATTTTTACCTTTGTTCACAGGCATCAATATAGTTTGGACTCCTCCGGAAGCAGTGCTCACACCAAGTTGTTTGAGCTGGCTGGGAACTGTCAAAACAGCCTGTTGTGGACTGTTCTGACTGGAGTGGATCTTTAACAATCCTAAAATAAAGGTGGAATTTTAAAAGAGTTCTTATTCCTTTCTGCATGAAATAAAAGTTTACTCATCAATAACATGTACTGAACAATAATGGGGGGACCCCACAATGGTGATCAAAGTAGACCAACGTTTTACCCCAAAACATCTAGCAAGCAAAGGTCAGCAACTAAACTGGGAAATTTGCAGTTGCATTTTTACATTTTAGAATGAGAAAATACTTGCTATTGGAGCTCTTGCAAGGACGAGCGGTGCTGCTTTGCTGTTTCTACAACAGCAAGACAGCAGTTATAAGCACAAACAATATCATCTGTCGGGAAGAGGGGTCCAGTGTTATGATATTCACGAAAAACCGCAAGTAATCGCAATGGAGTCAAACAGGTGGTTGTGTGAAACTCTCACACACAAACTTCACACCTATGACTGAGGATTTACAGTGTGAGGGTAGGAAAAGATAGGATCATGTTGCTATATATTAATAATACATTAATGGTCATAGTATTAATAATAATACCAGCACCAGCCATGGAAAGATCTGAATCAGACAGCAGTTAATATACTTTCTTTTATAAACCTCCACAGAAAATTCTAAAGGATAGACTCTAGTTTTGTGGTGCCCTAAGAGGACCCTCCTAGTTTAACATCCATGTGCTCACTTAGGACGGCAAAAGCAGGAGGTGAGAGGTTGTCAATGACAGCTCTCAACTGCGGGTGGAACTTCTTTGCAACTTCGATCCTCACTGACCGCCGCCATACTGCTGGGGTGGGACCTGGAGCCCATTATCATCAAAGGACTACAGACAGATTAACACCAGACTGTTCCATTCCTCTTTGCAACAGGGCAGGCCTCAAGCGTGCTGCGCCATGGCCAGGCATTCCACTTCCTGCTGTTTCAGCAGCTGCTGGAGGCATTAGAGTTTAATATAACAGCGATAACAGCTGGAGCCAGGAAAGGGGACAGATTACCTGACACTGCAGTTTTTCCAGACACCGGAGCTGGGGCAGTCACCCAAGAAGCAATGCTTACAACTGCTGATGCACTTGTTTTGTTAGGCACAGCTGAGGCTGCTTGTCCAGGATTGATGGGGACTTGGTGCTGCTGTCCAGATGCCTTTACAGCAGGGCTTGCAGCTGGAACTAAGCTAGAACTTGCACTGTCTGCTTGCTGTGTTAAAAAGAAAAGGGAGAGGGGGTTAAAATTGTTTCCCCTTTACTAGATTGAAAAAGCATAAAATAAAAGCAGAGAGCATCCGTCAATACACATTCTGAACTCATTTTCCCTTGAGCATGTAGTGTGGAGCATACATGAACTTGTCACATGTGCTTGCAGATGCACACTTGCAAAGATAATGGGAAAATATCAATGCGTGACAAGAATGGATGTTTTAACCCCTCCTGGGTCTGCTGATTCTCTCCTGCAAATCTAGCCTTACCATTTTTTCTACTGGCTGTGCTTATTTGTGAATTTGGCTGGAGAAAGAGGAGAAATTTTAAATGGTTAAGGTAGAACAAGCACTCATGGGGAAAGGATTAAGAAAATACCCTTCATGCCAGCTGGTTCTCCATTGCATATGCCTGCCCCCCACATTTTGAGTCAGTGGGCAAATTTGGAATTCTGAAAATACAGTGGGACCTCTCATCAGATGACTTCCATGGGTACAGGGATGCCCAAACAGTGGTTGCCACAGTACAGCCCTGGTTGGATGCAGAGTTCTCACGACTCAATCAGGATGCCCACAAACCTCCAAATGTGGAAGGATTTGGGTATCCTATGCAGGGTGGCAACAGTGGTGGAGATGATGTCGGCCTCCCTGCCTGTTCTATATGGCTGCTTAGGGTTGCCTGACGGAGGTGCTCTGGGGTGGGGGCAGGGAAGGAGGCTGCAGAAAACACAAGATACGTTGTACTCTGGCCTCTGCAACCCCTTAACTCCTGCTTCAAGGTTGAGCTCCAGACCTCAGAGAAGCAGCTGACCTCTGTGCTAGCTACGGGTTGTGGGGCAGAGTGTGATTTCCAGAGTGTGATTGGAGCTCTGTTTCTGCTCCTCTGTCCTGGAAGTTCAGAGATTTCTATGCATCCTCAGACAATGTCTCAGACTCAAAGGATCACTTTGCCCAAAAATTCTACGAAAAAGGCAGGGGTGGGGCCTAAGCTTCAAAACCAAAACTACTCTTCCAAACCTAAATAAAGATGGCACTGGAGTGCAGCGCTTCTCTTTGCAACAGTCCAGGCTCCCAATTTAAAAATCTTAAGAAATAAAATGTAAAACAATCAGGAGGACTAGGGATCCTGGGAGAGTCCAAGAGATGTGCCCACGGGTGCCTTACTGGAAACCCAGTAAGGAAACAGGATGTTGAGATGCCTGTAAGTCACCATCATGTACAGTATTCCTTTCAAGTGCTACTGAAAGGCATGCTTGTCTACTAGAAATGCTGCTTTTCAAAATCAACTATGTGCCCTCCAAAATGTTTGGACTACAACTGCCATCATCCTTGGGCAAGCAATAGGGAGGTTGGAATGATGGGAATAGTAGATCAACACATCTAGGGAGCACCAGGATGGAAGAAGACTGTTCCAAATGGCATTCGCACCTAAATGAGAAGCTACCAGGAAAACAAACTGTTATATGAACCTGTGCCATTGAGGCAGGAAAAGAAATTCTCACAATGTCTTCTCCATACTAAGTTTCTCTAACTGTGTTCATCTGTCTCCTAGTGGCAAACACCCCTGTGTTTCCACCACAAGCCTAGTTCACAAGAGAGGGACCACCACTTGGAGGGGAAAAGTCATTTCTTTCTCATCGCACAACTCTTCTGCAAAGTGAGGTACTTGAGCCAAGCATCAAGGGATATGATGCAGTCACCCTGTTGAAGCTAAGCAGGCCAGGGGATGGTCACAACCTGGCTAGAAGACATCTGAGTTCCACCATGGATGAAAGTCAAGTTATACTGCAGACAAACACATCTAAATTCTGCTGTAGTGCAGTGTGAGGGATGTATACCTCCCTTGGAGTTTGTCTGTTTAATTAAATGCTTTTCTATCCCGTCCCCTACAAAACGTCGTGGGACAGCTTACAGTTGGGATGGGACATGGAAGCCTCTACAAAGAATGCTAGCTAAGGCAAAATACCAATCATACATGTTGACCAAAATTTTGCATATCCTGTTGCATGTGGGAAAGTATGTTTAGTTAAAATCAGAAATAATACATAATTCTGCTTAAAAATAGACTTTGTGGAAGTAAAAAAAAATCAAAGCAGATTTCTCTTCAATGCACTTTCTTGCTCAATTGTTTGCTTACCTGAGTGGCTGTGCCTGCATTTGAAGCTTGACACGCAGGCTGACCAACACTGGACCTCACCTGTGCAATCCCGTTTGATGGGGGCGTCATGGCTGAAGTTGTGGCTGCAGTAATCACCCCACCAGACACTCTCAGCACAGTGGTTCCTGGTTTGGAGAGTTGTGATGACGCTGGCAACGATTTCAGAGTATTGTCTGATATTTTCATCAGGGAGGCTTGTCCACTGGAAGCTGCCTTTGAAATTAAAAATGAATTCAATGGAAACAGCACTGTTGCAAATCAGCTATGTCTAAACAGGTGATCATAAAAAGTCAAGAAAATTAAGAAGCCACCCAGGAGGAAATTTTATTATTTATATAGCACTGTCAGCATACCTGGTATATAGAGTTCCCTGTCCTGAGGTACTTATAATCTAAAATTCAACACAGGGAAAAAGAGGAAGGAGACAGCATATAGTTGTAAGTGGACAGCCGCCTGAGGGGGATGGTTTACCTGGGAGTCCTGTACTAAGCAGGGGGTTGGACCCAGTGGCCCTTTGGTCTCTTCCAACACTACTAGTCTATGATTCTAGTTAACCTGCACCTGCCTAAACACCACCTACCCACAAGCTGTAGTGATGACCACCAATCTGAAGGGCTTTAAAAGGGAACTGGAGAAAATCATGGAGGAGAAGGCGATCAGTGGCTAATAGTCCTCCAGTATCAGAGCCAGTATGCCTATGTACACACAGCTGGAGGACATGGGAGGAGGATGCTGTTTTATTAATTAATTAAATTTATATTCCATGTTTTTTCCTTCCAGGAACCCAAAAGTGCTTATATAATCTTTCTCTTCCTCCTCCGCTCCATTTTATCCTGACAATTATCTTGTAAGGTAGGTTAGGTTGAGAGGCAGTGCCCCAAAGTCATCCAGTGAGTTTCACGGCTGACTGGTGACCTGAACCCAGACATCCTGAGTCCTAGTCCAACACTGTTATGTCGCACTGTTGACTCATTTCCTACTTTGGGGTATCCCATGACCACCTACTTGGCCAGTGTAGGAACAGAATTGCTGGACTAGACAGGCTTGGGCTGAACCAGTGGGATCTTTGTCTGCAAAGGGTAAACAGGGAAGAATCATATAATTGTTTAGTTACAGTACAGCAGCCTTCTCCAACCTGATGGCCTCTACATGTGATGGACTCCAAGCCAACATTGGCCATTGGCTGGGAATGATAGGGGCTGGAATTCAACAGGTTTGGAGAGCAGTAGATTGAGGAAAGCTATCTGAAGGGATTAACCCAAGAAAGAATGAAGTTTGAAGAGCAATTTGAATTAAGTTAGAGAGAAGATGATCTAGAAGGCTGTTCTAAGCACACAGGACTCTAATCTGTGCCCCTAAGTCCCTGGCCTCATCTAATCTCCCATGCAGATCTTCCCTGTCCTGCTCTGGGGAAAACACAGAGGCAAAACAGTCATTTAGAATCTGTGCCTGTTCCCTCGTATCAGTCACTGGATCTCCTTCCTTCCTCCTTATTTAGTGGTCCCATTACTTGTTCCCCTTCCTCTTCCCATTTACATGCTCAAAGAAGCCCTTTTTGTTACTCTTGATATTCTTGGCAAGTCTCAGCTCGTAACCAGCCTTAGCATAGCGAAGAATCCTTCTGCAATGGGCCTCCTCCTCCCGGTATTCACTTTTGTCTATTTGCCCCAGTACCCATTTCCTACGGAGGTTCCTCTTTTGTCTAATCCCTCTAACAACCTCCTTTCGCATCCATGGCGGCACTCTCCTTCGCCTCCCCACCTTACTAACTAGAGACATCATCAAGGCTTGCGCCTCCAAAACCTCCCTTTTGAGTGCCATCCACCCCTCCTCAACACCCTTGCCTTCCAGTAACCTATCCCAGGAGACTTTCCCCAGTTTGGCCTTCAGTTGGCCAAAGTTGGCCCTCTTGAAGTCCCAGCTTCTAGTGCTCGACCTGCTGCACATCCCCATTCCCCTGATCTCAAAGCAAAGGATGGAGCAATCACTCGTATCCGGAGCTCCCCTAATCCCCTAATCAGCTCCTCCCTGTTGGTCAAAACCAAGTCAAGGATGTGTCCCCCCCACCCCCGTCACCTCTCGGACCCTCTGTGTGAAAAACCTTCCCTCTATAGCTTTCTAGGAAGTGACGTGATCTGGCTGTCACCGCTGAGTGAGTCTCCCAACTAATATCCGGGAGATTGAAATCTCCCATAATTACTGAGTCCCTCCCCCGAGATATCCTTAGAATCTGGTCTGTCAGGACATCATCCAGGGTCTCAAGTTTTCCTGGAGGGCGATAACATACCCCCACTGGCAGGTCTCTTTCCCTGTCAAAACCCCTAAGTTTCACCCAGACTGCCTCTACCGAATCCCCATCTGTGCTGCATTCTATCTCACTGTATCCTATCCCTTCCCTGATGTATAAAACCACATCCCCACCCTTCTTTCCCTTCCTGTCCTTTCTAAAAAGGTCATACCCCTCTGTGTTTACATTCCAGTCTTGCCTTTCATCCCACCAAGTTTCTGTGATCCCCACCAGGTCATACCCTCCTATTCCCAGGAGAGCTTCAAGCTCTTCCTGCTTATTACCCATGCTCTTAGCATTAATGTACATGCACCGCAATTCTTTCCCACCGCTTCCTTTCTTTGGAGTCCCCAGCCTCCTCCTTCCTCCCATCTTCCTTGATACCTGGCCTCTCTTTTTAGGAGTCCTGTCAGTCCCTGCAGTACCTCTAAAACCCCACTCCCAGAGCCCTGCTCCTCCCAGAGCAATGATGGTTGATGGGGTCAAGACCATGGAAGGCTTTGAAAGCAAGGACAAGGAGCTTGTGCTGGCTTTGGGGACCAACAGGAAGCAAGTACACAATTTAGGAAGAGCATGATGTCATCAGAACAAAGAGTTGAATGATGTTGGCACCAGAGTATTGAACAGACATGCAGGGATCAAGGTGAGGCATCAGAAGATGAAAGAGGAAAAGACTTCAGTAGTTCTGGTCATAGGTGGTCAGCAGATTTTCTGATGAAGAGTCAGAGAGGAAGTGTTATATATTTCAAGTGTTGGAAAGGGTGAAAAGACACAAGATGGTTATAAAGTGAATAGGGGAGACAAACAGAGAGAGGAATCAAGCAGAAAAGTCAAGGCTATCGAGGCAGATCATAAGACTGTTAATGGACAAGGAAAGCATAAGAGAAGAGGAAGGAAAATGAAGTGTTCTATTTTGGACATCCTGAGTCTGAGACAATGACCACACAAAAATATCATAGAAGAAGTTATTTCATCTCATACAGTTGGAGATGTAAAGAAAATGACTCCACATAAAGGCACAATTTATGTGCCTTTTCCTACCAGTAAGTGGAGAAGCACATGAGGCTTTAAAACACTGGAACTGCAGAATTTCTTAAAAATAAAGGGATCAATAGCCTTGCACTTGCCCATCACTTATAAAGGAAGGTGGTGACAGGGAAAGATCTCTGGTGCTCTTGCTTCTGTTTCTCTATTCCCAATCCCATTATTTTTACAAAGAAATTGAACCAATTTCTAATGCTGTACATTCCTTCTTTGATAAATGGGTCTGCAGTAGAGTCTGGGAGCAGGCCCAGTATGAACTGAACAGCCAGCAAACATCATGGCAGTGCTCTGAATCCCAAACCAAGCCCAAACACAACCTTGTCATTACCTGTGCAAATAAGGCAGCAGTTTTGTGCCCAGTTATTACTTTCAGTGCCTGATGTCCTTGTGATGATGTTCCAGCACTTGTGTTCCCTTGGACAACTGTTCCTGTTGCTGCTTGTTTTGCAGAAGTCTGGTGAGATGGCTGGCCAACTAAAAACGTGCCCTGGACCAAAGGACAGCTAAAGTAAATACCTAAATGTTCTACACACAGAGAGCTCTAAATCACATGCCACAGCAAATTGTAGGATTTGCAGCGCGTAAGTTGGAGAGAGCAGGCTCATCAGGCATTTCTGCTTTTAATCACCTATCATCAGCCAGGTTGGAGGTTGTTGAGCATGACATGTGAATCTGGAGCACTGGGTTCTTTGGGGCTAAATGGCCCAGCACTTAACCCATGGTTTCTTGTCTGTTTTGAGTTGCACGTCACACTCACAATTTTGACCTGCCTGATTACAATCCGTGGATTAAAAGCACAAGCGAGAAGAATGTAAGAAAAAGTGCACTTCCTCATTCTACTTGTGCACAGCAAATTATGGGTTTACTGAGTTAACGGAGCCATAATTTGCTGTTACTTGTATCACATATGCACACACAATCTCTGTAAGCAGCTTTGCTTAACTACAGTCCTCTCTGATTTGCTTTTTGAAAGGCAAAATCTATCGTTTCTCATAATACCACTTATTAGAATTATATGGGGTAAATCATGTTCCCATAAAGTCACAATCTAATGACAAAGTCACTTAGGAAATTATCCTGCCAAGTGGTTCTAAAACTTATCATCCCCACTACCACCTGTGAATTAAGTCAAACTATAGTAAAAAGTGTGGAGGAGGTAACGGCAAGATCTCCTTACAATCACCATAAATAATCACCAAGGGAGGCAAGGAGAACAATAAGACAAAAAGAGCCAATTTGCATGACACAGCTGGGCCATCAAGAGTTATTCCATCCAAGATTACTCACTGCATTGTGTGAACCTTACCAGAGTGTTCGTTCTAGAGAGAGGATATCTAGCAGACCCATTCCTGCCCCTTGTTCTTTTAAACTTGAAATAACTTTAAATATGGCCCACTTCAGATGTATTGGACTGCAATACTCAACACCTGCAATTATGGACTGCTGTGACTGGGGTTAATGGGAGCTGTAGTGAAAAGCAGGTGACAGGCATGTGGTTGCTCACCTTTACTCAACTAAAAGCATCTGCCCCTCCTGACCCAGAGCTTGCATTTTATGGGAGTGACTGGTAAGAGGAGAGTTCTATAGATCACCCTGAAGACTCACCTGTGGAGTCTGTTTGAGGATGTAAGAGGTGTAGGTGAGATGCTGAGATAAACCAGTGCTTGTACTTTGAGTTCCTCCACCTCCACCGGCTGAAGTGCCTGACTGCTGATCTGGAACAAACAAGACAGTCATACATGCAGGTCCCATTATTTGATGCTTCCATAAGGCATCCTATAAAATAATTGTCTTTTGGGGAATGCAGTCTGGCCAGACAGGGGCATTATCCTCTACCCTGTTAAAACCTATTACAGAGTCACTCCATTTAGCACATTAGTTTTCCCTCATGCAACACTAACTGGCATTATTTGTGGCTCGCAGAATGGCTCCTTGCGGAATCAGCAGTAGTTTTCCTTTCCCAGAGGGGTTCTTGCTGTTCGTGGTAAGGTACAGTTTAGTGCCAGGGGGAAGATTCGCCAAGTTGGCCAAGTTAGTGGCTGGTAATTGTAGTGTTGCCATTACTAGAAGAAAGGAAGACAAGAGGAAAAAAAGGGATGGTTACCCAGGTTTTCTAAGGCCATCCTTTTGCAACGTATGATTTCAATAGAATCAGACAAAACAAGCCCCTTAAGCACTAAATACCATTTTATTATAGTTATTTTTACTTCTGTCTGCATAGCGCTCTTCTGAATATCATGTACTGATGACTTTAACTATGGCTACAACAATGCAATTTTTATATTGGAATGAATGTGCATCTCACATCACATGGCACAGAAAGAAGCACAAGTCCTTGCTGCAGATACTTTTCAATCACCAGTGAGATGTGGGAAGGAGAGAGGCAAGATATTATATCCTAAGACTGTGTATGAATGAGCCAGGCTTTTGTTGAGCACGAATCTTGTGGAAGGACAGGGCTCTGAGGTAATAGCTGATGGACAGAAAAGGGGAAGATAGCAGGGAAGTTCTCTGTGCAAAGAACAGAGAAGTGGCAGTGGAAAAAAAAAAAAAGCAAAACTGACCAAAGGCAAAATTGAAGGGAAAGGACGTGCAAGAATGCATAAAAGTTATGAGTGATCATTACCTCCCTCTACCAACAGATACAAAAATACAGTATTACACAGAGCAACCAGATGGAAGAATTTGATGCATCCTACTCTGACATTAATCAAAATAGCAGTGGCCTTGCATTAACAAGCATGTCTCATGGGGAACACAGCTAGATTTAGAAGATGACCACAATATTTCAGAATTTAAGTTCATTGATGCTAGTGAGTTAGTCCCATGTAATCATCTCACAAGCTGCAAAAACAAAAGCAAACGAGTAAAAGTATCAATCACGTTACCTGAACCTTGAGACCCACTCTTTGGTACTCCTGCTGATGGAACCTGGGCCTTTGTTAAAGTCTGCACAGGCTGAGCAACAATGGTTCCTCCCCCACCGCTCACAATAGCTTTTGCCACTCCTTGGGTTACCACTTGTTTCCCACCAACTGTCTTTGCTACTGAAGGGCTGGATTTTGCTACTAGTATCTGACCGCCACCAATGGCCACAGCTTGCTTGACTGATGTGGGTAAAGCAGATCCAACTGGAACACTAACGATCTATAATGAAATAAATTATGTTACTTGCAGGAGAACACCATGACTGGACAGAAAACATCTTACCCAATCAGTTACACAAACTGACCCTGAACTAGCAACCAGGAGCAGGTGTAAAAGATCAGCCATCCTGACGTAGAATGCCTGCTTAGAATGGAATTATATGGTACCAGAGTTTGTTCTTTGTCAAGTTTGTTCCTCAACATTCCCATAGCATTGACATCATATGCAGTACGATCATTTTATTTATTTAGACATTCCCATACAACTCTTCAGGTACACACCCCAACTTTGTTTACAATAAAAGTTTCAAACAACTATAATATACAACACACACAAAATTGCAACAATCAAATTAAACAATTCAGTAATATTGCAATTCAATAACAGACTGGTATTGACAACTCATTCCAGCGTTTAACATACCACTTCACTATGTTCATTTAAACCCACCTTGTAAAAATGCTTGCAAGAGGGAAAGCATCTTAACCTGGCATATAAGCAATAATTTATGTAAAATACATTATCAAAACAATAAATGATGATGATGATGAAAAATACATCATCAAAATAACCAATGCTTATGTCAGCAACTACACATTGGCTACTGGAGTGCACCAAAGAACTTCAGAAAATCCTATGCTTGATAGGCTACAGCAAAGCCTTTGACTGTGTGGATCATGAGGAGCTATGGATGGTCCTAAAAGAAACGGGTGTGCCTCAGCATTTGATCCTTTTGATGCATAACCTGCATTATGAACAGGAAGCTACTCTAAGGACCGAATACGGAGAAAAAGAATGGTTTCATAAAGGCAAAGGTATCAGACAAGGTTGCACTCTCTCTTTCTACTGTTCAATCTGAATGTTGAACATATCATAAAGAAAGGTGGATTAGGATCAGGACAGGAGTGAAAATTGGTGGAAAGGTTAGCCCACATATGGGAAAGGTTAGTAAAGTCAAAGAATTCTGTTCAGTTTGCTGGCTGAGATTTGCAACCCACCTGTGACCTGGCTGAGGGTGGGTTGTAGCAAGGAAAATGACAGGAAAGGAGAAAAACTGAAGAGAGGAAGGGAGGGAGGGACAGAGATAAAGGAGGAGGCAGCAGATGATGAAAAAAATACTCCAGTTAAACATAAAAACAAAACCAGGGAATGGAAAGGCTGAAGACCATTTTAAAAGACAAAGGAACGACGCAGTTCCTTTCCCCTCAAATAGATATAACATGGAGTTTATTTAATCAGAATAATGGTGATCCAAAGGACATCCCTCACCATCATGAGGACTCTGTGCCCACACAGTTATGTTGAATTTACTTCAATGCACAATAGCACGGAAAAGTTTCGGCAGAATTGCAACTAGGTCAAAAGCACCCAAGCAAAAAGGAATGAAAAGTAATGTACCTTAGCTGAAGTGGAGCCCTCTCCTGTGCTCACAATCTGCTTTTGAGGCGACAAAGCAATCACATGACTCCCTTTCACAGTGACATACTGCTGCACCGATGTCTGAGAGGCTGTCCCAGCTGCTGGTGCTGGAGATGGCTGGGGGAGTTCTCCAGGCTCCTGCTTTATTATCACCTTCAAAAATAATGGGATGGACGTCAAGACTTTACAGGGAAATCCTCGCTCCAGCTCTCCCAACCACCATGTGAGGGAGTTAGGATGGAGCAGAAAAAACCTCCAAAGCTGGGCAGTGGCCCAGTAATGCTCAGCTCATGGAAAGCTCTGTGGGCAAACATTTACTTCTGGATTTAGGGCTTCTTCATTTGGAAAGGAGGCTATAGGATCAGGTCACCCCCTCTGCCAGCTAGGAGCAATTCCCCCACCACACACCAATGACAATACGGGACAGGGATAAAGGGGAAATGCTCATGGCAGGAAAGAAAAATGACCCTTCTCCACACACACTTCCAGCCCTGGCCTCCACAAGACAGCAAAATTTTAGAGGTCTCTGCAAATTGGCAGATGATCCACCAACTTGTACCTCTCACTTAGGGAGCCAAGTGTGCAATCCCGATTGGCCTGCACACATACAGTGACTCCACCAAAACCAGACGTGCATCTTTTACAACAGGGGTAAACAACTTGTAACCTTCCCACGATACTGTTGAACTGCAACTCCTATCACCTGGCACCCTTGGCTATGTTGACTGAAGCTGATGGGAATTGTATTACAACAATATCTGGAGGACCATACCCCTGTTTTACAAGAAACAGAGAGGCTGCCTGGTAGAACACAAAGTCAGTAACTCCTACATGTCTATAGTTCAGAAATTCACACTATGTTCATTTCCTTAAAAAGAGCCATAAAATGGCCTGAGAGAAGTTGTCAGAACTGCCACACTTGTGCAAAAGTATCACAGGTACATTTGCTTTGCAGTGAAATTATATAGTATTACAACTCAAAGCATCCCTCAACCTTGGTCAGAATAACATTTCCACACACACAGAATCAATCCTCTCTAAGATAAAAGGACTCACAATGAAGTTCTCCGATCATTGCTTCCCCATGCATCATGTAACACTTGACAGACAGTGGCTTTCATTCAAGTCAACAGTGGTTTTCATTTCATTATTGGAATAAATCCATGAAAAGTGGTGCAGTGCTGCTCAAACTTATAGCATTAGGAGGGTGTTGTTGTGCTTGTGTCAGGCTTGATGCTTGGCCACTGAGCGATCAGAATGCCGGAGAAGACAGACCTGCGGCAGATCCAGCAGGGCTCGTCTTATGTGTGAGGGGCCACAGCTCACTGGTGAAACGCATACTTTGCATATAAACCATTCCAGGGCATTAAACCCTGGCATCTCCAAGGAAAGCTGAAAAACTGTTCGCATCCCTGGAGAGCCCCTGCCAGTCAGTGGTCTGGTTTGAACTACACAAAAATCTACTGTTTACAACATGTGAACCAGCGCCGTATTTAAAAAAAGCAAAACAAATCTACCTGAGTGAGATAAGATCCGCTCAGTACATGGCAGCTGTGTTCTTAAAACTTATTCGAACAATACAGCAAACAGACACGCCAGGCCTTCAGATGCAGTGAGAACATTTTAGTACTTGGTGTGGTCAGCAAACAACTGATCTTTATATAACCCCTTGTATAACTGATATATTGCCATGTTTACAAATGCTACTGCTTTTCATGAGGATATGAAACAAATGAACAAAGAAAGCAGAAGAAAGGAAAAGGCCAATTGTTTGGGAAGAACAAGTGACACATATACTTACAGAACCCCCCAAAAAAGGAACAAAAAGACTCTTGCATACAGTTAGAATGTTTTATTGCAATTTTTATTGTGAAATGCGGCAGCTGCAATTGCTACACACTAGAAAGAGAAGAAAGGAGGCCTAGTACCTTTGTAAATGTTCCGGGTCCTCCTGTCACAGCTTTAGGGCTTTGTACCTTGGAGTGACTCCCAATTGGACAAAGAGGTGGCATGGTTGCAAACAGAGAGTCCTCCTGCTAGAATTAATATACAGAATACACAATTAAGCTAGCTACTCATTTTAAGCATTAAGCTTTAAACACAAGGAATAAGCATATCTAAGGTAAGAAATATAAACCATGCCTACATCTGCAAAAAGTTCTGAGTTTTAGTCTGAGTCCAGAACGCTAGTAGAGGAATATCATAAATCACACTTATTTCCATCTAACTTAATAGTGCATCTGTGGCTAGTACATGTAATCATGTTGTTTTCAACGTCAATAAAATGCTGCATTGCCATTAAATGTTGGATGATTAATTGGTGGGAAGCAATTGTGATCAGTGAGGTCAAAAGTTTAAGTGTGCACGTGCTTCTTATTTTTTAAGAGTCTGGGGTGATAGTAACATTATCATGTTTGGTTTGTTTATGGAGAGAAAAATCCTACAGTGTAGAACTGTCTGGTAAAACTTTCCTGAGGTTGGAGACAGTGCTTGGACCTCAGAAAGGGAAGTCAAAGACTCTGGCCTCTCTCCCCTGCCCCCACAGCCGATATGGAAAGAACCATGCAGACTGCTGCTTCTTTGTGATTGTAAAAATGACCTCCGAGGAAGAGAAAGGCGGGGGGGGGTGGGGTGCAATAGTGGCTGAGAAGGAAGGAGACCACACGGGTCAGGCTAGGAAATGCTTTGTGCCTCTCCCATCCATCTTCTCTCTCCTTCTGTGCCTTCGTTTAGCAAAAATGCCGCAGACAGAGATTGGGGAGGTGAAAATCATCTCCCGGGTTCTGCTGGCTTCAGCCTCTTGGAATTCTTTGAGTTCACAGGCTTCTGAGCTTGGAAGGCACCAATGATGAGGCTGTGCACTTAATTGTAAGCCATACTTAATACTGGATGTTTGGTAATATCCAAATTTATGTCATCCATAGAAAAGTTTAAAAGACAGATGATTCAAGTATGTTTAGTTTATTTGACTGGTTAATAGCCATAATTAGATGAAGAAAGATAAATTAGCACATATAGGAGGGCATCACTGTCTTTAACACCATCTAAAATAAAACTGATATTGTACTGAACTCAGGTGGAACAATTCAAGGCATTGCAATTAAGATGTACCAGGCTTGCTTTAATATGCACCTATAATTTGCAAAGAACTTGCCACTCAGGGATACTTTGATAAGTTACACACAGTTGCTTCCCAACCCCATTAGTGCATTAACACTCAAATTTTCAAATTTGAGAATATGGCACTGGTACAAGAAAATACTTCTAAATGTTTGCTTTCTAAACTTCTATTCAGCAATGCTCTGATGGATGCATATTTTCCTGTGTAAGTGACGATGCTTGCACTGGTGTGTTTGTGGCACCACTGAATGGACATAACAAGTCTTGTTTCTGAGGTGCCAGCTTCTCAAACAACATGTGGAGGGGGAAGGAAGAAAAGGAATGCACTGCTTTTGGAACACATTACATTTTCATGGTATAGATGCAGGAAGGTAACTCAGTCTGTATAGGTGTGCTGGGGAACCTGCAGCCCTTGGCCTAATTTCAAAGCAGTGGCGCAAGAGTGAAGAAAAGCTATGCAATCCTGCAACTTCACCTACTTTTGGCTCTGGGTCCACTCTGCATTAACCTGATTAAGTTTTCCCATAGGTTAATGGTCCTTTACCATAAAGGTTCTCCAGCCTTGCTTTGCAGCCTAAGTGTGGTTATATGCTATATTTTTAAGATGTGGCAACTTAAGCTGTAATCTGAAAAGCTGCATACACAGAAATTAATATATGTTGAAAGCAGTCTGTGCTTAGGATAAATATACAAGCTAAGAGCCAAATACCATTCACTCTGATAGAAATCAGACTAACAGTCGCATATTAATCAATGCATGATTTACCATAGTACATGCTGGGTGTATTCTGCAGCTATTTTGAACATTCGGCCCTGGAGTGAGGTGATGTCCAAACCCAGACACTACAGGCTCATCATGCATTAAGCAATCCACAATTAGTAGTTAGATTGATTGTTTATACTTATTTTATACTGTGGGTGACTTATTTTATACTGTTAATGTATATTATTTTAATTGAAATTATTTATTTATGTTGTGAGCCACCCCGAGGCTTCGGCGAATGGGGCGGCATAGAAATTTTCTAAATAAATAAATAAATAAAATAAATTGTGAGTTATTCAACCCACGATAACCTATAGTGTCCAGGGCTAGACATCACGTATCAAGCCTTAGTCAGTTCAACTGGAGGTTAAATGTTCCAGAAAGCTGTGGAAAGTCTCTGGCACATGTCGTGGCAAATGTCAGATTAGTCTGCTGCGGTTCTATGTGAAAAGACTTGTTATAAATCAGCCTTCCCCACCCTGGTGGCCTTCAGAGGCATCTGGATTGCAAATCCCAGAACTCTTATCCAACAGGACCAATGACTGGCAATTCTGGGTGCTGTACTCCAAATGTGTCTGGAAGGCACCAGGTCAGGGAAGGCTATTATAAATGCTTCTCTTTGCACCTAAGAAGTTGCACGTTAGCATGTAAAGGCCCCAGATTCTGCTATAAATCCATCACTCTGTAAACCACAAATTGTATTCATTTAGAAAACCCCCACTCTGTATCTTTAAGGTGTCTTTGCCAGACCAGAGTTAGCAACAGCATTTCTTGGTGTCTACTTAAAAAGTTAAAATGAATTGATCCTAGTACTTTGCCTGGCAAGGTTCCTAATCACCACCAGTGCTTTGGGCTCTTTCACCCCCCACGGTTTTACATAAATATTATCTTGACAATAGTAGCTATAAAGTTGCCAACCTCTCTGCTTGCCCTGAATGCTTTTCTCACAGTATAAATGGCAATGCTTGGAGCTTTGCAGAAAAGGGCATTTAATCAGAAATACATTCCAGCCTACTAGATAAGCTGCTTTTGGAAATCAAAATCGTGCTGTGTCTATAGAGTGCAGCTTCTTCTACTGGTTTCTTATATAACAGGCTGCTATTCTAGATTTCTCAGGCTAGTGAATGAAAAATCATTGTATCAAACTGGGAAAAACTGAACTAAAGCTGCAATCTTGTGCAGTTATTTGGGAGTCAACGCTATTGGAGTCAGTGAGTGGGTTCAGAAAACCTGATAATCCACAAACAAGGACTGAGTATGAGCTGAATGTGGGTTGTCACTGAACCATGGGTTGTACTGAATGTAAGTTATGTTGTCTGAACTTAGCTGAGATAACCAACCATGGTGAACAACCCAAGTTCACCATCCAACACTGAACCATGTGTTTTTTTCATGGGTCATTCATAGTTAACAAATTAACACAATAATCTATGTTTCAACAACAATCCATGGTTTAACAATGCACAGGCAACCCATACTCAGTCCCTGAGTATGGATTGTTGTGCTGTCTGCTCCCAGAAATTAGGATTTTCTTTGAAGAAAAGATGCATAGGACTGTGTTCTGAATATGCATATTGGTGCTAGCTAATCCCAACAAAGCAACTAACACTCTTCTGAAAATTCTTTCCCTCTTTCCATTGGAACATTCACAACCCAGAAAGCAGATTTTCTGTGACTTTACAAGGCGAGTGTATACATTTTCAGGGGAAGGTTTTTGTTTTTAACCTTTAAAAGATGAGATGGCCAAGGTTTCCTTCTCCATTTTTTTAAACATTGTCCAAAAGATTTGCTGCTGTTTAAAGCAGCAGCTTGTCCATTCCTGTATGTTCCTGGATATATATTGTGATAGACCATTGTTTCTGGGTCATTCCTGGAGACATAGATGGTTGTCACCTTTGCCCACAATACGGCAGCCAGTTCCGCCAAATGCCACACAGTCCTCCAAGGAATAATATTATAGCATGAGAGAGTGCTTTTCTCAGGGGCACTCTGTCCTAGAAACAGACTGGAACAGCCAAGCTGCTACTTGAAATAAGAGCAGGAACTTTTGTTTCGGTTTAAAAAAACCCAGAAAAGAATCCTCAGCTACCTTGCCTTTTAATTTGTTAAATTTCGTACAGAAAAAGCCTTCTGCAATTATTACAAAGGCTTGAACATAACAGCAATCAATCATACAGTTCATAAATGAAAATGGTAACATTCTGTTTTACTTCTACTAGTATGTAAGATTACCTCTCCAGAATAAAAAATAATCTACAGGTGGTCTAAGAACTGTTTTTTTCATTATAGATGTATAATACAAAAGGGAACCACTTTTTAACAAATGCATTTTTCTTAATTACCCCTCTGGATACCAGTGCAATTGTTGATTGGTACAATTTTGCAAATTGTAGCAAACCACCCATTTTGCATATTCTAGAGATGTTTTTCAAACCTTTGAAATTTCTGTTCTAGCTGCTCCCATTAGTAAGACCCATAATGATGGATATGTGGGTTAGAAGATGGAGAGATCTAGTTAGTGATTCAGAACTATGATTTAATGACTAACAGCCAGTAAAACAGTGAACACAATGTTTGTTAACAGCTTGAGATATACCACATACAGTATAGAGTCCCACCGGTCTTACAACATCCCCAATAGCTAGGGGAGATTGTTTATGTGGTGCAATTTTAAGACTGTGAATCCCCTTTGGATTTGCTTCTCTTATCCTGGCTTATACTGTTTTGGTATGTGGTTTATGCCCGACAGTATGCCGATCTCTATTCCAAATGAAGGCTGTTCAATCTATTTTCTCAAATGTTGTCTCTAAAAGATAAAATCCCTTCTGTGCATATTCTTTAAATCAATTCATTCTTTGCACCTCAACTCCCATAATGTAAGAAATGCACTGGGCCAAATACTTCAGTCCAAATATTTAAAAAGTAACACATAAGGCTTAGAAGTTTTGATTCTGGTGGGAGAGCCCTGGAAACCTCAGGTGCAAGAGACATGGGAGAGCCATGCTAGAAGCCTCATGGAAACCTCTAAATGGATCTAGCTTGGTGCAATGAAGGGGGGGGGGGTTGGGAAAGAATATTTAACTAGAATTCCACAAATAGCCTTTGGAAAGAGTCTCTGCACCAATGCAATTGCAGAAGCACACGCCTTGGGGTGCTAAATTAAAAAGAAAGAGTAGGACATTGCATACTGCTTTATATGAAGTTTCTCACCAATGGAAAGCCACTCAAATGTATTTTACCTTGACAGCAGAGGCTGCAAAACTGCTTCCATGGATCTTAGAGACTGGAGACCCTGTCCCTTGAGGTGCTTGAGAAATGCTTGTAACCTTAGCTGCAGGGCTACCTATATGTAAATATTGAGAAACAGAATGGATACAAGTTAAACACACATTGCCCCCTGGAATACCAAGACACACAACGGAAAGAAGGGAAAGAGAGTGCACGTCTCTCACAGTGGGATACACACCTGCACTTGTGGTTACTACTCCCACTGGCTGGCCAGGCTTGTCCACAATAACATAAGGGTTACTGACTACAGGAGTGGCAGTTCCTTGCTTCATATGCACTGGAGTGGAAGTTGGGGTTCGAGGTAGTGGAGAAGGACTTGGGGTTGATATTGGAGAGCCTAAAGAAACAGAAAGGAATTCGCCATTATGTTTCAGACAGACACACAAAATAATTGTAAAAAATATTTAAAGCCATTTTATTGTAAGCTTGAAGACTATTTATGTCTAAACGTTTTAGCATTGTCAGAACCTCAATGCTTTTTAATGACTGTAATAGGTTTTAGCATGTCCAGTGTCTAAAAAATAGAGTTGCCTTAATAGTCCCATTAATTTATTTTGTAAAATGATCTACAAATAAATGAAACAATTTGCAGAATCACAAGTTGTATTTCAAAGACAGAACTGCATCAACTACAGCAAAGGCAGAAACAGCTCCATGAAAATCAGGCAGTTTCTTCCAGAAACATTTCCCTGTAGGACAGGGATGAGCTACCTGTGGCCCGCCAGGTGTTTTAACCCACAACGTTCATCAATCCTCGCCACAGGGTATGTGGGCTAGGGCTGATGAAAGTGGCAGGTCAAAACAAGTGGAGGGGGACAAGTTGCCCAACTGTGCTGTAGGGGAAGAAAGCTGGAACACCTAAAAATGTTACATTCTTTTCCTCCCTGCTCCAACCACAAATCATAGAAGTCCATGTGCATCTAAGTGTGTAGGATTCTTCTAGGCCCAATATTTTTGTGACCTTTAAAATAAGCACACCTCTTTACATTATTTTGCACCTCTTTTTATCATTTTGGCCCTTATGGCCAAACAAGTGAGCTTATGCTTTGTGAGATTAAGAGCAAAAATATCCTAAGGGGTGGGTGCAGGGAGATGCTTATGTCATACAGCATATACTAGAGTGTCACTATCTCATCCTTCTAACTTGATTTGTGTAACACATCTATGCTTTTATACTGCTTGACATCCCAGGATTTCTAAGCAATTTATATACAAACACATATAGCAAATTACAATAGAATGCAACATTAAACAGTATAAAACAATAGGCACATTAAAAGACTGCAACAGTTGTAAAATAGATCAGTATCATATTTTGGGTGTAAAACAGGGAAAATCTGAAAGAAGAATTGTATTTAAGAGGTTTGAAGCTTGCTACAATTTCTGCCTCTTAACATGCATGTGAACGTGTTCCAGAGCGTGGGTGCCACTACTGAGGCCTGCTGATGTGCTGTTAGCTGATGATGCACTGTTGGAACAACCAACAAGGCCTCCTCAGAAGATCTGAGCTGGGCTACAGGGGGAAGAGGTCAGTCTGGTATTTTTGTCCCACACAGAAAATGGTCATCGTTGGTGGGTTTTTCTGGCAAGATACAAGATGAAGAGAAGGAATGTACTCAATACAAGGTAAACCAGTTCACTCTTATCTAGCAGGATGACATAGTTCAATATATAAACAAAGCCATTACCTGATACAATCTTGCAGCTCATAGTGATAGGCTGGAAAGACTTGCCTGGAGATTCAGCGGGGCTTGGGATTCGACCTTGAGGGACTATTTTGCAACTAGCTGCAATTGGCTGAAAAGCTGAGTTGCCGTGAGAGCCAAAAGTTACTTTCTGGGTCACAAGCTTAGTGGGAGTCCGTTCTAAAGATGATGGCAGAGAATATAAGGTTGTATGCCTTTCAGCTTCAGTGCTGAATCCTGGTAGATAAATTGGGGGAAGGGGGAGAGAAGTGTTGCAAAATTTCTCCAAGAGGTACATCGAACACTGGAAATAATTCTGGTCCATGTTTCTTTTTCTACAGTTGGAAGTGTCTCCAAATTTTCAATATGTCACTGTCTCCAAAGCAACAGGTGCTTTCTACTCAGAAAGGCAGGCCAAAGATTTCTTATAGAAGATTTTCTTTCCTTGCACAGCCATTTAAACTGTACAGCACCTAGGATATGCTCCCAGTAAGCTTCAGGAAGAGAATGTACTGACTGTAATACATCTTACAGCAGCTTTCCATGACCTGGTGCTTGCCAATGTTTTGGAAACTGAGCCGCCTCAGCCAACGACACTTTGCTCAGACATGCTAGTAGCTGCACACCCTCTATATTTACCTTTTTCAGCAGAAGCATCTGGAATGGATTCATGTGTTGGCTTTATTGGTGAAGACGCTTTCACAGGTGCTGGTATGTTTAAAGGCAAATGCAATGAGTTGGGGGCATCAGAAAGATCAGAATCTGAAGACTGGGAGAAGAGATATTCTTCTCTGAGAGAATGCCGATGCAACTCAACATCTACCACCTTTCCAGAAGAGAAAGAGGGAAAATTACTGTAAGAAAAGTATGCACTTAGATAGAAAAAGAAAAAGATCTGTTCACAGGAGATGCACATGACATCTGGATGGCACTAGCATCCATCAACAGAAGAAGTGAATTTGGGGGTACAGTGCTGGTATGGTTAAATCCATCTCAACTACACAGCAACTCAAGTAGTTATAGTCACTCACGGAAGGGGGCGGGTTGTCAATGCGCACTGGCTGGCATCCACAGGAATTTGAATCTCTCTCACTCATCCATACCCCACAAGGTCACAATCTCCCATTTGAACCCTGATAAGGTACCTGGGTACCAACTCAAGCTGAGTCCTTGGAATTGTCATATCAGAATACCAAAACCTTCTGAATATTCCGTATATTATTTCGAATAATTATGGGGAGAAATACATGCTCTCTGCACATAATCCTTTTCACTGCCCCCTTCTTTTCACAAGAAAGACAATCACTACTTCCATTTGACAATGTTACAAGAAAATTTTGTAAAAATCATACCGTTTCAGCGCCTAGTGTCTGCAGACCGGTATATGTTCTGTCCAACTGCATGAAACAATTAGGTCAAATAACATTAGCAAATAGATGCATGTACACACATATACGTGACTTAGTACTCACTCCTTTTCATTTGTGACTGTGGAATTGTAAAATGTGTAGTGCATCATTTTCCCGAGATAGGCATGTGGCACACAAGTGCTATTTTTCCATTCTCGGGTCTTCTTCACCAAATGAATACCTTCTCTATTTTGTATTTATTGATAAAATCAGACACAGAATTTTTCTAAGCTGTTTTTTGAACAAGCTGATAGAAGTTAGATTATTTTTTTAAACAAGAGTATTGCCATCTTACAACTTCCACTAATGAGATACCTTCCTGTAACTACAGGCAGCTTTTATTTAGTCCCAAAGTATGTACTTGTTCTATAACCCAAATATTTTGCCTGTGCTGAATTTGCTATATAAATGCAATGTGTACTTTCTGAAGATGTAGTGATGACCAACAATTTGGACAGCTTTAGGTTCTGGACAAATTCATGAACAAGAAGGCCATCTAGAAGGCTATTACATGCTGTCTCCAGTATCAGGGGCAGTGTCCCTATGTACACCAGTTGTTGGGGTACTTAGGCAGCAGGGGGCTGTTGCACTCATATCTTGCTTGCAGAAAACTTGAGAGACTGGGGCGCATCTTAGTATACCTCTTCAGCAGCATTTATGTAAAAGAGCTCTATGAAAAATGGTTGTGCTCACTTGCTAAATAGGTTTGTTGGCTAAGATTTTGCCTTTCTTGCTAAGATTTTTGCCTTTTTGTCTTCTTGGATTTGAGAACTTTATGTTGTATTCTCAGAATGGGGTGGGGAACCATCAGAGGAGGCTGAGGCTGAACCTCCCTGCCACCCTCAGTGGACTTGATGACATCAGGAGCTGAAGTCATGTCCCAGTGCCTTTATGTCATTTGATTCATGGCCTGTCTGTATAAGAGGGGAGAGACATGTCTGACATGATTCGAAGCTCTAATGTACTTCTCTGTGCACATGGATCTCACTGCAAGCACAAGTTGTCCTTTCCCTTTGCCTGGGCAATTGAACAATCTCCAACGTGGAAGAAAACCAAGAAAGCCTTTGCTTATTGTAAGTACCAAATGCTCTCACATATGCATGGGACACAATTGCTCTGAAAACAGCCATAACTAGGACACAAAACAGGGTTTATCATGTAATTTCTTAGGAAAACATACACAAGATGAAGTGTCATCTGTACATTATCACTACAGTAAATTTACCTTCAAATGGTGTATGATATCAATCCTTTTGTTCCGGCTATCTTTAAAGTGAATCTGAATCCTCACGGGAAACTCTCCCCAGCCCCGTCTGGTTAAGTGGAAAGGCGGTTCTCTAGGAATAAGGAGATTTAGGAGGTCTTCATTACTTCTAAAAAAGTGCTCAATCACACATAATACAGTGTGAGAGAAATATAATTTTGCTATTATTCAAGATACTTTTTAGCTTGGGTGTGGAAGTAAACAAACAACAAACACAACTTCCAGGCCTTTCTTAGGAGGGTCACCATTGTGATACTCAAGTACTTGCAAAGGTTTAGATAGTGTGAGAGAATCTGAATCAGCCTGTAGTACTTTTCAAATTTTTGTGGCCCAACTATTTGACTCCAAGAAGACTTTAGGAAGCTCAGCTGGCTCCAAGATAGTCCCAAACTCCTGAACTCCATTTATTGATTTATTGCATTTCTATACTGCCCAAAAGATGAAGCCCTCTGGGTTCCCAAAGCAAAACTTAAAATGGTTGCATGCCATTACTTTACACACAATAAAGCATAATATGAGAAAACTTCAGTTTAAAATAGAATAAAACCAAAATAATACTAGAATAAAAGTCAGTATCAGTGTAATGATCTAAAAAGGCACTGATAATTTTTTAAAACAAAGAACTAAGAAATCAGGGGAATAACATTTACTCTTTTCCTGGTTAAAAGATTACAATATAGGTACCAGGTGGGCCTCTCTGGGGAGGGCATTCTATGCAGTCAAATATCTTGCCAGAGAAAAATGGAGGAATGCAATAACAAACTCCTTGGCATTATACAAAAACTGCAATTTTGCAGGGAGAAGCAATGGCAACTTGTAGTTCTTTAACTTTCCCTGTCATCCATCTTTTGCTCCCTGGGCCCAGGTCCTTCCTGCAGCTTCTTTTCCTCCTTGCTAAGTAAACATGCATAAAACATGTACAGAGGGGGAAGAACAGAAAAACCAATTGTAGGAAAAAGGTCAAACAGAATTTGCCCGCTACCACGAGGAGTTGCCAGGGTACACTCACAAAAGCAATGGTGTCAAAGGGAGATCCTCCAAGTATGCAGATCAGATTGTAGAGTCAGAAAAGTCATTTTGTGTTTTAGCGTTCAGACTCCACTCTGAACTCTGCCTTACAATTAGGTTCTTGGGTAAGTTACTTTGCTCTTACAAAGCACAACAAAATGACCATTTCATGTAAGATAAACCGGTGGTGCAGAAAAATACACAAGCAAACATCTATCCAAATTACCTACCCAAGTCAATCAAAGAAGCTAACATATGCAGCACACACTCAAATTTCCCATCTTTTTCTTCCTGTGAGGAACTTTAGCTGGCTTACATAGTTCTATTCTGCTTTATTGTTATCCTCACAACAACTACCCTGTAAGGCAGGTTAGGCTGGGAGTAAGAAACTGGTCCGAAGTCCTATGTAAGCTTCATGGCCATGAGTGGACAAGAATCCAGATCTCCCAGGTCCCCAGTCCAACACTCTAACCAGCATGTCACACTGGGTCTCACTCACACACAAAACACCCACACCCTGACTCTCAAATGCTCTACTTTCCACAGGAGGCTTGCTACTCCCAGTCTACCTTTTTCTTTTTTCCTGCAGGACTAGACTCACTAATCTGAACACCAGAAGCAAAAATGGTGGGTTCACATGGGCCCTAGAAACATTGTTGAAAACAATGACAATGCTGAAAGCCAGGACTTTGCAACATGCCAATCCCTCAATTAAAAAAAATCTAGAAAAGAGAAATAACTTTCAAGAAAAGGAAGGAAACCTGGTGGGCAATAACAGAGGTGACCACAGGCCCATTAGCATCCATGGGTGCCATGCTGGGAACCCCTAAGCTTACACATGGGCAAGGACCTGGGATCTCAAGAAGTTAAAAAGAAGTGGCGCTCATAGTCCCTAAAGGGGAGGGGGAGCTGCTTACAAGCTACATGATGTTGCTTGACTAAAGCTACAGCTTGCTTGAAGATTATGCCCTTGTAACCCACCTTGGGGCACACCAAACTCTGTGAAGGGTTGATCAAGTTGTGTATTGTTGGGTTAGAAAGATAGGCCACATGGATTGTCCTGCTTCAGGCACAAGTTGCTGTCCACTGTGTCATGCTGCTACTGAACAAGATAAATATGCAATGGAGGATACCTTTCATTGGTTCATGGAGGGGAAAGCCATGAGGATGAGATGCAAGGGATGAAAAAAGAATTATAGAACAGTCACTGAACTTCTGAAAACATGTCACTGAGTTGGATAAGCTGGACATTTCGCTGAAAGATTGGTTACCTGACTTCTACAAGATCATTTGGTTTGTAGCTGGGATGAAGGAAGAACCAGACTTTCTTAACAAAATGGTCAATGCTGGGCTCTCGGCGGGATCCTCGTACATACACCATCCACTTATGAGTGGACTGATCGTTCTCCTCTCTCATATCAGGTGGAATGTATCTGATGGGAGGAAAACGTCACCAAGGTTTATTCCATGCCCTTTCTCCAAGGTATCTCCTGGAAGAGGTGGCTGAGGAGCTGCCGGCTGCTGCGGAGGTCAGCTGCTGGAGGCCTCCTTGTTGCAGCAGGGAAAGCTCCTCTGCTGCGGATGAAGAGAGCCACACCAGAGCAGCTTGGGAAAGCCCTCCCAATCCCCCAGTGTGTGTTCAACAAGGAGTGGGGAACTATGCTAATTCTTGGGTTGGCATAGTTAGCAGAAAGGAGGGATTTTTTTAAAAGGCTGATCACATCAGAAAAAAGGGTGGGAGGAGGAATAAAGCCACTTAGCCACACTTCTTGCCTGGGCTGCTACAAGGTCAGCAGGGCTTGGGAAGTGGCAGCATTTCTACCATGAGCTCCCCACTCCCAGCCTCCATGGCACTGCTCTGCCGCTCGCCTGCTCACTGGCCTTTCCCGCTGGGGGAAAAGCTGGTTGTGCAATACAGCTCAAGCAGTGCCACGTGTTCTGGCATGCTTCTCCTTCCTGCATGCGTGGTGGGGGGAACCATGTGTGGAAAAGGACAGGGCCTCTCCAACCCAGCTTGTCGAAAAGATCAGGGTGAGGATAGCGGAGAGGAGCTTTGCCCAGGAATGATGGGGATGGTTCCGAGCAGGGCCAGCCGAAAGCTGTAGACTGTTGCTCTGTCTTGGCCCGAGAGTGAAAAGAACGCCCAAAGCTCTGGATACTAACTTGGAGACATTGCCAACCACAATGGTTTTCTTCACAAACAACCGTGAATACTCCTCATTGGAAAGGCCAGTGTTTCTCATCCCCAGTTTGCGATCCCTAGCGACAGCAGACGTGCCCTGAGGATGCAATGTTTAGAAAACCACTTCAGCATACATATTTACTGTAAACATTTCCCTCAGATGTTAGAAAAGCAGCTGTGATTAACCCTTTGAAGCCAAACAATAAAAAGCTGTCCCCATACCTGTCTCCATTACAGAATGATATTAAAATGCCACAAATATTGTCAAGTGCTACGCAGAAGTAGGGTTTTCAAATTAATTTGAAATCAAGCACTGCAGGCCCTCTAGACTGGTGCATCCAGCTGCTGGCAGCAGGGCCAGTGTGCAAAGGGGAGATGGAGGATGCAACAGAAGGAAAGGCAGCTACTGCTGCAATAGTCTGGCAGGGGCAGGGCTAGGCCCTTTTGAGCCCCAGCAAATACCTGCCCACATCTCCACGGCCCACATGCTGGGCCTCTGTTGAGGCTCCAACGGGAAAGTCAATTAGCCTTGCATTGTTAGTGGGGACAGAAGGAGGCTATGGAGATTCTGAACTGTTAAAGAACCAAGAGTGTCAGCCTATAGCCAGGCTTCTTCTGTGAAAAGATTTTTCTGCCTAATCAAAAGGAGGTCTGCACTGGCTAATACTGGGAAATTTAAATTTGTTTCTGTTCCTCTACCGAATAGTTCTTTTACCAAATTAAAAAAAAACAGGGTATTTTGAGATGGAAAGAAACTGCTCTCTGTCTGCTCTGGAGGTATTGAGAGCTTCCAACTGAGTTAACCTGGAGCTGTATAATGTTATAAATGATGAGGCTGGAACCACAGCATAGCTGTCTTGAACTAGGCCCTGAACTTAAGGCTACATCAGCAGGAAATCAGCTACATCAGCAGAAATGCATCTGTAATTAGTCCTTTTCCTTGCAGTAATGCTAGGGGAGCTTGCTTCTCTTGAACCCCCTATTGCGGGAACAATCTTTGTGAGGGTTGGAAGGTGTAGCGGAAGCAAAGGGTAGATCTGCTATACCTGCTTTCCAGCACTGGATAAAATAAGGTGAGATAAAGTTAACTCCTCAGTCTTCTTTTACCTGTCCAGAATTCTTGCTCAGTCTCTGGCCGTGCTTGTTTGACAATCTCTCTTCTGCATCCAGATTACCATTGTCCTTTCCCGTCATGTAGTCTGTGTGTTGAGATGATTCACTCTCCGAATGGTTAACTGACAGGGTTTCCGACCCCTGATTAGCAGGAGATGATGATCTGGATGGAGATTCCAAAAATTTCTTGATGGATGGGTGGTTAAAAACCATAGGATCACATGCCTTGGTTCCCTGAAATAACACAGGTAGGGACAGTATTTGAATGCTTGCTCAGAATTAGAATTGAGTAAAATGGAAACTAACATAAGAACACAGGAAGCTGCCTTTTAGGTCTTTTATCTAGCCAGCCTTGCATTTTCTATTCCTAATGACAGTGGCTCTCTACAGTTTCAGACTGTGATCTTTCTCATCATCCACTACCTGATCCTCCTAAGAAGATATGTCAGAGGTTGAATCCAGAACCTTTGGAATAATACCTTGCCTTGAAGGAGTATATTCAACAGGAACCGGCAGAACAGAACTCACAGTGTTTATCAATGTAATCTGCAGACAGAATAATAAGGGCAGGAGCAGCAGCCTGCAGGCCTGTGAGATCTACTATCTTTTTTTAACAGAATCTGGAACTCCACCAACTGGAACCTGGTAAAAATTATGCGCATATAACATTGAAGAGTTCTGAGCCCAGGAATTTGTTTTGAGAACTAGGGCTGAACAGCACTCACAGTCCTTCCAGACAAAATCCCACACCTGGTTTCCCCAGGCTTTCTTCTTTTTAGTGGTATAATTTAAGGCAGAGTGGAGTCATTTTGTTACTGCACTTGTTGAAAAATGGAGAGGCAGAAATCCTTGGCAATATACAGCAAATTATCCAGAAATCTACCAGCAGATTCAGATGTGCCAATTGCCACCCTGGCCAAACTACAGCATTTTGCCATTCACTTTTATGACAGGAAGTAAAACAGCCCATCCAGAGAGATCACTGGAGCAGAGGCGAAGCCTGTTCTTCAGGGGTTGCACTTAGTCTCTAATACAATCTCCAATAATTTAGTAAGTCAAGTAACCAGCCAATGTAGGTCCAAAGTTACAAAGTTATGCTTAATTTATTGTGCTCAGTTCACACTATTACCACAGGAAAGGGATTTAAATTAACTGAACTCCTGTGTTTATCATTAATTGAATAACTCAAGGAGCTTTCTTTCTGGTTGCAATCCATATACACACTTACCCGGAAGCAAGTTCCTTAAAAATAGGACTTACTTTTGAGTAGACATGTATAGGATTGCACTGTCAGTGTTCCAACTTCTTTCAACTGTGATGACCTGCAAAGCTGAACTGAATGTTGACCCCAATTTTTAGATCATGGTTGTTCATGTATTTGTTTTTTTAGTCCAGACAAAAAGCACCAATTCATTCAGATGCCCCTAAAATTAACAATAACCATGTTAAAAAACAAAAGTGCCTTACCTGCTTATCAGCAACCAGCACCTATACTATATAGATCAACTACATATGAAGACTCCCACTCCTCACTCCCAAAGCTTAAAAATGTGCAACAGCCAAAACAGAGGGGGAAAAAGAGTGGGGAAGAAAAAGAAAAAAGCAGAGAGTGAGGAAGAGCAGAAGAAAAAAGAAAGCTACTTTAGGTACTTGTCTGGATCCAAACACTTATCTGAAGAGGAGCTTTTGTCCCCCAGAGGAGAACCTGGAGGAGAACACCTTCAAGAACCACCCATACTCAGAGGCTGTCATCTTAAAGTATTCGTTAATGGGTTTATGGGTTAACTGAAACCCAAAATGATTTAAGTGTCTTCAACGAACACTGAGAGACAGACTAGAAGAAATATTTCTCTCTTCACCAATTCCACTGAGACTGTGTTTCAAAACATGAATGCCAAGCATTTGAGAATAAGTCAAGGCCATCTTCATTTTTTGCCAAGTCGATTCAACCTTTCTGTGTTGCCATGCTCTGCTGCGGTAGTGTTTACCTCTCCAACTTTAAGGAGGGCAGCGGAAGCATAGTAGTTTGCAACGATGCAGGCACGCAATTTATCCATCATTCTTCTTGCCTCAATCAGGCGCTATATAAAGGGGAAAGAAAACTCCTGTTATAAAGTATTGTGAATGCAAAACACCCACTTCTTCCCACCTCAATAAACTGTAAGCATGAGAACTACATACCTGATCTATTACTTCAATCTCATGTTCTTTATTCTTCATTTCTACTGAAAATTGCTCTTTGATAATTGCTTCAATCTTCAGTACTGCAGCATCTCGAGCTATAAAAAAGACCCCACAAAAATGAGAAAGATTCATATGTGCAAGGAAATTAAGCACATTTCTAACATTAATATCCCAATTTGTGATGGCCACCAACTTGGACAGTTTTAAAAGAAGATTGGACAAATTCTTGGAGGACAACTCTGTTAATGGCTATTAGTTCTGATGGCTATATGCTACCTGCAGTATCAAAGGTAGTATTCCTGGGGACATTGGTCCCTAGAGAACGTGACGGGAGGCTGCTGCATCCAACTCCTACTTGGGAGTTTTCATGAGAAGCTGTGTGAACAGAATGCTGGGCTTGGTCTGATTCAGCATGGCTCTTCTTATACTCTCATAATGTACAAATAGGTATTAAGGGATACAAGGCTCATGTATGAACCACAAGATAATAGATGATTTGATAATAAAGACTGCTGAAAAGGAACCTGGGACTTCCACAGGCTCAACAGTCAACCACGCAATCCATTTCAAGAGCCTACTTAGCTATAAAATTATGGACCAAGCTCCGAGGACAAATATGTAGCTTGGCTTTTGAGTGTTTCTGTGACAAATAGCATCTCTGTATGTAATCAGGATCATGGTTGTGGTACAGTTTTTTAACCTTCCCTCCCTTCCCTTCCCTAGTCCTAAATGAAACGCCCTGTTCCCCAAATCTGCTATTGGAAGGGAAGCCATAGTATTTTTGTTTCAGTACAAGTGTAGTCTGGATAGAGTAATTTTCATTTTTAGAAAATGAAATGGAGAGTGGTATCCTTTGAACTATCAACCAAGCTTTTCAATTTTATTTGAATATATGCTGAAACTAATTTTAGAGACTTTCTTCCTTCCCCTATTAAAGCGAATCTCTACCTGATTGTTCAGCTGCTTTATGGCGCTTATTTGTAGGTGCAACGGAGATCTCCTCATAGTCTGGGTCCATCTCTTCTAGAGTCCTCTTGATTCCCGACATATCTGGCTTTTTCACTTCAGGTAAGAGGAAACAACACCACACCAAACAATACATTCAGACTCTCAGGCCACATTAAAAGGAAGCCAAATTGGAATAAAAGAAGCATTTTCCCTAATGCTACTGAGATCTGTGATGATGTGGGCAATTTGCTCCTCTCCAGATGATGTTGAGCTTGAGCTTTTGTTAAAGCTTACCATTGGCCATGCTGGTTTGGCTGACAGAGACGGGATCCGGCAACAGCTGGAGGGTCACAGGTTGCCCAGCCCTGATCTATGAAGTAGTTCAGCTCATTCAAACCAGATTCTGAATTGAACTGCTTTGTAGCAATCAACAAAGCCTTTAAAAAAAGAAAAACACTCTGGGCATGAGGGAGAGAAAGCGCATTGTCATTCATTATGCACCACAAAACCATCATAAGCAACAGTCACACAAAACCCAACCACAGATCAGCTGATGCAGCAACAATTGTGTTTCTATGGGGACAATACTATTGACTGAACCCTCAGTGATTCAAGGCACCTGCCTCCTTGTCCCTCTGCCTTGCAGATTTTACAAGAAGGCCCTTTTAGCCTGTCTAACAAGGACACTCCAGAGCAACATGCAAGGAGACTAGAGGCTAACTCCCCCCATTCCCTCCCCTCCCCCCCCAAATGCCCCCTTTCTTCTTCCTCCAAGTTTGTTTTCCTGACCTGAGAGAGCAGCTAGTGTTGCTCTTGCTGCACAGGCTATGAGGGACCAGGGAAGGAGGATCAGGTCTCCAATTCTCTTTTCCAAGGTTAGAGCACAGTCTCTCTCCTTGAAAGTGGGAACTGAAATAACTGCTCTCTCGGTGGCTTTTTTCCAGGGCACTGCTTGAAGAGCCAAACAATCCTTGAAACCTATCTGATCAGAGACAATGATAACGAGATAAAAAAGTTAAACTAAATCAGTCTGCTACAGGCAATGCTAGCTCTACTCTATAGCTTCCAAGTCTCCAAAAAGTCATCTGTATGCAGCCTGAAGTTTAACCGTGGGCTTGTGGATGTGTGCATGCACGCACACAGGTCTTCAATTCTGCAATTTTTCAGTCTCATTAAGAATAACCTTCCATTTCCTGCCCATTTTGGCCAGCAAACTACATGCACATGTGAAAAACATATATGCCACTGTCAATATATCACACACGGCAAGACAATGGAAGGGTCTTATAGATAAACAAAAATTCTATACTATATTTTACCTCAGACGTGCCAGAGATGAAGAATCTGATTTCCCTCTAATGCTTCAGCACCTCAATTGCGACTTCTCAGTTTCTTCAGTTTGGTCAGTTACCCTTCTTAAATAAAAACACTGACAGTGAAAACAGTATTCTCTCTCAAATTCAGTTTTTCAGCATGTTGCATTTCATAAGACATAATTATATTTTAATTTCAAATTTCACATCTCATGTTCTTTGCAACCTCAGAGCCACCAAAAACATTAAGATATTAACCATTAACTCCTTAAGGTGGGATGTGCAAACTGCTGCCATAATACATTGTTAGGAAATACAGAGTTTCTGCGGCCTATTATGACGGGGCTACATACATATAGGCATATATACTCAAAATCAGACCATGCTAAGATAGGAAAAAACACCTGTAACTTTTCCAGGGAGCTTTTTTCCATTAAACATGTGCAGGCTTGTGGCCTTAAAGTGGCTAGTTGGAAAAGTAGCTGCTGTAGTCCCTGTCCTCACTTAAAGTCATCTTCAGGGTCATCAGGTGCCAACTTTTTGAGGGGACTCCTCAACAGACCCAACTGCAGGAAAGTGTGCATCAAGATACAGCATTCTTTCTAACAAAAACTTATCATCTAACAAAAACCATCATATCACATACTAATATTCTCATAACTCAGTGAGAGGTGGCCTTTTGGACAAACCTTCTCAGACACAATGCTCCAAGCATGTATGCACAGGAGGAAAACTCCCACTGTGAGTTTTATTTCTGAGCAAGCATAACATAAGGCTGTCCAGTTACACTCCTAACCATCCATCATTATGCAGACCTGGCCAAGCATGTTTAAGGCAGCTGAAATCATTGGGATCAGCCTGGTGTAACTCTATATAGAGCTGAGCTGCACGTGGACTCCAAAGTACCACTGCAATCCATGTTTCCAAATAAACAGAGTTAGGATCGGTCCTCAAGCCTGGGGATTTAAATGAGCTCACTTGAAATTAAGCTACCCGAAAGCGGATCCATAGTCTTCCTCCCAAGTAAACACGATTGGTTAGGATCTGACTATAAGAGAGGCATTAGTGAGACCTTTCGCTCCCTTTGGGTTTCCGAATCCGGGCAAAGTTCCACAGTAAGCAAACTTGCAAGGCAACCCTCAAGCCTCGAGCCAGCCCTCTTGCCAGGGAGCCCAGCCTTCCGCCAGAGTCGAGAGCGCGCCAGAGGGGGCGCTCGCCCCCCGTGCACGCCCGCCCTTCCCCCTCTCCGCCCGGGAGACCGAAAAGCAGAGCTCCGGCTCCAGCCGCATTACTCACCGGCTTGCTCCAGGCACCCCGGAAGGCCCGCGCTGGCGCTCTCTCAGCATCAGCCAACCCAAACCTCAGCGAGGCCGCCGCCTGCAGCGCGCAGCCGCCATCAGCGCCGTCCTGTGTCGGGGCGTCGGAGAGGCGCGGCTGCGCAGGCGGAGAGCGGGGAAGGGGCGGGCATTGGGCAAAGGCGAGAGCTGGAGGGGGCGCTGGCTTGGCCCGGCCTGGCATTTTCGTGGTGGCTACTTAAAGAAGCTCGATACGCTGGACGGAGGGGACATACCAGCCTCGCTTGCAAATTATTTACGCGCTTTTTGTTCTCATAGGCGTATGTGCGTCTTATTGTTTTTGTGGCTGTTAGGTATGCAGTGTTGTGCAAGTTTACACTGAAAACCTTCCTAGGATTGCGCACAAGAGCCATTAGGTATCCTTTCTTGTATATCTCTTCCTTTCTCAGTAATTGGTTGGAGAGCTAAGGCGCTGATTCTTTTTAGCGGTCTTTCCATTGTTTAAGGAAACCTTTTGCTTAGGCGAGCAGACTCAATAAGGTGGTCAGAATCTTCCAGAGAACCCTTATTCAGGCAGTCTCCGCGACCAAGCTCTCGCTGGGCTTAGTTTGGTTTGGTTTGGTTTGGTTTTAGCCAATCATGCAACCTGCGAAGCTCGTTCTAGCCTTGCTAGACCTTATGCCCCAGCTATTTTAGTGTATTCTTACCCTCTCATGTGAGCCTTCGGTATAATCAGGGCAGGGGAATTTGCTTAAGCCCCTCTTTCCAAACTTAAACTCTAACCTGTTCTGTTCAGTCAAAGCCTAATGCAACCGAAGACATCCTCATCCATGCAACCCAATTCCTTGAAGAAGTCTTGTCTTTGCCACACGTGCCACCTAGACATCGTCATATCTGTGCCAAATCCTTAATCTGCTTTGTAGTGAAGCAGATGAACATTGCTTCGGAAGTTACCTTTGTTCAGTGTGGAAGGCTCACTGTGTTCCATTTTTACACTCAGAATAGAGCAATAAGATTGCAGGCACCCAGGCTTGTTCAAAACCAAGTAGATGGACTATTTGAGCATGTTAAAAAGTGGGTGAACAGTTGAAAAAGTTCATCATCGTTTTGTCAGGGAGTGTGCAAGGTGGGCATGGAGAGGAAAATTACCTCATGACCCTACAGCCTGAAGACTGCCATCATGTTTTGGTTCATATTTCATAGGAGGATAACGGAGGAAAGCTGTCTTTGTCTGGACATACACACACACACACACACACACATCTGTCAGGCACAGTAAAAGCCTCCTGGAGCAGCTGACATTGCCTTCCAAGATAGCCCTCTTGTGCTTTTTGTTGCAGTACAACATCTGCTTTGGTTAAAAAGCACAGAAACGTTGCCAAGGGAGGGGTGGATAAAAAAGGAGGCCCTTCCTATATATTTATTTCTATATTTATAACTTGGATTCCTGCAGTTCAGCAGCAGACAATGTTTCCCAGGCAGTTAGCAATGAAAGAAACAATGCCAGACATCCTGTCAAAAATCACAATGAAGACTATAGCATAATTTTTAAAAAATCATTACAAAGAAAAAAATATGGGTGAAATAATACAAAAGATTCTCACAGTGGCTTGAGAATATTTAATCCCACCACATTAAAATTGTCATCTTTAACAAATCCTTTAAGCCAACTGGCTTTGCTGTGCGACCATCCCAGCCAGTGCCATTTGCCGCACTCTTGTCATACCAGCCCTTTGCGGTGCTTTTAAAAGCTGTTTGTAATGCTATTTCTAGCTTAGTTGCTCAAGCAGATACAGTATCAAGTCTGGCACAACAAATCCTTGTTGTCCTCAAAAATAACTCTGCTGTCCTTGTCTTGACAAGAAGCCCTTGGGGCAAATGGGGCAAACACTATGGAAATCTTCATGTAAATGAAGGTTGGTCAGAAAGAAAATCTGGAGCTACTGTTTGATTTTTGAGTGATTTGCAGTAGAGTCCCGAGGATTACTGTTTCCCATTGCTTGTACCTTTCAATATTACACTTTCAAAACTGGTAAAGGGTCAGTTAAACAGTAAGCAAAGGAATCATATGCTGGAGGAGAAATTAACTTGCAAGGACTATTTTAAAGGATGTTTGACCCGGAATCCTGACCTTTATAATCTAAAATCCCATTGTTCAAAGTGTGCATGTTTAGATAAAAATCAGTGAGGAATCGTCATTTTTCTAACCCTATGTTGGAATTCACCCTAACACTAATATGGGGATGAGATGTAGCTGCCGCAAAAGGCATTTCCCTTCCTAGAGATTTTTCTGCACAGCTCATCCCTTCTGCCCTTCCTGGAACCTGTGCAGGTATTGCCACCATCATGGGAAGCTTGAATTTTCTAACCCTAACCCTAAGCTGAGCATTTTCCCCAACACTAATAGTAGGGTGAAAGAGACCTGCTTGAATAGTTGTTTTCAAAATGTTCCCCTCCTGGAGATTTTTCTGCCCAGCTCATCCTTTCTGCCCTTCCTGAACACTTTCCAGTTGTTTATGCCATCATGGGAAGCGTCATTGTTGTAATCCTAACCCTAAGCTGGGCATTTCTTTTAACCATAATAGCAGGGTGAAAGACACCTGCCGGAATAGGTGTTTTCAAAATGTCCCCTTGGAGATTTTTCTGCCCAACTTCTCCTTTCTGGCCTTCCTGAATACCTTGTAGGCCCTTAAACCATCATGTGAATGGTTGTTTTCCTAACCCTAACTCTAAGCTGGGCATTGGCTCTAACCCTAATTGCTGGTGGAAATAGACCTGCCACAGTAGGCATTTTTTTAAAATCCCCTTCCTGGAGATTTTTCTGCACAGCTCATCCCTTCTGCCCTTCCTGGACACTGTGCAGGCGTTTACATCATCATGGGAAGTGTCATTTTTCTAATTATAACCCTCAGCTGGGCATTACCCCCTACCCTATGAACTGGCTGTAGTAGACCTGCCAGAATAGATATTTTCAAAATGTCCCCTTCCTGGTGATACTTCTGCTGAGCTCATCTTTTCGGAACTTGCTGAACACCCTGCAGGTATTTGGGCGATCATGGGAACTGGTGTTTTTCGAACCCAAACCCTAAGCTGGGCAGTAGGCCAAACCCTAATATGGGGTTAAAAAATACTTGCCAAAAATGGGATTTCTATAATATTCCTTCCCTGCAGATTTTTCAGCATAGCCCATTCTTTCTGCCATTGCTGAACACCCCACAGGTCTTTACACCATCATGGGAAGCACTATTTTTGTAACCCTGGCCCTAAGCCAAATGGACATTCACCATAACCGTAATAGCAAGCTGAAATATACCTGCAGCAATATGCATTTCCAAAATGTCCTCTTCCTGGAGAATTTTCTGCACTGGTCATTTTTTCTGCCCTTCCTTTTTGGGTGCAGCGCCAAAGGAAGAGGGCAAGTTTCTGGGATTAGCTTACCTGCTCTCCCTGTCCATACATAAATCCTCCTTGAGGGCATTGAAGCATTGTGAATGGTAGCCAGTGATGTGAGAAATGTTCTAGGTTCAATATTATGATGAAATTTAATCTCATTTTTTGTGTATCTGTTCCATTTGTTGACAGTTCCTGGCCATGAAGAACATCTTGTCAACTGAAATACAGTTCAAGACCTTGAAGTGGGAAACCCCCATCTGTCTAATTTAGTTCTTTGATAGGGGACAGATTTGCTAACCTAGTGGGGTGGTGGTATTTATTTAAAGTATTTCTATCCCATCTATAGCAGAATAGATCTGAAGATGGTTCACTGCAGTAACAGGACAATTAAAATACAAAACATGTAAAATTCCATCTTAAAATATCATCAAACTTCAGTCTTTGAAGCTGTGACCTTTGACTTGGTTACAAATGGACTCAGTACTGCACACTAACGTTTCCCTCCTGTACAACTTACCTTGGAATAAGTCCTAATAAATTCAGTGTAGCTTAGATATGAGCAGACATGAGTAGCGTAGACATGTCGGAATGGACTGATACGACCCAATTCATCAGGATCCTTTCCTGCATGGATTTCATTAATTTCAGAGATGTTTGTGACAGTCGTACTCCAAGTGGATTGAACTCCTCACAAGGACAAACAATACAGCCAAAGAATGGTCTGTGGGACATAATCTTATTCAGTCTATAATTAATTCTAATATTTATAGGAATGTACTGCAGAGAGTTCAGATTTTCTAAGTCAAACATTTATGGAGAAATACACTGAATTCAGATAGCTTGGACTTTGGTCAAGCTATGTAATTTTGAATACTGGAGATTTTAGTACAGATAGATGCGATTGTGTGTGAACTTAGTAGCAAATATATAGAATTTAGTTCAGAATTGAATTATAGCAGCCAAAGATGCCCTTGTAGTGAATTCCCGTAGTTGGCCTGGTTGGAAACAGAATACTGCATCATGATCATCACCATCAGATTGCATTTATACCTTACCTTTCTTCCTCTAACAAGGACCCCAAGGAGGCTTACAATGTTCTCCCCCTCTCCATCTTAACTGATACTGTGAGGTGAGTTATGCTGTGAGGCAGTGATGGGCCAAAGTCACCCAATGGACATCATGGCTAAATGGGGATTGGAACCTAGATCCTGAGTCTCAGTATAGCACTCTTAACCACCTTGTCTTTCTTGATCCAACTGTTCTGACAACACTCAGGCTATGTTTGCTATGGGAAAACTGCACCTTCTCAACAGAAGAAAACTGGGTATACCTAAAACACTATCTTCCCTTTGCACAAATGGAACATTCAGCAGTAAAAAAATACCTTGTTTAAGTCCATATGGTCATATACCTCTCTTGCCTTTACTCTATCGATGTTTTCCAAACTGCAACAACCCAAATTCCCAAGGAATTCCCAAATTCCCAACCCAAAAAAGTGCAAACCAAATTATGCAAATTAGCAATATTTATTCTGAATTTGGATTTTTTTGGTAGAGGTTACACTAGGAGTATGTGTTTTCAAACATACAGGCTCTATTCTTTGGATTAATTATACAAAATAAACTACAATCACATGCTTTTCACGCTCACTTAAATACTGCTACATACCATACACAGTAGCTTTAAATGTATCAATTACAAATTATCATCTTTATTATTATAAACTGATCACCAAAACAAACAACATATATTTATAAATACATACATGTATTAAAATACCGAGTGATATATGAGTCCTAAAGAAAGGCAAGTTAACACATTAACATAATTCTGAAAATAGTCTTAAATAGGGCAAAATGTTCCTAAAGTACATTAAGAGCAATATTATTATTAAGCTATTAGAATTACTGTCCCTAGTTCAAATCTTTCTGACATGTAAATGGAAGATCTCATCTGGTGACGTTATATGTGATTAGCTGCCTTTTATCTGATAATATTGACAAGGATTCAGAAAACCCTTTTATTGGAGAAGGAATGTTGGCCTGACTATATGAGAAATTCTTACTGTTAAGACAAGCACATCAGTTATAAGGACATGTCTTATATTAGGATATGATTTAAAATGGTGCTAACTCCTTGAATGCCATTTAAGCTGCTAAACCTGGTATGCAATCTTACAAAAGTGATCTCTCAGGGTGCTTAAAAGTGACAAGGTACATGCCATTGCACAAAATAAACTGCTTTCTTTCTAAGGACTTTCTAAGGACACCTCAAATTTTGGGTACAATCTTTCAAAGCTAAGTTGCAGTATAAGCAAAATTATTACTAGGCTTACACTGTAAGAAAAGGGAAGCATAGACAGAAACCTGGCTTCTTTAAAAGCAGAATCCACAATCTTTTTCATTTGATCCTTTGTTTCATTCCACTATTTAAGTTGCTAATTATACATATCTGCTTCTTTCTTTAAAGTTCTTTCCTGAAACTGTTACTGTTAATTTCCAATAATGAACAAGCATCAGCAATTGGATCCAGCATAACTCAGTAATTGAATATAAATATATGTCTGGTTTTTTTTTTTAAACAACAGTGGATATTATCAGAGGTAATCAAATGCAATTAGGTATAAAGGTAGGGGACAGGTAAAGTGCAGATAAATGTTTTTCTTTGCTTTATGAGTCTGTTAAGTCAGTTTTGAAATCCCTTCCAAATGAAACAGTTTTCTTAATATCAGTCCAAGAAGTGTTGATGCATAGCTAAGGTATCTTTTGTGAAATATTTGGTTTTACTGTAAGTTGAGTAACTGTTTCGTCACAATGAGAAATAGCTACAATGAAATGTATTTTGTCCAGTATTTAAATGGTTCATTTTAACAAATCCACTAGATGACTAATTCAGTTGTAACTACATTCAATAAACAAACTTGTGAAAGATTGGCAGACTATACACAAAAATAATTAGTATCTCAATTTCTGTATTTACTGTCAAAATCAAATGTTTCTGAGTTGATAAAAACAGCTAAACTCTGTAAAAATAGTAACAAATATAACTGGGATGCTGCTTCACAGCTATAAAAACCTGAGTGTATGTACACTACAGGCACAATTTTATACATACGTAATTCAGAAGTAAATGTAGCATGAATATATGTACATTATTAAAAATGCATAGTTTCATTAAATTACAGTTAGTTGCTATTTTTCTTACTAAGGGATGTACTAATTATTTGCTGCATCAATGAGAAAGCAATGTGTATATTCAACTTTAACTGACAATGGTTCATAGTCACAGGAACTTTGCCAAATGAAACTAGGGAGAACAACCATTCTTAGGATAGTCTTGAAATACATTACCTAATTATATTAGTTCCCTTGGTATCACTGGATGCACATTTTATATCAACTAGAAAATGAAGTATGTGATTCCTGAGATTACTTTATCATAGAAATTTCATTTTTCTTTTGCCATATTTTCCAACAATCTTAGCATTTTACTTCTCCATATCACAAATCAAAATCCCACTGAAATTGTTGAGGAAAAAAGAGCCAAATGAAGTGCATGATCATTTGAATTCCCTGATTTGAATTCCAAAAAGGAACATGTTATAACACTAGACAGTGGAGGCCTTGCTTTGTGTCCACAACTGGATCACATTCTGAAAGTTAAGGCACAAGCAGAATATGGATCAAGGCTGCAGCTAATATATTAAGTCTGTAATTCCGTATGGGAAACCCCATTTTATTTTTTGTGACTAAATTTTGAACAAACATGCATAGTACCAGGCTGCATGAAGGCTAACCTATTTGGCATCAATGAATTGAAGGCCAGAAGCTGGAGCCAGAAAATGAACATAGCAGAAAAAAGACCTAGCGCAATAGAACAAAGCAGAATGAACACAAATGAGTGCAAACTAAGTATTTGTAGCAACTGTTGAAGAATGCAAATTACTGAAGGTTGAGCAGCTGTTTTTTCTCCTTTGAGTGTTTGTCCATGTGGATTTTATCTAATTGGACTCTATGAGAGTGAGCATGTAAAGCAATGTAGATAGAATAACCTAGATATAAGGTGATTAAAGCAGGTTAATCTACAGATTACTTATTATTCTGGTGTCGTATGCCAACTGGATACACAGATGCCTGATACATTTAAGTATCATTTCCAAATAGCTGATATTATGATTCATTGACAACTATGAACAGGAATTGCTTCTTGTTAAGCAGTTTCATGGAAATGTCCCAGACGGGATGTTGCCCAGAAAAAGAATTTAAGGAAGCAGGAAGCTCACTGGAAGCTCATTGATGGCACCAAAACAAAGACCATGAAAAAGGGTTGCTCACTGGTTACTACTATTACATTGTGTCTTATGTGTCTCAGCAATGCCAATTCTATTTTATGAAGAAAATGCCAAGAGTTTGGCATGCAGAACATTTTGGAGGGCATTCATTCAGGGGGGTCACCTTTAGTTGGAAATAACTTGACTGCATATGACAATAATTAATATTTTTCTTATTCTTAGAGAAAAAAGATTGATTGCAAAAATAAAGCCTTTAGTTATGAGATTGAATTCTTCATTCATACAGCTAGTATCAAATATTTTCTATCTAAAATATTCACAATCCTATGGGATTGTTGCCTGCTGTACAGAAATCTCAAAGACGTTGAGGTATCCAATTTCCTGCTGATGGCAGGGTAGAAACTGTCATAATGAAGATGCTTTTTGCCTCTGTCCTCCACATTTTTTCCTTCTAGATGGGCCTCTAAGCTGGGTGTGGGATGGAAAGGCCGTAAGATACAAGGGATCCTGGTTTCTCTTAGACTTCCCTCTGTCTCCCCTGCCCACAGGACCCCCCCCCCAGGTCATCTAAGGTTGCTTTTCTGATCTCAGAAAGCAGGTGCTACAGTTTTTATGCAGCAGCTGAGAACAGATTAGAATGCAAAATCTCCCTGCCCTGCAAAGTCACAGTGGCAGCTTCAATTATTTTATATTGCCTGGGACAAAAGAATTGCTCTGCCATTTTCTGAACTAGCACAACTGCCCCCAATAACAGAAGCATAATGTTAATCCATGTGCTTGCATCTGTCTTGAGAATGTGAAGGTTCAAATACAATTACATCAATTCATGAAGAAGCACTCAATGGATCATTAGATTTGAGCCATTTTTTAAAAAAAACACAAGACCAAAAATTTTGTAAATGACAACTTAACATATCTGTTAAATATGAGATACCAAGGCTTTAAAATTTAATACCACTTACTGCATAATTAATAGGAATCTCCCAGATTATATAATTGTGAAGACCACTGTTTCAAGTCAATGCTTGACAATCTGTTTGACATAAAGTGAGATGTCAATTTATGGGAAAATAAACCTTGCAATTTTAGATTGGCTGAGCATTGTTGGATGTAAAAATGGAGGTGAAGAAATAATTAGCATTGCTTTTCTACATAAATATTGAGAGGGGGTATGGGTTGGCTTACACAAGCATCATAATCATTGTCCCATGAAGAATCATATTAGTCAGAGCAACCTAATTGTTAGATTTTTGTAAATAAAATGCAAATACAAAGCTTGCCATATATTAGAGTTAATAACCCGTCAAAGTAAGGCTCAGGAAACAAATATAGAAATATAACATAAAACTATGTTACTATGGTATTATTATTTTACTATTATTTAATGGACAAGTTGGTATAACCTATTTTCCTGTCATCATTTGCAATAAATGCTTATTATATTGTGTTCATCACAGGCAGCTGCCCAGTATATGGCATAACTAACTGAAGGGCATGGGCAATTCCAGTGACAAATGCATGCATATTTATGAATTCTGTGACACTGAAGACATGTAAAAGTATACCAGGTTTACTCATCCTCTGTGCTATAGTAAATTGGTATTTTGATGGATTCTTTCCCCTGTAGAGTATGCCATTCACCATTTTGAATATTCAAGCAGCAGCATATTGGCAGTTTGTTATGTGGTGTGGAACGGGTGTCATGGGTTCTTCTGAGGGGGCAAGCCACCCTCAAATAATCTGCAGTATGTTTTAGGGTTATTTGAGGGTTGTCTGGTGTAGCTATGGGTGCCTCCCACAATGCAACAGCATTTGCCACTAAAGTAAGCCAGGTTTGGGCTGGCATGAATTGAGACATTGAGTGATTCATACCATACTACCTGCCCAAGTTTCTGGAATAGCCACATAGCAACATTTTCTTAATGTACTAGATAAAGACAAACTGGTATTAAACAGCTGCTTCTTTAATGGTTGACATGAATTAAAAAATGTTTTCTAGATTTATTAGAGATCAGTCATCTGAGCTCACTACATAACAATACTAGGCCTATCTACATTCTGTATCAGGAAGGAGAGAGATTGGAGAAAAATATCATGGGTTATACAAAAAAATGTGTAGTGGACAATTCTAATTTGATGCCTGTTGCACTTATACACTTCAAATGGAAAAAATTACTGGTTAAACAGGAATTCTGAACACAGAAGAACGCGAAATAAGTTTAGCTGAGCAATTCTACCAACCATGCGTGGAAGATCCATCTCATTGAAAGCTCTGCTTGACTTGCTGCTCTTCTCCCATCCTGCTGGCACATCTTCCTCCTTTAATGCTTGGAAAAATGATCTGAACTAGTTCTTTCCCATTGCACACATTTTCCCCAAATCTGAGGCATCTTTGGAAATGGGAGTTCTTTGGATCCACAGGATCCAAATTTCTCTCCTGACCCATTCACTTTTTGCCTCTATACATAGAACACCACACTTGGAAAGGCAGGAAGATTGCTTATTTTCATGGGGGCTGGAAGCATGGTCTTGCCCTGGAAGGATACACCTCTGTTTCTTTGTCCTCAAAAGGAGAATTTGAATCTATCCTATGCCCCTTGGGTTGCTCCCAAGGACTACAAAATTGCAACCTTAAGATTCAGTTTAGAATTAAGATTCAAAAAAACCCTATGGCTATAGCTGAACAATGCAGATTTCCTATTCTCATATGTTGCTTGTTTTTTAAACAGGACTTTTTCATGAAAGGTCTATCATACTAAGGAAGGACAATACCATATTTATAGTTGCTTAGAGATTCAAAGAGTGTTTTTTCACATAGTTCGTCGGCCATTCTATAAACAGGCAAGTTAATGAAACAAAGTGAAAAAAGCCTCTTTAGCAAGACCAGCAGTAGCTTTTCTGAAACCATTAATAAGTCATGGATATGAAGTGAAACTTCTATACAGCTTAAGTAGTTAACACTACTTACCAAAAAGATACAAAAGTAAGCAAGATAATGCTTAGTATAAAACAGGCATGAATATCTGCAAATGCATTCATTGCTTTACAACAAAAATTCAAGGCTTTGCATACAGATAATCCAGTAGGTGAGCATGGTAACATTAATATAAACTGTTACTGTTTCAAACTTGAACACGTCAGAGGTCACAGGATTATAATTACTGGAAATATTTATCAGTTGAATTTGAACACTTTTTTTAATATTGGAAAGCACAACGGTGTTTCTTTCCTTTTGGAAAGGCAGATTTCCTTTGCTTATTTTTCACATACTGGTTGTCCTATGCCACTGATTTCTTATTTGAATGCTCTCTCTTTTTCAAAGTTTAAAGGACTTTTCATTGTATCGGTGAATAGTCACACAGCCATGGTATGAAACCGGTCTGGGCATGGCTGCTACTCCTGTGATGATGCTGGTTGCAGGGTCATAGCAAAGAATGGTATCTGTGGCTTCTCCGTTTTCTCGCCGTCCACCAAGGATATAAATTTTGCCGTTACAGACGGACATGCCACAGTTCTCCTGTTCATCAAATATAATTTAGAAATGTGTGATAAATAATTAGAATACAGTGTGCTAATTGTCACTGATAGAAAAAAGTTTATTTCTGACACTTTTGAAAGTGATATTCCAGCCTACAATACCATCTGCTTGTAAATCTAATACTCCCTACTAATATACACTTTATATGCTGCACCCATAAATTGCAGACACATAAGTATGCTCCTGAGTTGTCCTAAAGTATGTGAATTCTGTATTAGGTTTTTTTTTCCTGGAAGCAAGCCATAAAGTATTAAGCTCAGTCCAGAAAAATGATTTCTATACACTCTGGAAATATCAGCAGGATAGTAATTTTGTAATTTGTTAATTCTGAACACAGGTAGCCAGAATAATGTTCTAATCTTGCAGCTGGTAATCTGAACAATCCTATGACCCTCTCATGCTGTGTAGGTCACATGATCACTCCATAACTAAATGATTATGACAGGCAGTGAAAAACTAGGGTAAAACTAAAATGAAGCAATGTAGATTCTGCTGTGATTCCTGATATCTGCAAAGCTTCTACAGAATACCATTAGTTGCAAATACATTTGCACTCTTGCTTTACATAGAAAAATTTAAATCCCACTGTTAACATACTGCTTACTTACAAGCAATGTGTTTTGAAATTTGATAAACCTTTTGTGAAAAAAGTGGATGTTTCATGCACTACTTCGGTATAGCGGTACAATTGTCAATGCACTTCTTAAGTCTCACTTGAATCCATTTAAAATTTGAACAAAATAAAAGGAAATCAACTGAGCATGCCAGCAATCCTGGTGTTTGGCCAGTTGAAACTGTTACAGAAAGTCGTTTTCAGTAAATAAATATTTAAGGAATATAAAATTTTTTGGATGGATGACCTTTCAATTTAAAGACATATCACTTACTTCATACATATAAAATATGTATACTGCAGAAACTACATTGTTCAAATAAGAATATTTATTAGGTCTTGGTTGCTACCTGTCTGCTGAATGTATTCTGCACATGCATCCAATAATCTTCAACTGGATCATAGCAATATATTGCCTTCGTGAGTCCTCCCGCAACATAAATCAGATTGTTCAGTGATACGGCTGTTATACATCTCTTTGCAATAGGTATTGTTGCACGAAGCAGCCAAGCATTAGTATCAGGATCATAGGACTGAACCTGAAAAGAAGGAAATACATTTTAGTTTTAACAACGAATACAGAGCTGTCAATTAAACTTTCTTATACCAATTCAGCCTACTGTACTTATTTAATGTGTGCATTTAATCAACTCTAGCTTCAATATGAATATGTTATATCTGCCAGATTTCTTCCCTTCTAAGCTTGGAGGAAAAGTTGAGAAACCTCCTTTACTATGTCCAGCACAATTTTTCAAGCCAGGGATCTGCAAAAGTTTATTGCTAGTTCCCAAATCAAACTTGGTGATGATATGTTTTTATGTCTGACTACAAAATGGTACCACTGGTAGACAATGTAATGCTTTCTGCAGACTTGGTGGATTCCCTAGATATGCAGAAACGTATTATTTAAAAATTACTAGGGAAATAGAAGAACTTCCACACTGAAGAGCCTGATGCAGACTAAGTATATGCAGTGGTCTGCAAGAAACATGAAATGTTGGCTGAGTGTATTTGGACTGGAAGGGTCAGGCCAACATCAATGGTTGCCTTTGTTGGGCACCAAATCCCCCTGCAAGTTGTCCATCTTCATTACTGCGATCTGCTTGTTCTCCTACTGTTAGCTCTGGCCTAGACAATGGTGGTGATAAGAAGGTGGAGCAAGGAAATGGCAACAGTGATGAAATAGAGCATTAGACAAATAGCAGGTAGATTCACTCAGTGAGAGAACTCATTTTGTTCAAAAACACTGAAAAACTTAGAGCCAGCACTGGGATGGGGTGGGATTGGTCTACTCAAACCTCTAGTAACTATAGGATCCTAGGACTGGGGCTTAAGCTTGGGAATGGTTGCAACCTTTCCTAATTTCCAGGGGATGATCCCACTTTATGGAAATTAAATGCTCAAGTAATGGGAAGCAGCCTTGCTTGCTTTTTAGTGCTATAAAGCATAGCAAGAGAATATCAAGGTGGGTGGGAAGGGGGTAAAATGACTTAGTATTTTTCTTTTTTCCTTCAGAAATCTCGCCACCTGATCCCTGAATGCACCGCAACATTTTTGTTTCAGGCTGAATGGAGCACTGAACAGGACCCTTCTAGCTAGGGTCTGAGGATACCCTGTAATATTAAATTTCTGGTCCATATTTATATGTAACTATTACTGATTTTCAAACATGCAGGAAATAAAGTTAATCCAATTACCTACCTTATCCGAGCATGTGTTATCATCGGGACCTCCCCCAATCACAAACAGTTTGCCCACACAGCTGGTAACTGCTGGAGAACTCACTGCTTCTTTAAGAGAAGCCACTTCTGTCCATCGATTGGAAAATGAATCATAACACTCTACACTGCTCAGCCGACTTTGCCCATCATACCCTCCAACCACATATACCTTTAGAAAGCAGAAAAAATGTTATCAGAACATGCTTATTTTATTTATTTATTTATTTATTAAAACATTTTTATGCCGCCCCATTTGCCGAAGCTTATGCCCTAGTTATTTTAGCAAACGTAAGAGGGCAGTTAATCAAAGCCTCAGTAATCTTCAGTTTTAAATTGTTGGGTTGTGAAAGTGACATATGTAAAAGAGAGTGAGAATTAAGACATTTAAGAATTCACATGCACTGAAAGAATGGAAATCAGAAGTTCATACGCCTTCCGTAACTTTGAAGCTGTGTACACACTAAAGATGATGTACAGACTCACTGACTGCAACTAGTGCTCCATGTGTACTCTAGAGACTGCCCTCTTCCCCTCCCACTGGTGGACGGCAGTTGCTAAAGCTACATCTTCTATAATCTGCACCGGAAGCGAAACCTGCTCTAATATGTTGCTTTCCACCCGCCTGGTGGGCTGCAAAAGGAGTCACAGGATTGCCACCCAACTCTTCATCTCTCCCACACCCACAGTGGAACTTGCTACACAATAACCTGTGCAGGATAACTTGACTACACATTCCTCTCTCTACTGAGTAAAAAGGAAACTTTTAAATGCTATAACTGCACAATGAAAATTCCCAAAACCTGCACAAAACAACACAGTGACATACACACATTTTTTAAATAATACAATTGCTTGAATTTTGCTTCCTACCTATTTTTGTCAGTAAAATCTGACCCAAAACTCCCTCTGCTATTTTCCGAAATATAAATGACCTGTTCATCTTATTTATTTATTTATTTATTTGGATTTTTTTTGTATGCCGTCCCATTCGCATAAGCCTCGGGACGGCTTCCAACATCATAAATACATATATAAATACATACATATAAAATATAGATACATCCTGACTCAATATTTAAAACCAATAAATAAAATCAACAATTATTAAAATATCGTTTAAATAAAAAGGTCTTGGCCAGGCGCCAAAAAACAAATAATGACAGCGCCAGGCAAACCTCTCTGGGGAGCGCATTCCATAAGTGGGGTGCTACCACAGAGAAAGCCCTCCTCCGGGTACTCACCCTCCTAATATCTTTCACGGAGAGTTCCCGGAGAAGGGCCTCTGCTGCCGATCTCAAGGGATGGGAGGGCAAATATGGACGCAGGCGTTCTTTTAGGTATCCAGGTCCCAAGCCATTATTAGGGAGACTCCTTATATTAAATATCATATTGATATATGACTTGTAAGGAACAGATCTCTTTTGTAATGGTATAACTAAATTCCAATCTGCCTCAATTAAAGAATAGTAGAAGGGCTCTAAAAATAACAGGCAGATCTCAGCAATCACTTTAGTTTAACCAAGAAACAAAATCCAGGGTTGCCAAAGGCAGTTGACAGCTTTAACATTCCCCCATATAAGGAATGTTTCAGACTATATTCCTACTACTTAAGAATAGATAGCATCCATTTACTTCTATGGAAAAAATGTACTGTACTTGAGGGACAACATCCATTACATTTGTGTGTGGTCTGACTCTGACATAGAGCTGACAGGGGTGTCACGGTGCACACATTCTCAAGTCCATACCGTATACAGACTCCTTCATGCTTTAACTCATTGGCCCCAATGATGGACATTCCATGTAAATGAATGGGATAGACCCAAAATAGGCAAGATGAGATGAGTGTTGGCTACTGAAAGAGCACTGGCATTTTCATTGCTGCAGTGTCTTCATGTCAAATTCTTCCCTGTGACTCACAGAATAATTTACCCTGAGCTTATAGCAAGATATCGCTGTATTGTGCATCCCACTCTCCCATCAGCCGTAGCCAGTGATAAGAAGTTGCGTAGGGAGACACACAATATAAAGCCGTCACCACAAAGAGTAAGTGATTCTACTTGCTAAGGGAGAGAACTTGATAAGGCGATGGATCAGTCTGTATGCCACAATAAGCCACAGTGTGTTGGTTTGCTGCGCACTAAACTCACATTATTTCCAAGTGATGATCAGACACACATTGCCTAGCTATGATTTCTTTCCCCCTTAGTCCTCCTGCCTGCTTTTGGCACATATCCCTCCAGCCTTTGCAGCTTCAATATGTAAGTAGCCTTTTTACTATTGGCACATTTTGTGTACTTGGAGCTTTTTACCTTTGCTGGTCCAGAGGGAAATGTCTTTGCCCCCTCACTGCCCTGTCGGATTACTGCCTGCAAATACTTTTGTGATAAATAATAGGTATATCAAGCATGCTTTTTAAAAGCCTTTTGCTATGCTTGCTGTAGGTTTTCCTTGTGCCCGGCAGAGAAGTGGCTTTTGTTCATCTTTTAGTGGGGAGGATTTAACCTTTCCCATCCTGCTTTCATGCCAAAATTCACCCAGTGTATTTCAAGGCATTTTCTAACCCCTTTAATGCCCTTCCTGTATTGGGAGAGAATTTGGCATGAAAGCAAGAGGGGAAAACTTAAATCCTCCTTTTCCAAATCAGGGAGGCACATGCTTACCCAGAAGTAAGTTAATCATATAGGCACACATAGCTCTGCCAGGAACAGAAACCTCTTAGCTAAACAAGGGCAAAAGCTGGTGACTGTCAAATGAAGTGCCCACTTGGAGGAGGAGGGCTCTGGGGAGAGAAGGAGGCAGTCATAGCAAATACTTTTCCCAGGCAGACTTTGGCAAGCAAGATCATGAAAAGCAGTTGTATTTTTCACTGCTTTTGACACATGACTCTGTAGCCATTTTAAACAAACCACACTGAAGACACCTGGCCAGGTTCGGATGTCACAGCAAGCCACCCTCCAAAACAAATCATGGGCTCTCACAGTTGCTTACGGGTGTTTAACAAACTTATGCCAAAGCTACTGTACCAAATTTAGACAACACAAGAAGCCACTCTGAAAGATATATGGCTCACCCACCACAGTTTACCATGATGTGCAAACCCAGTTAATTGTCTTTTTCAACAACAGACCCATATTGAGTGTAATGTGTAACTATACCCAGTACAGGCTCAAAATCAGAACCAAAACTGTTCAATAGGTAACTGATCTGTAAGCAGCATGATTACCTGATTTTATTATTTCATTTCAACCATGCTTAGGAAATTAAGTAGCTTTAAAGAAAGATCTCTTACTTTACCAAGCAGAACAGCCATCTTATGACGCCATCTTCCTTTATTTAGAGAGGCAACTCTGATCCAAATATTAAGCTGAGAATTATAAATCCACACATCACGACTGTTGATTCTTCCACCTTATTTTAAAAAGACATTGGTTGTTATTAAACAAGGGTTGTGCACCATTGTGCCTAATCATGAAAAATGTCATATGGTGATGCAAGTATACATCTAAAGATGTAAAAAACCAGATATGAGTAAATACATTCAAAAACTGTTGGCCACTGTGCAGTGATATCTCCTTCTACCAAAGTTTTTTTTTTTCTGGAATACTTTATGTTCCAGAAAACAGTTCTGAATGTCTTGGATGCTGCATCCACCTGCCCAATGAAGCAAGCAACAGGGGCAGTGTGTACCTTGATGGTGGAAAGGTGAATAAGAGATACATACTTGCTAGTTCCCATAAGAGATATATATTTCCAAAACCTGACTTTAAGAAATAATAATAATAATAATAATAATAATAATAATAATCTCACATCACTAATATAAAATGTTTACCTGAAACAAGTATATCATTTCGCAAAGCACATACTGCATACTCAGACTTTGTAAATTCTGGTAATTTAGCCAGTGATTTCCACTCTCCAGTCATGGGGTCATAACATTCTGTATATGGCAAATTAAACCCTCCAACTCGTTCACAGCCTCCAACAACAACTATCACTTCAGAATAGCCTGTTGATCTACAAATAGAGAAACAATTATGTTATCTGCTAAAAAAACCAACATCAGTATCAAATGTTTCAGTTGATAGAAAAATTAAACTTGGGAGAAAACGTGAAAAACAAAATGAGTCCTCCCCCACCTCCAATTTATTGAAATAAATAGGAAAAAGTGTCAAAATAATGCATTTATTATTTCAGAAAAGATACCCACATTTGCAGAGCCTCGTCACTAGGCAGAATAATGTATTCCTAATCTGCAGGCATATATTAAAGAAAATTAAGGAAAATTAAAGAAACCCTTTCCCAGTACACGCCCATTACCTGGGCATACTGCATTTGTTGTTTCTGGAGCAACAGACTCCTGTGGTATTTTCAAGATTAACAACTCAAATAACTGAAAGGGTTTAAGTGAGCTTTGCCTTCCTCTGTACTCTGAAGTTACGTATTGCCTCACCTTGCTCTTACTTTGTCAACATGTTTTTAAAGAAAGTAATAAAGCAGACCATACTGCTTATAGATATAAACAAAACAGACTCAGAGTCTACTATGCTTGACTACTCAGCAGCTCTATTGTGTTCAGTGGAACTTACGGTCAGGTAAGACTTGCCCTTTTAGTCAGTTAACTGGTCAACTGACTAAAGGTTTCTTAACAGATGGAGGGAAACAATGCTATGGCCTCTAGCCAACTTCTTAGTGGCCACAGGATAGTTTAGCTTCCTAGAACTGAGGCCAGAGATAGTACTCTGACCTTGGCTTACAGCTAGGAACTGGAGCTCCACCACCCCCTTTCCCTGGCCCCTTGCATCTGCCATGGAAATAAATGTGGCAGCTCCTTTCTGAAGTACAGAAAGCAATCTCAGAGAAGGGAAAAGGGGTGCATGCGGAAATGAGGACACTCCAGCTTGACAGGCTGAAAAGCTTGCCTTGCAACAATGCAGTACAGGAGGACAGGGAGGTGGAGACTGCTCCTGAAGCTCCTCCCACTTTGCATTAGATGACCATAAGCCTCTAAGTCCAGGTGCATTGCCACAGGATTGCACACTTAAAATGCAAAAATCAGTAGCATGGTGAAGAATTTCTTTTGATAATCAACCAAGCCTACTCACCTCCGTGGCCTAGTTCTTGGAGACATCATTTCATTTCCAAGTACATGGTACCTTCTTGCTTCATGTAGCAGTTGATAACACTCTGGAGAGTTCTGGATCAATTGGTCCACTTCTACTGTCTGAACAAAGTAGTTAGGATGTAACAAAGGCAGCCTCACATGTGTGAGGAGCTCCTGTAGCACTGAACGTCTGAGGTCAACTGCCCGGTAAACCCAGCGCATGACTGCTTCAAAAACCAGCTCCTCTTTACTGATTACTAGTTCATCGCTGCAAATATAATCAATAAGTTCATCTTTTCCAAGCTCAAGAAATTCTTCATGCTGGGACACATCCTCAAAATTCTGCAGTGCAAAGTTTCTGCATTTCGTAAAGAGTGTTTTCAGAGAATGTGTATCAGCAAAACGCTGGATTCCTAAGCAGTTGCAAGGATCCAGTTGTTCTTCCAGGAACTTAGCACAAGCATCTCGCAAAACACTTATCTGAAAGAGGCTGGATGTCTCAAAGAGGTATTGCACATTCTCTGTTGTGATTTTTACCTTGCCGGTATACACATATTGTAAAAAACAATCCATAGCTTCTGCAAAAATTCCATTGATTTCTACCAACATCTCTCGGCTTTCTCTATGGTCATTGCAAAACATAGCTCTGAAGTAGCTACTGCAGGCTGAAAGAACAGCTCGGTGACAAGGAAATTCTTTGCCTTCCACACAGATTATTACATCTGTGAACAAACGACTGTCACGAAATTCATTGAAAATCTGGAGTATGTTTTCAGCATGGGATGATCCAGAAGAAAAATCAAAGAATTCATGGCCTGATAAGGACTTTGGGTCCATTTCAAAAACTTTTCGCTTGGTTACTGGGGATTCCTGGGCCCGACTATCCCCTCTGTTCAATCTGCGTCCCAGTATTAGCACCATTGTTACAGCAACTGTTTATAGTGTCATGGAGAAAATATTGATGTGTGTCCTCTTGTGGGTGCTAAAGATGAAAAACATTTTTAAATAAATTAGTTCAGACTGCAAATGCCTTCATTATATCATGACAGTAATTAGGTTTAGTCCTATAAACATCAGACACCAGGAAGTTGTGTATATAAAGCCAATGTAACACACAGGGAGCAAACAATTGGATTTAAGAGACAGAGGAAAAATTATGTCAAGAGAGACAAATCATGGAGCTTAACACTTAACACATTTAAACTCATTATTCATACTGGATCTTTCTATCTCAGAGTAAAAGACTGTCAAAGGGAAAGAGGTTAATACCATTTATAGACCACTACTATTGCTGAATCCATATCATTCATACAACTACTATGTAAATTTTAACTATTAGGGCTAGCATTATCTTCTGTTATTTAAATTCTAAAATTTTACTCTAAATTTTACTTACAGGAAGGGGTTAGAATGAGGCAGATGTAACCCCTACTAACAGAGAAGAACATCATTGGTGGGGACATGTCTGCCCTAGAGACCCCTGGAACACAAAGAAAGATCTGTGGGCATAGAAATACCACCACCAATATTTCTGGCAGGAGAAAATCCCAAAACAGGGCATGTTTGGGGCAGGTTGGAGGTAAATTTGGATTCCCCTGAGAGGCCTTAAGATTGTGACCATTACATGGACCTTGCATTGGATTTAACTGACTCCTCACTGAATCCAATCAGGTGTAAGTAACTGGGAGGGAAAATAGAACAGCCAACAAACTCTTAAGGAAATACCGTCCTTCTGCTTCCTACCTTGATTAGTGTGAGCCACCAGAGTTTCGGAAGCAGCAAGTTAACTTCTTACCAAAGCTACAGCTCTGGCCAAAGCTATTGCTATCATTAAAAGAGGGCTTCAAAGGTTTATGTAAAGTGTACTTACTATAAGATTTTACTAGAGAAGCTGAGGTGAATTTTATTTATTTATTTAAAATATTTCTAGGCTGCTTTTCAGAGCAAAAAACTCTTTCAAGGCAGCTTTGGTCATGTGATCAGCAATGTTTATGTACTTTCATTTAAAACTGTATAACCTGAAGGAAAATAAAGAAAGAAGAAGAATAGCTGTCATCAAAACCCAGGACATTTAGATGATTCCCACCTAAGTTGTGTGGCTAGTGTATCAGTGACCTCTAGCAGCCATCCAGGCTAGCAAGATGGATGTGGACAAAAGGAAGGATGGAAAGTCGCTTCCCACTCTGCTTGGCCTAGATTACCAAAGACCGCCTCTCTATTTACATTCACTTATTTAACATTCATTCCCGTGATTTCTGAACATATCTAACTATTATAAATGGAAATTCTCTTCTCAATTCAAAACTTTTGAAGCATAACTTGAGTATGACCAGGCCATCTGAAATGGAAACATTGTGAATATATTAGTTAGCCATGCATGTATTATTGTCTTATAACTTCAACGAACCGAATTGCCAGGTGTTTCCATCTAGAGGACATGATGAATCTTTCCCAGAACTGTAAAAACCTTACAAAGATATGAAGCTGAACTGCCATAATTCAATTTCAAACATATTTAGTTTCAATGAATACATGTTGGATTCCAGCCAGGTATCTTTAAGTTATCTCTTTGATTTAAATGGCAGTTAAACCTATTTTACTTCTACTGGATTAGATCCATATTTTTAATTAAATGTAAAAGATACCCAATTCTGTACATGTAGCAATGATTTCATATGTAATCTTAAAGAATATCAGTAAACTATAATACCAGCAATATTTACCACTTACATAACATTTTAGGATACTGTATTTCATATACACTATTTGAATACTCCTTACAAATCTGGGGGAGGTATATAGCCTATTTTGGATGAAGACCCACTCCTCCTAAAGCAGATTAGTAGCTTGGAGTTACTTCTAGATTTGGCCTCTTAGATACACAGTAGTCTTTTATAATGGTACAACAGCTGCACTTTTTCTGTCCTCATCATTTCCAGATAAAAATGATGTAATACAATTTACATGAGGGTTCCCTTGGAGACAGTTCAGAAATTCCACTGGTCCAGAGTGTGGTTACCAGTTTCAACTGAGACCAGCAAGTCAGACTGTATGAAGTCAATCCTTTACTACTTTTTGCCACTTTGTTTTCAGGCCCCATTTAAGTACTAATTTTGCTCTTCAGAACATCCTAGAATCCGACCATTTCAGAAATTTCTCCTCCTATATGAATATGACCAAGAACCTTTGCTCTATCTTCGATCCCTTCATCACTAGTGTCTTGCTGAGAGAATAGCAGAAAGTGTGCATGAGGGGAAGGGCCTTTTCTTGTGGTACTCAGAATATGGAATGGCCTTTCAAGAGAAAAACACCCATTCCTTTCATTGCCTGCTTTCGGGCAGGCTTTGAAATCTGTCAAAGTCCATTGGGTTCACATCTGTTTGGCTGCTTCTAAATATTTCTGGATCCTGCTACGACCTTTACATTATATTGGCTCTTTTATTTTAGGTCATCAATCTGTCATTTGTGTAATGAGTCTTAGGGTGCCATCCAATGGCTTCCCAACATTTTCTGGATGGGAAGGGGGAGAGCAAGCACAGGAGTATTCAGTCTCAGGTCCAAGGTCCTCTGACTACAGAGTGGGAGTTTGGATTGCAGAGCCTCTGCCATGTCCCATTTCTCCCTAGCAGCTGGCATGGGAACAACTGTGCCAGCTGAATCTCTAAGTTCAGAAATTGGCCTTGAAGAAGACTGAAGGATTATGCATGAGGACAGGGAAGGAAGCAAGGAGGCTGGAGATGACAGTTTCTGTTGCAGAAAAATGATGCTCAAGCCTCCTTTCCTCCCCTTCTGTACTGCATGTAAGCCTTCATGTTTGGAGGCTTACAAATATCAAGGGCGGACAACACAGGATCATGCCTTCAGTCAACTTGTGCTTAACAGTAGCAGCAGCAGCAGCACAGAAAGTTGCTACCATAACAATCCTCTATTGGCCCCCCTCCTTTTTCGTTCTGCATTGCCCATTTTTCCTGAGCAGCACAAAAATGAATTTAAATGAATCCATTTTAGAAATTAATAACTAAAAATTTGCAAAGTTGAAAAGATACTCCAGAGAAAGGCCTATGAGTGAGAGAAAGCATCTTGCTTAAGGCCACCTACATTTATGGTTGAGATAACATTTTATTTCCAGGCTCATAGCTCAGTCCCCTTACTGCACAACTCTGTAACCCTTCCCCCTCTTTTAGATTACTTCGTCCTGGTTGCCAACATCCCAGTTAGGTGAAACTGTATTATAGCTTGGATAGTTTCAATTCTTTTCTTGATAAATCTGAGATTAGATAAAACAGCAGAAGGAAGTTATGCTGATTTTTATTTAGCTGAGGCCTAAGTATTCCTAATTGTATTTCCTTACATTCACTTTGTGGTACATTGTATCTCCTTTCCTTCACTTTGTTCTGCACTCCTGTGCAGCCCACTAGCCCAGGGCTGAAATCTGACATTGTAGTTCCTTGCGGCAAGACCTCCTGTGTACTTATACTATGCTTTAAGCACAAGTGTCACTGTGTAAATAATACAAGAAAACAATGGCTAAATAGAGGTGCTATGACAAACATTTATTTTGTTAGGGAGTTAAATGTAAGTATTAAGGTGTAATCATAGGCATATTTAGACAGAAAAGGGCCTACAAATTCCAGCCTGCATTCCATTGTAAGCCATCTTTCTGGCTATAGGTGGACAGGACTACACCTTTAGTTAGTCTGACATTTAACTAAGGGCTGCAAAAACTGTACATTTCAAGGAACTTTCAGGTCTGCAGGCCGTTTTCATAATGGATTGTATCCATTGGTGTTCTTCCACCTTAACGCTGGATTTAGTCAAAACATTAAAGAACAAACTGCCTTCAAGGCATGAGAGCCACTTGGGGGATTTTGCAGCACCTCCAGTCCCTAAAATACACGGTAAGTATTTATACCGCCGTGTCGTGACCGAGTGTGGTAACAGGCGTTGGTTTCCTTTTTGCCACTTGGGGGCTGGAAACGGTGGACGCACGACGGCGCGACAAGCGAACCAGCGGGCGTTACTTCAGCCAAAACAGTCGCCTTCCCCTCCAACTCGCACGAGCCGTTACGCAAGCGGCCCCGGTTCGGGCCCGAGTCACGGCGCGCGCCCGCGCACAAGAGCATCCTCCAGTTCACCTTCACCCGAAGCCGTCCCGAAGGCAAGCCCCGCCCCCTCGCATTTTATGTCCAATTAGAGAAGGAAGCTTAGCAAGCGCTCTTGCTCGCACTCCGGCTGCTGTGTGACCCAATCGGCATCCACCTTTCCTACCCTCTCCTCCTGTTGTCAAGAGGAGGGGAAAGGAACAAACTATAACATGTTTGAGAAAAGGTAGAGAAACAAGGAGAACAACCAGAGCCTGGAGATAGTTTCCGCTTTTCCTTTTTTCAGCTCTCTCCCCCACACTTCTGCGTTTCCCTTTATCAAAACCTCAAAGCAGGTTTCTGTTTCTTCACAAAGGCTCGTGCGTTTTAAGGAGTATTTGTGCGACCTCACTCCCCCTCCCAATGGTCTAGTCCAGAGCGGCTACCAGTCAGCCTAGCCACTTTACCACGCACCCCGAGGGAGGAGTTTTACTAGCCGGGATTCGTGTTGATGCGGCAGAGGCGGGGGGAGGGGAGCAAGGGATGTCAGCCTGTCTCTTGGGCAGCGCTTGTCACTAAGCTACCGGAGCCCAGTAAGGTTTTCCCCCGCCCATCAAAATGTGGAGCTGTGGAAGGAAGGGAGGGAGGGAATAATACCACTCCTGCCAGACTTTTGCAAGATTAATCCAGCTCCTCCAACAGTCTCTGGCCAGCGGAGGCTTTCCGTACCGGCCCATCAAGTAGGGGCTCTAATTAGCTGAGCTGCCTAGAGTGCCGAAGAGAATCGGTTTTTCTGTTCTTTGCTGGATCTCTTTGGACTTCGAAGCACTAGTCATCCCTCCAGATAATAGGAAGTCCACTAACTCTGCATGCCCGAAACTAGTATTTAGACTGTCGCTCCCGCTTGCGCAAATCCAGTATTTACGTGTCCTTAAAGAACCGATCTAGAAAACATACTCCCAGCCCCCCCGCCCGCCACGCACATTGTTTTCCACCTCCAGATGAACTCCACTTCCTTCCTCTATTCACGAACAAGCCACTCAACAATGCTAACGGAGTTTAGGGATGTGTGTGTGTTTAATATAAACGGCGAGGATAAAGAAGGAAATTGCGCCACGAAGGCTATAATTATCTCTGCCACGACCGCAGAACAATAACCAGGCATTACATTATCAACGGATTTCTACTGAGGGTTGCGCAGAACTTATTTGAAAACAGAGCGGATAGTTAGGCAAATTTAAAACTTCACTGTAATTAATTTGACAAGAAATTCCGTGGAAAGGAAGGAGTGGAGTGGGGAGAGGTGTTACAAGAGGGCTTAGTATTACATCGGGAGCCCCCATAAAGCACTGCATTTGAACTCTTTACGATCAAAGATATTACGACTGCTTTGCACTGCTTCCTATTCATTTCAAATGGAAATAAGCCTTGCGTCGGCCACCCGCTCCCCGTTACGTGTTTTGGCCTCGGGCGACTCGGCAGCTGAGTTTAGTAAGACATTACCTGTGCGTTGTGCCGAATAGCCGAAGCCGGGCAACGATACGCCTTCTTCGCTTTCTCGCTCTCTCTTTTTGTCTGTTTCAAGTTCGAGCTCAACTCAAAACAAAGGAGACCCCGAAACATGTGACCTCCCAGAGCCAAAACACATGATGTCACTCATATGCTGGCCAATCAGACGCGGCCCTGCTGCCAAAACTCTTGGGAGATGTAGTTCACGGAGGGAAGCCGTTTGCAACGAAGCGCCGTATGTAGTTTTCCGGGTCCATTTTAGTCCGGAGTCAAACTGTCCCCCGTTCTCTCTGCCTGTGTGTGACTCGACTAACAAGCACAGCTAGGAACTCTACGAACTCAGAAGAATTTGCCCAGTTCAGTCCTTCTGAGAGAGATCATACTGAAATGGAGCACCAAAGCATCACAAATTAACCCCGTTTTGTAACCAGCATTTGAATTACATAGGATTTTATAACCATTGCTACCAATTACAAGCAAAAGTAATTTATATATCAATCCTCTTTGCCAAAGGTGTAATACACTGTTTTTGTTGCACATGCATTCTAAAGTTATTCCTAATATAGCAAGAAGAAGAAAATAGTGCTAGTGTTATATTTTAAAGGAAATCCACGAAGGAAATGATTGTACTTCCCCAAATATAATCAAAGGCTGGTCTACATAAAGTCTTGTCTCTTTCTTCCATTCATGGATTCTTCCATTCATGTGGAAAATTTCTGCCAGGTATCCTTGGAGGTAACAAGCAGGCATGGTGATTCACCAGGAAATTCTGAAAAATCACGCAGCAAGCTCGATTTATGGCCAGGGTGCGGAAAGCAGGTGTTATCACAGAAGCTTTGGGTCCGAAGACATAATAAAGATGACTCAGTCACTGAAGTCTGTATAGCAGAGAGCCCAAGCCTTTTATCTTCTGCTGCAGTTAATCAGCATTATGAGGGATGCAAAGAACATTCTAAGTTTTGCTCACTGTTATATGGGCTGATGGCTGATTCAAATCCTGATTCAAGACACATGAAAGGACTCTGTAGTCTAGCATTCTATTTCCATACTGACCAGCCACATGCCAATGGGAAGCCTTCAAGAAGGACATGAATGTGGTTATTACCCCATCCCTATTTGACTTTCCAAGCAATTGATATTGAAAAGCGTATTGCCTCTGATGCTGGAGGCAATATATAGCTGTCATGACTATTGGATATTTATGTATTAGCATTCAGATACTACCTAATTTGCTAAAAATCCATCAAGGTGGATTGCAACAATTTAAAACACTACCCTTCAAACATGGGGAAACTTTGCATCCATAACAGGTGCTAATTATGGCATATTTATTTTATAAGTCAGCATGCACATACATTAAGGGGGAAAAGTTTTGATCCTTGGGAGTTTATAAAAAGGGTATGAAAGTGCCATCCAAAAGGCACCAAGCTTAGCTCTGGTTAGCTCAGACCAGCTTATACTGCATGCTTCAATTAACTGGTGTAAATATCTATTTTAAAGTTAGGTCTATAATCAGTTCAGATATCTTGGAAATTTTATTGTTGGTCCCCACAAAAGGATGTCAAGAGAGCAGCAATATGTCTTAGTGCTAAGACAATTGCAAGTTACAACAATGTTAAATGTTCGTATGTACAGGGTTTATATAGTATACTTTGGAATGAGGTGGTTATTGAAGAGCTTAATACAAGCTAAGGATGCTCCTATCATGCTGGCAGAGTATGTCCTGATAAGCTCCAGCCAAGTTTCCTTGCAGAAACCTGATTTCAGTATTAACTGTGACTCTCCCATGCAAAGGCACCTTTAGACACCGTTAACACTGTTTGAAATGTGCAGGATCCAAAAACAACTCAACTGACTTTGTTTGTGTTAACAGGATGAGAAAGTGCAAGGCTTCCTGTTATGTGAGTGTGACAGCTGTAGATAAGTGGGGAGGCCCAAACAGGAAATCCGTCTAACTTCTGCAGTGTGACTTGTCTGAAGCTCAGGAACCATCTTAGACTGAAGGATCAATGGCATGATGTGCTGTTATTGCTGCTGCTGATCAAAAAACATGGAAGACATGGTAAAGAAGAATCTGGAGGAGGACCCGCTGGAGCCTTTGGAAAATGAGTGTTCCAGGAACATGGGAGAGCTCGTGGAAGTCTCCACCAATGAGAGGGTTAAATTTGATGACACAGGCCTATCCATGGTGCTGCAAAATGGTTTGGAGAATCTCCGGCTGGAAAATTCTCTCACAGATGTTACTCTGTGTGTGGGCAACATGAAATTTTCATGCCACCGTGTGGTCCTTGCAGCAGCTAGCAATTATTTTAGGTAAGGACATTTATTTATTTATTTATTTATTTATTTATTTATGTGAGACTTTTCCCATTTGGATGTACAAAGGCTGCCAATGTAAGTCAAGCAAGGCAAATGGGAAGACATTTTTCAAACCCTTGATTTCAGTCTACCCATACTCTATATGCTTTCTAGAGGTCTGTATTGGATAATATGTCAGATGTTCATAGCCACATATTATTGCCACTCTGCAAGGACAGAGGGAAATTAACTGAGAACGTGACAATACATTTCCTTTCACATGTGGAAGCAGGATGAAAATTATTTTCTAATTACCCGCGGAAGACAATTCATTGCAAAAGCAATCAAGAAGGGGAAAAGGAGTATGTCAGACTTCCTATTTTCTCTGACTTTGGACATTTCAAAAAGTGATCTGAGAAACGGGGAAAATCTACAAGAAAGCTCCCCTTATTTTGTCACAATTAGGGCAATGCTGCAGTCTCTTTGAGGTGTGAGACCTCTTTTTGCATTTGGGTGCTAAAAATGAAGTATGACAAAATATTACATGCAAGAAGGCTGTGAATTTCTAAGGTAAAGTCAACACTTTTGAATGTTGCCCAAGTCCAGTACTGGGCTAGATGAGGGTGAACAAAGGAGATTAAATCCATAAAAGACAAAGGTGCTGGTGGTCACTTGAAAGCCTCGTCTGAGGACTGAGATTCAAGCTGTTCTGAATGAGGTCACTCTTCCCCTGGGTACATGGAGCCTAGGAGTACTCTTGAGTCCTGCACTGTCCCTTGATCTTTGGATAGTAGTGCTGGCTAAGAGTAGATTCGCACAACTGCAGCCATCCCTAAGTCTGTTGTCAGTCTGATCTGGCAACAGAAACATCATGGCTTGCCTATTGCAATATGCTTCATGTTGCAATATGCTTTAAGGGGCTACCCTTAAAGAGCATCTGGAAGCTTCAATTGGTGCAAAATGTGGCAGCTAGGCTACTAACTGGTGCACAGAATCATTATCATACCATGCTAATATGGAAAGATTTACACTGGTTGACATTGTTTTCCAAGTTCATTTCAAGGTGGTGATTTGAACTTTTCAGATTCTGTACAGCCTAAGAGGGAACTTAACCCGAGGGAATTCCAATCTTGGTATCAATTGGCTTGGAGAGGCCCTTTTGAAGACACCTTTTCTTTTTTGGATTATTTCTCGTTGTAGAACTTGAACAGGTGCCTGGAAGAGAGGATATGGGGCCAAGTGGGAGAATCGGGGGGTGGGGGGATACCCTATCAGTGTTGTGATGTGTAGAGGGAGATAGTGTTTGATGGGAGGCTAGCCAGGTGAGAAGAATACAGCCTAGTTAGTTAACAGCTGAGCTGTGTTCTGGTCCTCCTTACACATTCATGCTTGGAGATCACCCTATCAGCCTGCCCTCAGGTCTCCAGGTGCTGCTTTTAAATGCCAGATTGGTGCAAACCAAATCCTCTCTCATTCATGATCTAATTCTTGGATGAGGCAGCTGATCTGGCATGTGCAACTGAGACTTTGTGCTGTAGCTTCCCTGGCCATCTGACTACCAGTCTAGAGTGCTTTCATTTAGGGCTAGCTGGGATGCACTGAAGATTCTGTTGGTGTAGTACCCTTCCTGTTTCTTGACGGACTCTGTCTTAGGTCATGGAGCTGGTCTCAGAGAGATGCTGAAACTTTCCAGGCTGTTGGTTTTGGAAGGCTGAGAGCACCATGCCTGGCATAGCTCAGGATTTCATGGCCTCTGTGGAACTGTCCAAGTGTGTCATCAGCTCAGCACGTGTAGCAGGGACACACTAGGGATGGTAATCTGAAGGTGGTGGACTATGATTCATTCCCTTTATCATGGTCCGATAACCACCTACTGAGGTTTAAACTGATGGTGGCATTTCCCCTTTTCAAGGGTGGGGAGTCCATTGAAATGCTCTGCCCCAGAGGTGAATGGAGACAGCTGGTTTCCAGAGTGCTCTTAGGGGTTTCCAGCTGATACAACTGGCAGCCCTGCCAAAGCCCAGGTGGTTGATATGATCACTTCTCAGCATATTGTCATATGGCTCCATGGTATACCATGGTGCTGTCACTGATGAAACTATAGAAGAGCTGGTTTACATGAGGATGGAGATGCAACTGAATCCTGGCATGTGCCTAAAATCAGGCACAGTTAGTGGCAGTGAGGATGGCAGAGAAACAAGTTCCTCTGTTCAATATCTGGCATCCAGCTGAGCTTTTTAGGGTTGTCCAAGACCTGTTACATGCTGATCCCAAGGATATACTTTGCCCACCTGGATCCCTCTGTAACAGATTTTCTAGGCACTTCCAGAACAAAATTGGGACTTGGACACAAGTGATAGCAGTTGAATCAGGTGAGGTACTAAGAGCACAGTCCAGTTATCTTGGATTAATATCAGTTGGCACAACTTGGTGATGCTTGACAAGGTGCAGTTTACTTGCTTGGCAGGCAGGGAGCAAGCAGGCATCTGTCACTCCTCACCACCACCATTATCTGGGCCACAGCAGGTAAACAAGCAGGTGAGGAAGAGAACTCCTGGGGAATCTTGTCAGTGGTCCTTGCTAGCTGTGGACACTTAACAGGTGGCAAGCCCTGTCTACCCTTGTTGGCAGACCTGATGCTTATAATAAAGCTGTAAGCCATTATTATATTATCTCTTATGGGTAGAGACTGAGGCTGAGCTACAAATAGTTTCCCAAAGCTACCCAGCAAATTTCAAAACTGAGCTGACAGCTCAGCTGAAGACCTCCTAGCCTTTAGCATAAGATCTGAACAATTGTGCTATACCAGGTCTATATATCTGTGTGTATTAGCAATCCAGCACCCAGGATCAATTGTGAATCCACTAACACTGATTTCTTACTCATACATGTGACCCTTAGATATCATTGTACTGAATGGCAGCAATTTCTTGATTAATTGTCCAGCAGAAGGAAATGTATGTTTCATAAAGCCATCTCCCCCACAACTTTGTAACTTGTTGAATTAATTTTCCTTCCTCCTTTTTTCAATGCTTAGGATTTGTCACGGACAAAGATCACCCCTTCTACCCCGGTTTTGGAAAACCAAGCTTCTTGCAAGATTCTACTCAGTAGTATTGACCCACAGATATTTTGTTGATGTATTAGTCAGATAATCTAACTAAGAACATTTTTTCTTGGATTAAAAATATGTCTGTAAGCAGCAGAATGTTAGCAATATTAACTTTTTGTGTGTGACAGGTTCTTACACTGATTGTAATCACTGCCTGTATTCACATGTAACACTCACTGATGCCACAGATACTGCTTGGCATGGTTTCTTCCTTGGGTGAGACTGCCAGATGATTGCATGGCTTCCACTCTTTGATGGTTTTCACCCTGCTCCTGCCTTCCTCTCAATAGTGGCGCCTATCCCATCAGCCTCTGCAGCTGAAATTTAGTACCAGGGTTCACTGTGCTTGCCTACTTTGTCTCTCTCATTGGTTCACACACACTTCTCTGGAAGGGTCTTTAGTCAGCTGCTACTTTCCCCTCTTCTCAGCCAAGTAACTGCTTACATGCCAGAGTAGAACTTTTACCTCCTATGTGCGGCCATGCCCTGTATGTATATATGCATACTCACCCACAGTGCTTTTTTTGTAATAAAAAAAAAGGTGCCGGAACTCACATCACCGCCGGCAGTAAGCACACACACCAATCCCAAGCCGAGCAGTGGAGCAGCATCTGGAGCAGCTATCTCTCACTATCAGATAGCAGATCAAGCGCAGACACAATAGCAGCCTGCAGGCACTATGTTAATGATGTTTGCTGCTGATCTGCTATGCCAAAATCACTTCGTAAAATCCATTGGAAAAAAAGGTGCCGGAACGCTGTTCTGGTGCGTTCTATGACAAAAAAAGCCCTGCTCACCCATATCGGCACGTCTTCTCCACCCTTTTCTTGCTACAGATATGCCCACATTCCTCTGTACACAGGAGGTTTACATGCTGGAAGAGACTGCCCTTCTTCTGTAGTCAGGCACACAGAGGACAGTGGCTCCTCTTTTCACCAGACTCTATGATCGTTGTGTGGAAACCATGCTTCTGGGTTCACACAACTGAATAAACCATGGTAAAACATGGGAACTATACAACAGATTATTATTTTTTTCTGTGGTTCCATGGAAACCAAATGTACCATGTAGTAAGACCCTGACAGGGTTCAGAGAACGTGACAGACCATATCATGCTGCAAATCACCATGGCTTGTTGTTGCGTCTGAATGCAGCCAATGACTTAGAGGAGAAACCCTTTATATCTCACGCAAGTTCTATGAGGAAATGTGGATAGAATTGGTGTATTTAGTCTATGGAAGAGACAATTAAGATGAGCTATCTTCAAACATGTCAATAGATGATGGAGCAAAATTATTTTCTGTTATTTCAGAGGGGATGGACCTCAACCAATGGTTTTGGGTCCAATGGGTTAATATTATTAGAAAGAGTATTTTGGATAAATATTAGGAAGCATTTCCTGATGGTATGAGAGGTTCAGCAGTGAAAGAGGCTGTCTATTCATCTCTGTTTGCCTTTCAGCAGCTTGTATAAACACATTCATTACAGCAGGCTTTTGATGCACATATTAGCTCAGCCATTAGCTCACCTAGTACCCTCCAGATGTGTTGGACTACAACATGGCTCAGTATGATTCTCCTGGCTGGAGATGATGAAAGTGCAGTCCAACACATCTGAACTGGACCAGTTTCTCTTGGGTGATTAGATGCTATTTTATTTTATTTTAACTTTAAAAATATGCAATATAAGGTACAATAGTCCAAAACAGGACTTAAACCAAATAAAACCAATTGCTATCATTTGTTTAATAGTATAATCTCCAAACTAATTTGGTAATGTATTTTAATCACAGTGAGTTCGATTGTGTGATTTGTTTTAAGGATCAGTTTGATGATTATTTAGATGTTTGTTTTCTTGCTTTAGTTTTCTCAATAATTTTCAGTTCTTATTCTGAGATGATGTGCATTGTTAGCCTCTTTGAATACTGCAAAATAGAGAAACAGGAAAATATTTTAAAACAAATAATAGGTGCAAGTGAATGATTTGCATAGTATTACTTTTTCCAAAATGTGTTTTAGAATGACTGGTCTTTCTAGATTTACTGTAACAAATGACCTTTTTATCTCCAGGGCAATGTTTTGCAATGATTTAAAAGAAAAGTATGAAGAAAAAATAGTAATTAAGGGAGTGGATGAAGAAACAATGCAGATTCTTCTGGATTATACATATACAAGCAAAGTGCTTATCACTAAGGAAAATGTACAGAAAGTTCTTGAGGCGGCCAGCCTTTTCCAGGTTAGTGACTATTTAACATATGGAAAAGAAACTCTTGCTGCTGTTTACACATAGAACTAAACCGTGGCTCTACATTAAATCAGTGGTTCATTGTGTCAGAATCAATTTACCTGAGTGCTACTCTCACTTCCTAGTCTAGTACCAGCATGGCCAGTTGGCAATGGTTGGGTTAGATCTGGGGCAAAAAATAAGTTTTACTGTATAATTATTTACTCTGAGTTTCACTGGCTGTTCCATCTACTCTTAAGATTTGATTGATTAATTAAATGTCTGAGCCACTTTTACAAGCCAGGCATGGAGTGTGACTCTAAGTATGGTTTACTCAGATGTGGATCCCCTTGAGTTAGAGCTCACCTGGAAGTAAACATGCTGGAGTAAATCACTTAGATTCACACTTGGAGGCCTTGCTTGTGAAAGTGGCCTGCATATTTTACCGGTTAATCAATTGGTTTTACTATTTCTCACATCCAGGGCTAGCTCCAGAGTTTGTTTGGGTTTTTTTTGGGGGGCGGGGTGTACTAGGCAAGCTGGTCCAGCCCCTACCCACCTGGTCTTCACCCACCATTAGGCTTGCCCATGGCAGGGCTGGAATGCTCGCCCAACCAGGATGGAGCCTGCCTTCTTCAGAATGCTGTTCCCACTCTTGATAGGTCTTTGCCAGGGTGTAGCCAGGTAATTAAGATAGAAGTGTTAATCATTCTGTGTTATGTGTGCGGGGCAGACTGGTGATCCACTCAGCAACAGTGTTGACTGGAGTGTCAGGTCTGCACACCTGGACTCGTGGGGGTCGCCATTTTGATTCTACCATACCCATCCCAATGGGACTTTAATGACAAGGACCCTCTAAAATATCACAACATGAGTTCTTCAGGTTGATTTTCAAGCTTGTGTACAATGCTGTGATGCTTTCTGTTGGTTTTAATAAAAAATAGTGTGGGTTTTTTTTAATCTTTGGAATTTTATTTGTTTGTTTATAACGGAACAGTAGGACTGCTTGTAATTGTGGTTTCATTGATAGCAATTCTGATCCTGTATGGCTAGAACTCATGTCAGGAAGATACAGTTGGGTGTGAATAGGAAATTATTCTATAAAGGAGAATGTCTATAAAAGGGAGTCAATACATGTAATGTTACAGATACATATAGACAATTATTTTGTCATCTTCATTTCTCTAAACATTTGCCTGCAGGTACCTTTAAAAACAGGAACCAAGTGGTTTATAGGCCAGATCTGTTATCTCTCACTTTTCGTAAGCAGCCTAAATGTGTCAAGAGGACACGGCTCTGAGCACAAGCTTCTGCTGTAAATACTTTGAAAAATTCACATACCCTTGAAAAATTGTATTTCTGGGTTTTCACTTCTCTTTTCCTTTTAATTATGTTTATAAACTATGCTGTGCTTTACACATAGCTAATTTTGAGGGCATGTGAATGTAGAAATGCATGCAACAAAACCATTATGGGCTTTTATTAGCAGCTAGGGGAAAAACTCTTGAGCCATTGATATCCTCAGCAACCTTCCAAAACCTGGTGCCTGCCAGCCATGTTGGAATGCAACTCTCATCAGCCACAACCAGCATGGCAATGGCCATGCTAGCTGGGGATGTTAGGGGTTATAGGTCAACACATCCAGAGAGCACAAGCAGGGCTGCCCTCAAGGGTAGGCATGGTTGGGATTTGCTGAGCACCCGCATCCTAGCAATGACCCACTGTCAAAACCTTCAGCTTTTCACAACAGCTTTGTTTTTAGAATGTGGAAAGCTGGCTATTAAAATTCATACCATAGCAAAAGCCTTGGCTAGAACTGCAGTTCTGCTATACTGCAGCTAAACAGTACTTGTGCTGTTTGTGGTATATTGCTTAGGGAATCCTGTGGGGCTATTGAGCGGCATATAAATTTATAAACAAACAAACAAATAATATCACAGTGGCAATAAAATGTATAAAAACCAGAGAAATACAAATCCTGGGGAAAAGCATCCATGTAAAAGAAGCATCCCCCGTCCCCTGAAGGAATGATTTCCTCAGTGAGGTGGCATCCAGTGCCATCACTCTCTTCTTTTTGGCATCAGGTGAGGACCTTCTGCTGCTCTCAAGAATCTGACAGGATTTTCCATAGATTCTGACTTTTCATACCATTGATTATTAATAATTGTGTATGTTGTGTGCATTTATTTGTTAAGTGAATGGCTTTTGTAGTATAATACAATATACTACAGTATTTTTAATCTTTGTATGTTGCTCAGAGAGCTTTGGCTATTGAGTGGTATAGCAATGTAACAAGTGAAAAATGAATGGAAAAAAATTAGAAGACCTCATGCAGCTTATCTGCAGTCAAGTCGAGGGTCTTGCCACTGAGGGAAACTGTTGTGATGTTGTGTGTCTTGCACTCCCTGCCTTTTCGAGGCTGGTTGAGGTGTGCTCCTGATCCCAGCATGAGGAGCACTCAAACTGAAAATGCATTCAACAGCTTTCCAGTCAAGGATTTGATTGTGTGTTTGACTTGCCTAATTTTCAGAATATTATGGTGCATTCCAGACAATGTCCTTCACTAGTAAAAGTGTTTTCCCACCACTTCTTCTGTTCCCTTTTGCTAGCTTGTTTTCACAAAGCAAAGCAAACAAAAGTTATGGAGGAAAAGACTGAACAGTAGCTGTACAACATTTTTTAACTGATAGCCCCGGAAGCACACTTATTCAGGAGATTAGACTGACTAATCTCAAGGCAGAAGGTGGGGAAGTTGTCTGTTGTCATCCTTTCTCACTCTGCCTCACCCCAGCAATACAAGTGCTTGGATATTGCTGTGATATTTTAGCTGGGCTTATGATGTTTATCGAGGCAATCTGTTCAGATGTGGTGGAAGTGAAAATGGACATCTTCCACTTGTCCAACATTTACCCTTCTGTGCTAGTCCTGTTTTTGTAGGCTGATATTACAGGACAAGCATGGCAGCAATAGAAAAGTAGGAAAGCTTGTATCAGTTATTCCCAGTGACAATCCAGTGCTATGGTGATTATGTAGACCATTTTCCAAGGCAGCAAGTGAGGCTGCAATGGCTCTGCTGGCTGAAGGGGTGGGTTGGGAGGGATGAGCATTTCCTTAAGAGATGATGCCAGGATCCCATGCAGCACATTTGGCAATTTGCCTGATCTTAACCACATTATTCCTTAAACTCACAGTGGCTTTATCTATGCTCAGAGATTCTCATTATGAACTCATTATAGTTCATGAACTCAACCGTGATAACTTTCATAATTTGTGGATATCACTTTCAGAGTGACTGCTTTCACCATAGTTCATGAACATATTCATGTACTCAAAACACACTGTTGTCACAGACTTATCTTATTAACAACACTATTCTGTAAGTATTGGGGTGAGTATTCAAACCCTTTAAATGTGGGTTTCATTAACAATTACTCCATTAAGCATGGGCTTTACTTAGGGTATTTCAAGATTGTGGTTGTTATTAGTCACGAAGTCGTGTCCGACCCATCGTGACCCCGTGGACAACATTCCTCCAGGCCTTCCTGTCCTCCACCATCCCCCGGAGTCCACTTAAGCTCACACCAACTGCTTCAGCGACTCCATCAAGCCACCTCATTCTCTGCCATCCCCTTCTTCTTTTGCCGTCAATTGTTCCCAGCATTAGGATCTTCTCCAGTGAGTCCTTCCTTCTCATTAGGTGGCCAAAGTATTTGAGTTTCATCTTCAGTATCTGGCCTTCTAAAGAGCAGTCAGGGATAATCTCCTTTAAGACTGACCGGTTTGATCGCCTTGCGGTCCAAGGGACTCACAGGAGTCTCCTCCAGCACCACAACTCAAAGGCCTCAATCCCTCAGCGCTCAGCCTTCCTTATGGTCCAGCTTTCACAACCATACATTGCAACTGGGAAAACCATAGCCTTGACTATATGCACTTTTGTCGGCAGGGTGATGTCTCTACTTTTTAGTATGCTGTCTAGATTTGCCATAGCTTTCCTCCCCAGGAGCAAGCGTCTTTTAATTTCTTGGCTGCAGTCCCCATTTGCGGTGATCTTGGAGTCCAGGAAAATAAAATCTGTCACGACCTCCATTTCTTCCCCATCTATTTGCCAGGAAGTCATAGGACCAGATGCCATGATTTTAGTTTTCTTAATGTTGCGTTTCAAGCCAACTTTTGCACTCTCCTCCTTCACCCGCATCAAGAGGCTTTTTAGTTCCTCTTCACTTTCTGCCATTAGAGTGGTATTATCTGCATCTCTGAGGTTGTTGATATTTCTCCCGGCAATCTTAATTCCAACTGGTGATTCATCTAGCCCCACCTTTCCCATGATGTGTTGTGCATATAAGTTAAATAGGCAGGGTGACAGTATACAGCCTTGCCAAACTCCTTTCTCAATTTTGAACCACTCAGTGGTTCCGTGTCCAGTTCTCACTGTTGCTTCTTGACCTGCAGATAGGTTTCTCAAGAGACAAATAAGATGGTCTGGTAGTCCCATTTCTTTAAGAACTTGCCACAATTTGTTGTGATCCACACAATCAAAGGCTTTAGCATAGTCAATGAGGCAGAAGTAGATGTTTTCTGCCTAGCTTTCTCCATGATCCAGTGTATGTTTGCAATTTGATCTCTAGTTCCTCTCCCTCTTCAAAATCCTGCCTGTACTTCTGGTAGTTCTCGGTCCACATACTGCTGGAGCCTAGCTTGTGGGAATTTGAGCATAACTTTGCTAGCGTGTGAAATAAGTGCAATGGTGTGGTAGTTTGAACATTCTTTGGCTTTGCCCTTCTTAGGGATCAGAATGTAAACTGACCTTTTCCAATCCTGTGGCCACTGCTGAGTTTTCCAAATTTCCTGGCATATTGAGTATAGCACTTTTATTGCATCATCTTTTAGGATTTTGAATAGCTCAGCTGGAATACTGTCGCCTCCACTAGCTTTGTTGTTGCTCAGACTTCCTAAGGCCCATTTGACTTCACATTCCAGGATGTCTGACTTGAGGTCAGTGACCACCCCATCATGGTTATCAGGGACATTAAGCTCTTTCTTGTATAGTTCTTCTGTGTAATTTTGCCACCTCTTCTTAATCTCTTCTGCCTCTGTTAGGTCCCTGCCATTTTGGTCCTTTATCATGCCCATCTTTGCATGAAACGTTCCCTTCATATCTCCAATTTTCTTGAAGAGATCTCTGGTCCTCCCTATTATATGGTTTTCTTCTATTTCTTTGCACTGTTCATTTAAGAAGGCATTCTTATCTCTTCTAGCTATTCTCTGGAATTCTGCATTCAATTGGATGTATCTTTCTCTTTCTCCCTTGCCTTTCGCTTCCCTTCTTTCCTCAGCTATTTGTAAAGCTTCCTCAGACAGCCATTTCGCTTTCTTGCATTTCTTTTTCTTTGGGATGGTTTTAGTTGCTACCTCTTGTACAATGTTGCAAACCTCTGTCCATAGTTCTTCAGGCACTCTGTCTATCAGATCTAATTCCTTAAATCTATTTGTCACCTCTACTGTATATTCATCAGGAATATGATTTAGGTCATACCTGAGTGACCTAGTGCTTTTCCATACTTTTTTAAATTTAAGCTTAAATTTTGCAGCAAGAAGCTCATGATCTGAGCCACAGTCAGCTCCTGGTCTTGTTTTTACTGATTGTATAGAGCTTCTCCATCTTTGGCTGCAGAGCACATAGTCAATCTGATTTCCATGTTGACCATCTGATGTCCATGTGTAGAGTTGTCTCTTGGGTTGTTGGAAAAGAGTGTTTGCTATGGCCATCGTATTCTCTTGACAAAATTCTACCAGCCTGTGCTCTGCTTCATTTTGTACTCCAAGGCCAAACCAGCCTGTTATTCCAGTTATCTTTTGGCTTCCTACTTTAGCATTCCAATCCCCCATGATGATAAGGACATCATTTTTGGTGTTAATTCTAGAAGGTGTTGTAGGCCTTCATAGAGGCCTTCAACTTCAGCCTCTTCAGTACCAGTGGTTGGGGCATAGACTTGGACTACTGTGATATTGAATGGTTTGCCTTGGATTTGAACTGAGATCATTCTGTCATTTTGGAGATTGTATCCCAGTACTGCTTTTCCTACTCTTTTATTGACTATGAAGGCTACTCCATTTCTTCTGAGGGATTCTTGCCCACAGTAGTATACCTGATGGTCATCTGAATTAAATTCACCCATTCCTGTCCATTTTAGTTCACTGATTCCTAAGATGTCGATGTTCAGTTTTGTCATCTCGTGTTTGACCACATCCAGCTTGCCTTGATTCATACATCTTACATTCCAGGTTCCTATGGAGTATAGATCTTTGTAGCATCAGACTTTCCTTTCACCACCAGATACATCTGCAACTGAGTGTCCTTTCGGCTTTGACCCAGTTGCTTCAATCTTTCTGGTGCTACTATTACTAGCCCTCTGCTCTTCCCCAGTAGCATATTGGACAGCTTCCGACCTGAGGGACTCATCTTCCAGCATCATATCTTTTTGCCTTTTGGTGCTGTCCGTGGGGTTTTCATGGCAACGATACTAGAGTGGGTGGTCATTTCCTTCTCCAGTGGATCACGTTTTGTCAGAGCTCTCTGCTATGACCTGTCCATATTGGGTGGCCCTGCACGGCATAGCTCATAGCTTCATTGAGCTATGCAAGTTCCTTTGCCATGACAAGGCAGTGATCCATGAAGGGGATTTCCAGATAGGGTTTGTATAATGCCAGTGCCCTGCTTCATTCTCTATTGGGGTTGTGGGCAATGTCATTTTCATTCATAATTCTCCATGTTTTCCTACTGCTTCTTCCATCTTTTTCATTACTGTAGAAAATTGAGTAAAGGATGAAAGCACCTCCCAGAAATAAACTTTTTTGGTTTCCACTCCAGTTTTTACTAAAGAGTAAAATTGCCAGCCAGACAGAGGGGATTTAATTTTCCAGAGCTTAGTTGATATCACAAGGTTATTCGTTAAGATGTTCTAATGATTAGAAGACAGCCTTTTATTTTAATAATCCTCCATGGTTTGTTTTGGAGCCCAGTCATTTGGTACCTCTTTCTGGCTGGCTGGTTGTAGGATCTAGGCATATTTAAATGAAAGGAATGTTTCCATTTAGCAGTGAGACACTTGCCATGCAGTGTCTCATCAGCTGCAGTTTGATTGATATTTGCACACTAAATTAACTTTATGGGAGAATCCAGTCTTGAAAATAGAGAAGTGTGTTTTACAGAGAGGGCCGAGCTGATAGTGGGATTATACTTGCGATCAGTTCAGAAGCTTGCCAGCTGGGCCAGATGCTGATATGGGCATGTCCTACAGTGGTTCCTTTTGGCTCAAAGTCATTTCTTGGATAAATCTTGTTCTTGAACAGTGTGTTTTAAAGCACATGTCCATGTGCTTTAAAATTTCACCCCTGGTATGTGGGAATTAACAGATGGACAACAAAAGCTGATACTGGGAGCCTTCACAATGGCAGAGAGACTTATGCTCCAAAGGAAAAACAGCTGCCACCCATTAGTCAGTGGCTGAAGATCTCTCCGCTCTTGCTAAATATGGACATATCTCCCACAGTCACCCATCTCAAATGGATGGTTGCTTAACCAAATGGATTGTTCCTATTAATACATATATTTGAAGTGGAATGGTGAAATTCTGCTTTTCCCAGCTTTTTCTTTTAGATTAAAAAGGATATAAATTATGATTGTGCATGGACCTGTTTCACCATACTTTTTTCTTCCCCACTTTTGTGTTATCCCCTTGCTTGCTTTTTTGTTTGTTATTGTCATATTGGATGCCCCTTGTTGTTGTTGTTGGAGGAATTACTGCACAATGCTTTTTGTTTACCACAGCTAGGAGCCCTTCATTTGGAATCACTAAGAGTATTTCTTTGGGGATCAATGGAAACAAATTCACAGGAAATTAAAATCTGCAGTAAACTGAAATGTGCAAGGAATGGGATTACAGTTGCAAACCTATGCATCTTTAGACCAAAACAAAAACCTGTATCTCCTGGCATACCCCAGCCTTTTTGTTCGTCTAAATGTGCATGGGATTGTACACCAAAATTAGTTGTCTCCTAAACCAGCTCTCACCAGTTAATCCCCTCTGCTGTGTCTTCCTCTTATTGTGAATGGATAAAAATTCCCTTTCATAGCTTTGCTGTTATCCCTTGTTTCTTTCAGCTTCCCTTCCATTTGCTTTAATATTCCATCCTCCAGGTGTTCTCTTCTTTGCTGCCCTGCAAACACAAATTCCAGGCATGGTTCACGACACTATACCTTGGGGGCCTTTCAGACTCATAGGCGAAGTATTTAAAAGACCTTTCTTTCAGAATATTACATTTTCTTTTTCCTGTACCTATCCTGCTTGGTTCAGTAATCTGTAATTGTGGTGCTGCTTCTTTGCAATGGTTTGGGACCAGGCTATTTGAAGGATTGTCTGTATTTGTGCAAACCTGCCCAGGTTGTATGAACGGCCTTAGAGGCCCTGCTCACTAGTCTGCTACCAAGAAAGATCAGGTTAGTGGCTTCCCAGGACAATTCCTTTTAAGCAGTGGTTCCATATTTCTGGAAATCTTACCTTGAAAGCTGTACCTTTAGATACTTTTAAACAGATCCTGAAGAATGGTTTGCTTCTTTTAGCTTATCCTTGAATATTTTTGTGCCAGCCACTTGTTGTTTTACCAAGTGTTTGATTTTTAAATATAGTTATCAATTTTACTGTATCATTTCTGAACTGCAGTTGGTGAGCAACACTGTGAAGACTTTGTCCTGAGAAATAGAATAACAATGTAATAAACAAACACACACTCCCTCCTCTGTGACTGTGATGAGCTGAGATTCTCCAGGCCATTTCTAGCCCATTGAAGCAGGGGAGGTCAACCTGTGCCTTCCAAGATGTTATCGGACTGACAACATCCCTGACCATTGGCAATGCTGGCTGGGGCTGATGAAATTTGCATTCTATGGGTGGGCTCCCATGTCACAACAAATAACCCCACATAGTTTCCATACTGTGTGTTTGTTTGCCTGGATGTGCCTCATAGATGATTTAGGAGTTTCTTTGTTGGTATGGTTTCTACCCTCCTCTCTCAGTCCTCCCACTGTTGGCATGTATCCCATCAGTCACCACACCTCAAATTCAATCCCATGCAGGACAGCTGGAACAGAGACTCTGTGCTAGCTGAATACCAGGGCCATGGAAACCATAATTCTGGATCTGCACATTCAGAGAAACCATGGTGAAGTGTGGAAACCATAGAATAGATGATTGTTGCTTATCATGGTTTCTAAAAACCAGATGTGCAATGCTGGAACACCATGACAGGATTTGAACAGCACAACACTGCAAGAAAACACTATGGCTTGCCGTGCAACCTACCCTAAGAATGAAAGGCAATCATGCTTAGGTTGGGGAGCAGGGAAAGCACAAAGCCAGATTAATGTGGTAGAAAGACATGAAGCAGGGCATTATGTTTTCTTTACAGAAGGGGCGGTTGTGACTCTTGTGCCGCCATTGCAGCTTTTTAGGAGCTATCCGTGGTGTTGGATAAGACACCCCACTGACTCCAGTATCACCAACCTCTGATAAGTTAGTGCAATACTTCAGAACTGTAGTGTGAGATTTAATATAACATAACAAAAACACCCACCATACATAGTAGGTACAAGAAGACATTTCCCTATTTTGAATCAAAGTCATTGCTTCCTTGCTTTATGAAGGTCTTTTGAGGGGAGAAGAATTAACAGACAAGTACAGGGCGTGTGTACATAATAGCCAATTGTACTTCCTCCTGTAGTTTTTGCGGATGGTAGAAGCATGTTCCAATTTCCTCAATGAAGCTCTTCACCCAGAAAACTGTGTTGGGATCCTCAGATTGGCTGATGCTCATTCTCTTGATCATCTGAAGCAGCAGGTCAAGAACTACATTATTCAAAATTTCACTCAAGTACTGAATTATGATGAGTTCCTAGAGTTGCCCGCAGACGTCTTGTATTGCATGCTCAAGAGCGACGAACTTTGTGTTACTGAAGAAGCTCAAGTGTTTGAGACAGTTATGAACTGGGTGTGTTACAAAATAGCGGAAAGGCTTCCTCTCCTGCCATATGTCCTTGAAAATGTCCGGCTGCCCCTCCTGGACCCTTGGTATTTTGTAGAGACTGTAGAAGCTGACCCAATCATCAGGCAGTGCCCTGATATATTTCCTCTGCTTCAAGAAGCCAGAATGTATCATCTGTCGGGGAATGAGGTGAGTAAAAGTTGGAGGGCCTTAAGGGAGAGGGAAGACTCGTAGCTCTGTGAGCTGCACGAACAACCAGAGCAACTTGTTCTGTAGCCAGCTTTCTGTGGTATTCTTGCCTGCAGCTTGTGGCAGATGCCTTTTGGGAGGGCCAATTCCCTAGGTGGCTCTGTGGTCCAGGATGGCACTATGGTAACAGCCTCTGGAGAACAGCCTCATGGATGGCTGTTGCACATCAAAGGTGTCTTATTTATTTCTGCTTTCAATATGCCATCACATATGTTAAAAATCCCTAAGTGTTTTCCATATAAATATTAAAAACCATAATTTCAATTGCATTTAAAGCCCTCTTAAAATAGTGCAATAAGGCATGATTATGATAACATTGACATAATAATACAGTCTCGTGGCACCTTAAAGTTTAAGCCAATGTGGCATAAGCTTTTGTGGCCACACTCTTTACATGCTTGTGTGTTTATTGAGGGTAGGTTGCCCAATGTCTTCCAGATGTTTTGGACTACAAGTTCCATAATCTCTGATCGCTGACTATGCTGGGTGGGGCTGATGGAACCTGTAGTTGAAAATATCTGGAGGTTAGCAGGATGCCTTCCTCTGTTGTGTGTGTGTGTGTGTATGTGTATACACACATGCACCACCCCTTTGCCACTTGGATGACACTTCATGCATCTGGGGAAGTGTACACTTGCCCATGCAAGCCTATAAAGTTAGGGCAAAGCAATCCTATGGACCCCAAGACAACATCTAGGAGGTCATAGAATCCTTCAGTTTCCCAGATCAGAGGTCAAAAAAGGCTTCAACCTTGGATCTGAGGATCTCTGCCCTGATCGCTCTCCTGTGCTTACAGCCACTGAGGAAAGAACCATGCCAGCTGCTTCTTTGAGGTTATAAGAGTGACTCTGTAAAGTGGGCATGGCAGGAAGAAGAGGGGATGAGACCAGACCATTTGGTGGCACCTCAGTCTCTTTCCCTGCCCCTCTGAAGCACTACGGTTAGGTTGCCGAAGTCTAGTTGCTTTGCAGAATGGGAGAATATTGAGTGACCTTCACCCCTGCGCTTATCTAGGTCTGCATAAGATGCCCATGATTCTCCAAGTTTGGAGGGCTACAGGCTTCCTCACTGAGTCATGCCCTTAGTCTTTAAGGTGCCACAAAACTGCTTGTGGTCTTCATCTCTTTCTAAAATTTAGGGCTAATTTTCAGGTCTGAGCAATATCCAATATTAAGGAATGGGAGTTCAACTACCGCTGCCGTCTTTTTCCTTTGAGTGTCTTCTGAGTACAGATTTGGAGACAGGAAGAAGCAGAAAGCTTGTGATGTAGATTAAGAAGGTGTTGTGGAAAAAGGTAAAGTTCAGGATGCATTATGGTGGGGGATTGAGTGCACATGCTGAAAGTTCTCTGAAGAATCGAGAAACAAAGATGGATATAAAGACCAAAAGACATTTCCACAACTAAGGTAGATAAAAAGCAAATATACTAGTTTTAAATCAGGCCTATACTAATAATTTATTGATCTAGTTTTAGTGGTAGATTATATGAAGTTAGGAGGAAACTGTACTAGTTAAGGGATTCTCATGCCTCAGAGGAAGGCCATCATCCACACAGTAAAGGTGTTTCATATCGTAGCACTGAATAAATTCCCTCCTGTGGTTCTGTGTGGTCATTGATAAACAAGGATATTACTGATCCTGGTGGAATCCCACAGCCTAAGCAAAAAGCCGGATGGAGAGGGATTATTCCCCGGCACCATTTTCTGAAAAGCTTCTGCCAAGTAGGACTGGAAGGATTCTAATGAGAGGTCCCAGACAAAGGGTACAAAAGCGACAAAGAGGTTCAGGAGAATTATATTTCTCTTCTCTTTCTTTTAGCATAGGGCAAGCAACCAAGGCTATTTGGTGCCAGTTGATGTCTGAAGTCCCCTTGACACGGGGAGCAGGACCCAGGAATGTCTGTTGTTTAATGCCCACCTCCCTGTTCAACCACTTTTCCACAAAAGGGAAATAAGCAACCAGCTAGGAATTGGCATAATCATTGGAGGACAGGGAGGGTTTCTTTGGAAGCGGCTACGCAACTATTTCCTTGAATGAAGGAATACTGAAGAGTTGTTTCCTGAGCAACTCCATTTTTAAGTAGCAACCCAATTTTCCCCCATCTGGAGCCCATGCTGGTTGGGAATGATGAGAGTTGCATTTCAACACATCTGAAGGCCCCAGGCTCATGAAGGTTATTCAAGATTTTGTGAGCTTTACTGAGCTCAGCACGTGCATTTGATGAAGCACTGATGTTCCAAAATATGTGCATGTCCTCACAACTGTAGCACTTCTTGAAGTCTGAAGGTGTGTGGTGCTTGTGGGGTTCTAGTCTCAGATTTTCTGGAGCTTCATTTACTATAATGGTGGGCAACTACAACATCCAGCTTCCCCAGCCAGCAATGCTAATGGAGAGGGATGATGGGATGTAGGTCAGTGCTTCTGGAGGACCCAAAGTTGGCTACCCCTAATTTACTGGCAGTACACATGACCTTTAATAATCATGTCAAAAGAAACCGATCTGTTGACCTCTTGCTTTGATTTAGATAATATCTGAAAGAACAAAGCCCAGGATGCATGAATTCCAGTCAGAAGTCTTTATGATCATAGGCGGCTGCACAAAGGATGAAAGATTTGTAGCAGAAGTAACTTGCCTTGACCCCTTGAGGCGCAGTCGTTTAGAAGTGGCAAAGCTCCCAAACACAGAACAAGAAACAGAAGGTGAAGTCAAAAAATGGGTGGAGTTTGCTTGTGTTACTTTGAAAAATGAAGTCTACATATCAGGTAAGGAATCTTGTCTCTCTGTTTAAAATCTTTCTAGGCTGTCTTTCAAGGCAAGAGACCAGCCATAATAGTAGTCATGAGAGGAGAGAAGCAGCTGCAGAATTTTTCAAAATCTGTGAATAGATATGAATCAGTCATTTTGGACTGGGTCGTTTTGAGTTTTGCGCTTTTTCCTCATGCACATTTCTTGGGGTGCAGGTGTAGCCTGGCAAAGCAGTGCGGGGGGGGGGGGGCACAGTGCAGGCTGCAGGGCAAAGGGAAATAGGGACTCCAATTTTCAAGCAATCTGTAATTGCATTTCCTCCTGCTTTGTAAAAACAATTGATTACTGGAAGCAATTCATTTATTTCAAAGGGCTTGGGGAGCTATGTTAATATACTGAGAGTAAATCAAAGTTCAAGTGATTTAAAGAATGGAATTCAATTTCTGGAAAGACGGTCTTGTGGTTTGAGCACTGAGCTGGAGTCAAGAACTGTGAATTCAGCTGTGATAAGGCCAGCGAGCTGGCTAAAGCCCCCCCCCCCCCACCACAGGTGTGCAAACATGCACACACAAACCAGGGCATCACTCACATACTGGCAGACTGTAAAAATGTAAGGCTCCAGCCATGTGAAGAAGGAGAAAAGACCAGTATAGGAATCCATTGCAAAGATATCATAAAATGGATTACTGAAGCCAAGTATTTCTCTTTATGAGTCATTGCTAAGGCAGTTGCCATGGCTTTTTCATCAACACCATCATCCTGTCATTCTTCCCAGAGGAGTTATCAAACTATAAGCTGCATTTTCTCTACAAGAATTTTGTCTGGAAGTGTTACCTTTGAGTCAATAAAACAAAAACATTGACCAGGCTCTTTCAAACACTAATTTAGCTTCTTTTGATTTGTTTCAGGGCTTTGATAGATACGCATTTTGTCCTGTTGACTAGGCTAGGCATGAGGGCTAAGTACATTTGTAAAAAAATAAAAATAAGTGAACCAAGGAATTCTTAGGATTCTAATGAGAGCCCATGGGCTATTCAGAAATGTTGTAGGGGATGCAAACTGGATCATGTTTGGGCCTGGGCATGAAAAATCCTCAGAAAAATTCTGGAAGTATGGCATTGTTTTGGCATATTCTGTTCATTGCAGGAGGAAAAGAAACACAGCATGAAGTCTGGAAATACAATTCATCAATTAACAAATGGATCCAAATTGAATATTTGAACAATGGAAGATGGAGACACAAAATGGCTGTGTTGGGTGGCAAAGTATACGTGCTCGGTGGTTTTGATGGTATGCAAAGAATCAACAGTGTGGAGACGTATGATTCTTTTCACAACTGTTGGTCAGAGGTAAAGTACAGATGTACTTTCAGTGGTGGTGAAACCGGATACAAGACTAAAATAAAAATGTTATAATATCAGGTGTTAGTTAATAGGCAAATGGCGTTCGCACGCATGGCACCAGAAATGCTTTGTTTTGTTTTAATTTCCTACATCTATAATTCAGAACATACATTCAATATTTAAATGGCATTTTCTTTCTGTCCTGCCTTATCAATCATCACAGATGCCAAGGCACATTCTGTGGGGCAAACAAAGGTAGCTATCCTATGCACACATACAGTATGTCTTTATCAGTATGTGTAGGATTGCACTGCTAGATGCATACACTTACACTATATTCTTTCTAGTCAGTATTTAATATAAATGTAAGGGTTTTGACACATCTGAGATAAGCTCATCCAAAATTCCTGTTCTCCATGATGTACATGGCAACCTTTGTATGTAGCAATCCTCTGGATGACTCTTACAACAGATCCAGGGGTACTTGGATGGGCATGAGCGATGTTCATCGGTCTGAGCACTGGACACGGACATCATTCTAACTGTATTTTGCCTTTTAGCTAATGTTTCTCACACTTCAGGTTTAGCACTAAAATCACTGAACTGGGACAACAAGAAGAGCACAGTAGTCTTGCTAATAATACTGTCGCACTTCCGATTGCACATTTCCAGTGGTGAAAAATGGAAGCCAAAATTAAAACTGAAAGAACATGGTTCACACTTCCTAAGAAAGGATTATTTCACTTATGAGCAAAAATATTATTTCCCTTTTCTTCTTAAAGCACATAATGGGTTCAATGCTTAGAGTAGAACCATTTAAATACATGGCTTCTAAATTAGTTATGATTGACATAAGTCCCATTGAGCTGGCTCTCTGATCCAATCTAATTATGGCTAAGTCTAGATCCAACCCATAGTCTTCTCACAACTTAAGTAATCTTTCCTAGAATTCTCTTTTTAGTTCCCTCTCCTTTATTTTTCCATCTCCCTGTACTGTTTATGCTCTGCAATGTGATTCATTCCTGTGAATTACTATTTGCATGCTAGCAACATTAAGCTCTATTTTTCTGAAGTTCCTGCCACAATTTCTGTTTGCCTGCCTGCCTGCTGTTATGTATGTCCACTGTTCCTCTTACAACCAGAATAAACATGGATAGTAGATGCCAGGAGAGTGATCCAGATTGGGACCCAGGCAGTGGAGCGAGAGGGGTTTAAGCCTTTGTCTCTGGCTGTGTATCCTATTCAGATCAGATCTGCACTCTGTTTGTGCTGGAGGGAAGTGAATGGGAATGTTTCTTCTAGTGCAGATGGCAGGTAAAAGGTTCCTGATTCAGATCAGGACTGCAGAAAGAGTCAAAAGCCTCTTTTCTCCCCTTAATATGATCGGGCTTCCATGGTGCCCTAAGCTCCTTGGAGGAAGTTTGGGTCATAAATGTAACGAATAAATGAAACCAGCATTTAGTCTCTTCCATCTTCCTTTTCATTCAACACCGACAAGCTCATCCTTCACTGTTCTTCTGAAGCACATATTTGACCATGTGCTTTCAGTCTCTCCTGCAAATAGATTTTGTTTCCATATCTTGCAGGCCTTTTCTCTTTAACACTGCAAACTTTCTTCTGATTCTGCTGAAATTCTTGTGTGCCTTCTTATTATTTCCCACCCCAGTTACTGTGATATTCTTTTTCCTGGTCAATCAATTTCTTATCATAAAATCTTACCTCTATCTTAAATTCCATCATGCACCGCATCATTCTCACGTCCCTGCCTGTTTCTCTCTGCTCTCCCTGAAGAGCAAACACATTAAATCAAGATTAATCTTGAACATTTTCCTGAACTATATTGTTTTTCTTGGAATGAATACAGGCAGCTCCTCTCATGGTCAGTGTGAGCTCATTTGGGGTAGCCAGTTACAAGAAAAAGATCTACGTGATTGGAGGAGGACCCAATGGGAAGCTGGCCACCGACAAAACGCAGTGTTATGATCTGAAGACAAACAGCTGGAGCTTGAAATCTCCAATGCCTGTCGAAGCAAAATGTGTCAATGCTACAAGTTTCCATGACCACATCTATATTGTGGGTATGTACAGCAGCCATTCTTCCACATGTATATGAATCATGTACATTTTCACTGCCTTGGGAACACCTTTTCTATAATTTTGGCTGAACAGCAAGGAAGCAATTTAACCAAGCACCGGACAATCTACACCAGGGGAGTAGATCTTCTTTCAGCCTAAGAGCTGGATTCAATTTGTGGGGGGCTACATTTTGTGGTACATGAGGCAAAAGGAGAAAAGTCAAAATACAACCCCCCTGCCCACATATTTTAGCATAAAGCTATTACATTACAGTCACTAAGATTTGGAGTGTACATAATCAAATGTCACTTGGGGGTAAGGGAAGAGTACTGCTGATACTCTGTTTTACAAGAAGATGTAAATGAGAAGGAGGATTGTATGGCCACCTGTTATTCCTTAGTAGGATTACCACTGGGCAGCTGACTGGGGAAGGGCTCCCTTACAGGAATGCTGATGTTATTGAATCTCTTAGTGGTGGAATGGTAACAGTATACTGGGACTTAGGATGCTGGCTCAGGCATCTGTGTTCAAACTGTGGTGAATAGTGGCATTCATATGGGAATGCTGTTAATCCCATAGGTTTTTTAAATGCAAGGAAATAGATGTTTATCATGCTATATTCAGAACTGTGGGTTCTGCACAATCTCATTAAGCTGACTGTTGCAGTTCCTTGGTATGTCTCTGAACCTTGACAGAATTGCTCAAGGATTATCATTGTTTCCATGTGATTTTCAACAGGGACAAAAATTCCATTATCCAGTGAGCCAGAGATGCAAACAGCAGTGCATGTGCTGACATTCCCAAGTAGTGGAGCCATGAGGGCCTCTGTCGCCCTCCTGCCTCAGAATTCCCTGCTCTCTCTCGAGCTGAGCGGCAAGCCTGATATTTTCCCAGCAACACCATACCTGCTTCCTGTTGCGGTGCAAACTGCTGTGGGGGTGGTGGATTGAATGGGCAGTCAAGACCCATCAGGTTTATAAAAGACTTGTTCCTGGTGGAGATCAAAACTGCCAGAACTAGCTTGACATAGGTGAACACAGCTTGGCATCAAATGAGCACTGCACTTTCAAAATTTACAGCCGGTGATTCCTATTGAAAATAACCATCCCATGGGCTAAATTGTGCACACCCGTTGCTTTTTTACCCTGCCTCAGGTGGCCATCCTAGGCACCCTACCCTGGGACTCACTTCTGAGTGGACCCGCATGGGACTGTGCCACGTGCCTCCTTTGCAGAGACTCTCCTCAAGGAGAGGAGCTCAAATTCTGTGAAAGGATGTGATGTTGAGCAACAGTCTTTGAAGTGTACTTGAATACTTTTATGCAAACATGCTCTACCAGGAAGAATCGCAATTGTTACGGTTCAGCAGGAAAAGATATTAGCCTTTGGCTGTCCACCCTTTCAGAAAGATGTTCTCTTCCTTCTCTCTGTGTTGTGAGTGGAGGCAAACTGGCACTAGCCTATTGGATGGAAGCCTAGGGTTGCTTTAAGAACAAACACGCGATTAGGCGGGATCACGTGCTCTCTTCCTGTTCCAGGTGGGGCGATGAGGGCAGTCTACTCTTACAGCCCACTCACAGACACGTGGTGCCTGGTGACTCAGTTAAATCACGAACGAGCAAGCTGTGGGATTGCGCCTTGCAACAACAAGCTCTTTATCACTGGAGGCCGAGATGAGAAGAACGAAGTCATCGCCACTGTGCTCTGCTGGGACGCAGAGACCCAGAAACTGACGGAGGAATGCGTCCTTCCCCGGGGAGTCTCCCATCACGGGAGTGTCACCCTCCGGAAATCCTACACATACATCCGCAAAGTTGTGCCTGGTGCAGTCTCTGTCTGATTTGGGAGAAAGACTCAGAACAAGGAAGAAAGAAGAATCATGAAGTACCTCATTTCCCCAACTGGGATGTCACTTGCTGGGTCGTCACAGTCCTTGCAAGAACATTTGTATGTTTGCTTGATTTTCTATTGCATAGTGTATTCTTTAAATTATCTTAGTATCTTGTCTAGGCTATTTATTGACTTACAGTGTTAACGAATGAGACATTCAACCAATCAGATGCCACTGTATTTAGCAAAGCCAAGCTCTATGAGTTGCAATTCTTGCTTTTGCTTTGATAGATGGATATTTGTAGCATTTTTTCTTGCAGGCTGCCTTAGAAGTTGTTTTACTGATGGTGTGGGGGGGAATAGAAATATTTTAAATAAATGTTTACCTTTGTCATTTTTAAAGCACTTTTTTCATTTTGCATCACCCTAAAGACTGAATAAGTTCTTATGATAACAAAGGAGACCAAAGACTAAATGGGTACATTCTCTTCTTCACAAAAATATTTTGAGCTTTTCCACATGAGCCTGTTAAGTACACGTTAATCTGCTGCCTTTGCTTTCAGTTTCATTGAAGATTTGATATCTGAGAACTAGATGAGATAGATTTCCTTTTCTGCTTTTCCATGATCCAACCTCTAGGTGGCACTGTTGTATAGCAGAATAGTGCAAATACACAAGTGACAAAAGCATTTTCTTTTGCTCTTACAATGAATGCTGAACTTTCCCTGCTCTTAAAAAAAAAAAAAAAAAAACTCAGTTGCCCCCTCCTTTCTGAACTATTTCTGAGAAGTTCACGTGGTATCTGATCTCCTGCCACGCCTTTCTGCCTGTGGGTGGGACAAACCCCTGTCTTGTCTTTGCAATTGGTCCAATCTCAATTGGTCTAGACACTGTAAACTTCGCCTAAGTTGAGCATTCACTAAATTTACTGTTACATCTTCCTGTTCTCCTGAACTCTGCCCAGCAGCTTCAGAGTCAGGAGGTGGGGGGGCAACTTGTTCAAACCCCTCAGAGTTAGGAAGAGGGGAGGCTACTCATTCTGAAGCCTCATAGTCAGGCTGCGGGGAGGCTATTTGCTCAGAAGTCAAGGAGTCAGGCTGTGGGGAGGCCATTTGCCCAGAAGCTTCAGAGTCAGGCTGCAGAGGGGCCGTTTGGGCACTGAGTCCTAAGTATAAGTCCTCTTGTTCCAATGCCTGACTCTCACTGTGAGCTTCTGGCCCTCTCTCGTGAGCCAACGCCTTTGTCGAGCCGTTAGGCACCACACTAGATGAGAAACGGATGAAGCAGATAGAATGGCGAAAGATAAAGGATACAAGGAAAAGGGGACGAAGAGAGAGGTCATGGCTGAAAGTTTGTCCAGCTGAGCCCACCTAACCCCTGATCCTGAAATTATGGTCAGGTTCCTGTGATGGTGGTGTGGGATCCTGCAGGGTCCAGGGATTTAGCTGCTCCTAATACAGGTCCATGTCTTCATTACATCGTCAACACATCATAGAGTGGTCTCGGTTGAGAAAGCCTATCATGCGGTCCTTGCTGAAATGAAGCAGGTCTGATTAGTGCTTGGATGGAAGAACCTGTGGGAATCTCATGTATACCACCTTGAGCTCTATGATGGAAGAAAAGTGAGAGAGAAATCTGACAAATAATAGATTCAGAGTGGGGGATAGTTGAACCTTTATGAGATGGGAATTCTACCACCAAAAAGGGCCTGCCATGTGTAGTTACTCTATGGGTCATGTTTCTCTATGGTGCCTCCTCTGCTGATTTTAAATCTCAAGATGGTCAGTATTGGGGAAGTTGATCCTCAAGCACCCCTAGATAGTAGTCTGATGGAAGAATAGCCTTTGTGTCAACAGTGATTGGGGCAAAGATCACCCACCATGTTATCCAAAGAGATAGATCTCCATCTATTTAATCTAATGCGTCTTTTTCTTGTCAATGTTTTGCTTGTGATGAAGACTGGGCGAGCAGACTTACCCTGCATTATGTTGCATGCCATTTCCCACACGAAAGGTCACCTCTGCACGATAAGCCATCTGCTGCATACACAGTAGAGAAAGCAACCACATTGCTAGGAAAAGAGTTTGGTAAATGTTTCATCTCTATTCCTCCAGATGTCCTTGTTCATGCTTTACCTCCTCTGCCACATTCTCCAGCTGAAAGTTGAGCATGCTGATCTGAAGTCCATTTAGCTATGTTGCTGACTGTCGCTTGTTATTGGCACAAACAACATACAATTTTGTTTGCCTCTCTCTCTCTCTCTCTCTCTCTCTCTCTCTTCAAAAATCAAAGACAGTCTGGTTCCTTTGGTTTCATGTGCAGATGTCCATTTTCATTTTGTTTTCTAAATAGCTCTGTCCGTGGCCCACTGGGTGGCACTGTTATACCATTTTTAAATGGACATCATTTCCAAATTCCAGGAACAAGGGTACAAAACAATCCCTTGAATAAGGAAAAATGTTTGATGCTGTAATATAATTTCCAGGAAAGTCACAAATAGTATATAATGTGGAAAAAATAAAGCTAAACCTGGGTCTTTGTTTCTCAAAATGAAAAGATGCAGACTTTCTCACTTGTTCTTGCACTTACACATGTGTGCATCCACACACACTCACACTCTCTTTTCCTTTGGCATGCACAGTGATCAGTTTAGCAAACCAAGCGCATTCTGTCTTCAGTACTGTTTTATAATTAGTAGCAAGATTTTCAGGGCTGCTGGCTTTCTTGATGCCATTTATGAAGATCAGGAGGAGACAACTGGTGCTGCCTAGATGTTTTAGACTATGACAATTAGCCAAACTGTTTGGCATTGATAGGAGTTGTAGCCCAAAACATTTGGAGGGAACAGAGTTGCCTCCCCTGCATGGGTCCATGGACCCAGGATCCCCTGGATAGCTTTTGGGAATCTTCCAAGGTGCTCTATGCCTCCCATTTAAATCACCAACACATGCACAGATTGTCTCACCAACAACTAGGTGTGCTGAGAAATAGATTTCTGCTGGTGCTGAAAAATATGGGCCAAAGGAGCAGATTGTCTGCTGGGGCTCAGATTTATTTTATTAGACTTATATCCTGCCTTTTTTCTTTTAAAGAACTCAGAGCAGCTCACATCATTCTCCTCCTGAGGCTCTCAATCTTATCTCCACAGCAACCTTGAGATTTAGGTTGGGCTGTGAGTCTGTGATAGGCCCAAGTCACCCCGCTGGCTCCATGCCTGAGCCCAGATTGCCTGCGTCCCAGTCCCAGTCCCAGTCCCTGTCCCTGTCCCATGCTCTTAGCCACTATGCCACAGATGCTCCGGCCTGGCTGTGAGCTGAGCCTTTAAGCAGGTTCCTTATCCTTTGCCACATTTCCCATGGCAGCCATTTTGTGGTGGCCCCCAGGACAATTTCTCAACTTGTCAGATGTGTCCATGCACTTAATAAGTTTGCCTACACCTTTTGTCTACCTTTAGTGTGATAACTGCATGTACAAAGATGTTCTGGCTCAACTCTTCTGGGATTTGTCTCTGGTATCACAGAACCCTTTTTAGTTTCAATGGTGGATTCCCTTCAAGGGATGTCCAGATAGGACCTCTGTACACTCCTGTGTCAGCTTTTACAGCTAGTAGTGAGAATGCCAGATTGGAAACTATAAAATACATGCAAGCGGAAGGGCTACTCTTTCCCAAGCAACTAAAAATATGCAAGCATTTGGTACACAGGGATCATGCTGGAGAATGAAAAGGACTTGTCTTGAAATTAAATTGTACTTGGTTGATGGGAGCACCTGGCATCAGTATCCCTATGTTCATGCCTAGATCACCTGGAACATGGACCATTTTCTTTCTTTCGCTCAGGTCCCAACAACAGCACCAGCGCAACTCCTTCCCACCCACGCCATCGTATCAGATCTAGTGAAAAGGCAAGCAAGATCAGCAACAAAATGTTGCATTATAGAGTGCTCCTGTTCAGTTGCCTGCCTGCCCGCCAGCCAGCCAGCAGTGCCCATTTGCAGGATTCTCCATTCCATCCCACCCCATTAGCATTAGGGCTTTTCTACACAGGGCATTTATTGTGTGCATGCAATCCCTCACACAAGGAAGATGGTGAGGCCTTCTCACAAGGCTGGGGTCCTCTAGAACCTGCCCTGTGTTTTCTAGCCTTTTTTCACAGATTTTTCAGAGTGACAAAAGTCTGGTTTACATTTTAAATTGTGACAAGTGGAACAAAAGCCCCGTGTATTGTTACCAGTTAGCCTTAGCGCAGCTGTACCACAGCACCGCCTTGTTTAGAGAATATAAATAGCTCTATAGACCATATAGAAAAGTGGAGAAATACAAACCCCAGGAAATACACATTTTTCCTCCTGAAACAAAGAGAGAAGAAGAAACCTCAGTAAAGCAGCACCCCTCATATAAGAATCCTTCTTTCATTGAAAGCATTTCAGCCTAGTCAAAAAAGGCTCAAGGGCTGCTTGCAGATATCAGTAGTAAAACAAACTCTTCAAAACCAAAAGAGAAAGAGAAGTGAATGGCACAGGGTAAGGAGAGTGGGAAACAAGCTCACCATTTCTGTGACCAGCTGGGATGGAAAGAGTTCAGCTAGTCCGATGGAGCAGCTAAGGGAGGGCTGAAGGTCTCTCAGCAGAGGCAATGGAATAACTCTGCACGTGTTCCCTCTCTCAGCTTCCAGGATATGGGCAGTGGAACAACAGGCACAGGTACCAGGACTCGGGCAATCAAACCAATATCCAACCATTAGCTAGTCAAGTTCCACCATCCAAAGTCCCAGCCCAAAAGAGTAGAGACACAAGGTAAGCACAGTTTGCCAAACAATAGCACAGTCAGGGCAGAGCAGAAGTCAGAAACTGTGAAGCAAGAAAACAGGAGGAGATACCTGGGGATCCACGCAGGGACAGGAGCAGCTACCCAAGTAACAACAGCAGCAAGTCAGACAACCCTCATTACCAAGGCAGCTTCTGGAGGGAAGATCCAGTTCCAGAACTTTTCCCCAGGTCTCCCAGGTATTCATGAAGGCCCTGGAAGCTGCAGTAGATTAAGGGAGCGATCCTGCAGCTACCAGGACTGCTATTCTGGTGCTTGGCCAGAAGATGGAGCACTGAAGCTGCCTTGGTTTCTGACCCCTCTCTTGCTACTCTGCTGCCTGATGGTGTGGCTGTAGAGCTGCTCTTAAGAAGTATCTTCTCCCACAAGCACCGCTTCTGCACTCTTCACTATGGCCACAGAATTCTTGTAGTGCACAGTCAGGAGCTGAGGCCATGAGTAGGGTGTAACCTTGGATCCTTGGTGAAATTCAGCAGAGATGTGGACTGGATTCAGACAACTGAATAACCCAGACACTAGGTCTGAATGTAGGCTGAGTGTGGGTTGCCACTGGAAAGTAGGTTGTTGAAATGTCGGC